AAAATCACAGTATAATGGAAGTGCAGTAGTAGTAAACACAGACCTGGAAGAATTAAAGTTTTCTTCGACATCATAGGAGGATTCATAGAGGAAATAATGTTTCAACTGGATTCTAAACCAGTTATTCAAGCTCTACTAGATTGCACAGCTACTGAGCAATAAATGACAGGATGTAACGCCTTAGAAGGTAGAAGGAAATTGGTAAAGACTGCAATAAAAATCATATACATTGTATACATTGAGAGAAATTTAATAGAAAATCATTTTAGTGTATTGATATTGATTCATACTTTGTTTTTTTTTTTTTTTCAATTTGAAAATCTCTTTTAAAGACTGCTCTTCATGATAATAAAACATTTTCCAGGGGACTGCTAAATAAAGCTTTCTTGAAATACACTTTATTGCTTTCTACCAATGACCCTGAAGTAATACAGAATTTACACTTCAGTGGTTGCAATGCTCAAACTTGACAGGTAGTCCATTGTGTTTGCTGATAAAAAGCATATGGTGTAGGACTAAGTGGTTTGTGCTTATTTAGTTTAGAGGATAAAATCATTGATTTAACATTTTGATACCAACACTCAAAGCCTAAACAGTTAATTCTTAGTATTTTTATTATTATTGTCAAGGTCATTGTGTTTAAATAATATTTTTAAAAGATATATCTATCTACTTATGAGTATTATCTAAATTACCATAAAAATGGGGAATAAAGCTATTATCGGATATGGAGGTATTTTTTTAAGTGGTGCCTTCATTTTGTTATGCAAATGTTATCTATCTTTCTTTTGAAAACAAGGAGCCTGCCCAAAAGATTTTACAAAATGTTCTGATGGGTAGCTAAGTTTACTTCATTATTCTTTTCATGAAATGATTATTTTTAGTCTTAAATATTTAGTAAAATCCTTGAAACTCTTACTTTATGATATATTATTAGACTATTGGCCATCTTCGAGGTTGGAAGAGAACAGATTATAGTTTTTTGGTATGCATATGTCATGAGAATTTGACAATGGACCTCTGACATGCAAACAAAATTTTAGGAGATTATATGCCCCCTTTCTTCCAGCCTTTAGGTATTTTTTCTGCTTCTGCCATTTCATCTATACTAGAAAGATACCCATTTTATAATAGACACTTATGGAATAAATGCACATCTCTCATCTAAGTATCTGTGTCTAGATACATCTAGTGTATCATCCTGTATATTTGGTGAATACCCATAGATCTCAAGCACTGGAATGAACACTTCAATTATATTATCACAGTGATTTACTTACCAGTGGCAAACTTCACTCTAGAATTTGTCTTTTTAGCTTTTTGAGGTGTTAGAAAATGGAAACAAGAATATGTGAGCTTTAATTTAGAATTTAGAACCAATTTCAAGACCTTTTCAATAAATCAAAGTGATGTCTAGAAGACTGAAACACAAGGGGGAGTGATATCCAGGAATCTAATCTAATGCAGTGTACAAAAACATTCATGGCTGTGATATAGAGTACAATTAAGTGATTACTGTCAGCATTAAGAATTGGCTGTATAGACAATCATTATTTATTGATTTATTAAGCTAGTGTTTGATTGAGTGCCTATTATGTTCAAGGGACCATTCTTAAAGCTGGAAATATTAATAGAACAGTGAACAAAACATTAAAAAATTTCAGTGGATTTTCATGTTCTTAGAAAATAAAAAGAATAAATTAATTAAATATGTAGTATGTCAAATGACGGTAATTGCTAAGAGAGGGTAGGGCAAGAAGATAAGAAGTATTTATGTATAGACGAAAGTCCTAATTTTTGGATAGGGCATCCAAGGAAGACCTAACTGAGGAGGTGGTATTTCAGTAAGGATCATAATGAATGGATAAGTGAGACATATGGTACCTGGAGGAAGAACTTCATGCTACTGGAATACCATGGCATACATCAGGCTCTTATTCCATATTGTTCTCATACCACTGACCTAGAACACTCAGATACTAACAAATATAATATCCATAGTTATATTTCATAAATAACCCTTCAGCAGATAAATGAAGCATTCAAAAAGGTACAGAACATTATTTACATGGTTATTTCTTATATTAACTTTTAATAAAATAAAAACATATACTCTCAAAAGGTTAGAAGGGAGAAGGTATTTCTATAGAAATCAGAAATAATGTCTTTTTCAAATAATAGCTTCTTTTCCTCTGAGTAGGTACCAAGTAGTGGGATTTTTAGATAAAATAATAGGTCTATTTTCAGTTTTTTGAGGCATCTTCACACTGTTTTCCATGGTTTAGTAGACAGCACTTTCATTATTGCAGTTAAGTTAGTGCAGAGTACATCTAGATTCAGTAGTAAGAACATTTCTTTATTTAATTAATAGATAATTTGAATAGGCTACCAGCTTGAGATTGAAGTTACTGTTAAATATCTGATATGTAGGAATTGGTTGTTTATTGACACAGAATTTCTCTGCTTTACATGTATGAGTAGATAACTAAAATTGGCCCTATTGAGTTATTGAGCATTAAAAATCTGCAAACTAAAAGTCATGGCAACAATCATTTTCTTCTTAGAATAATTAGTTGCCATTTGATCTATTTCTCTTCCTTCTCTGTATAATTGTTTTATAAGTCCTGTGAATTTTATACTTCCATGTGTTTTTAATAATTTTTTATTTCAAAATGTGAGGAGGTACAATTGTTCTTGTTACATGGATGAATTGTATAATGCTGAAGTCAGAGCTTTTAGAGTGCCTGTCACCAGAATAGTGTATGTTGTACCTGATAGTTAAGTTTTTATCCCTTACCCTCCTCACCACCACCTTCTTAGTTTTCAGTGTCCTGTACACCACTTTATGAGCATGTGTACCTGACATTATTTCATTCATTTTCGTGGCTGAGTAGTATTCCATAGCATATATTAATGTATACCATATTTTCTTTAGCCACTCATCAATTCATGGGCATTTAGTTTGATTCCATATCTTTGCAATTGTGAATTGTGCTGCAATAAACATTTGGGTACAGGTGTCCTTTTCATATAATAGCTTCTGAGTAGATACCAAGTAGTGGGATTGTTAGATAAAATAGTAGGTCTACTTTTAGTTCTTTAAGACATCTTCACACTGTTTTCCATAGAAGATATACTAATTTACAGTCTCACCAACAGTGTATAAAGGTTCCTTTTACACTGCATCTGTGCTAAGATGGCTCTAGTACATCAGAAGAAGCGCTTAGGTACCCCAGGTGGTGGCTGGGGCCCTGGAGCTCCCAGAGGACTCCTTATTTTCCACCACAGCAGAAGTCGATGGAGGTGCGAGGCTGGGCAGGGCTGGGCCAGGCACAAGTGTTGTCTTAGTAGGGGTCAAAGGTCAGCTCCCAGGCCAATGGGGAAAGCCACCAGGGAAGGGCTACAGCAGCCCCACCAAACCAAAATGTCTGCTCTTAGGGTTAGAGTGGTCCTGAGATTCACAGTCTGGTTGTAAAGAGTGGTTTTCACTGTTCTCCCTCCACACTGCCCCATGAGTCTCCTTCCAGCATCTGGCCACAAGCAGCAGCCCAAACTAGCTGAGCTACTTTAAGCCACATGTCCATTTTATGAGATTTAACTTTTGTCTATATATAATATCTTTATCCAGTGTGCATGGATACATTTAGGAGAGCATAGGTAAGTGTTAATACATCACAATAGACTGAGAACCTGCCAGTAAATGAAAGAACTGTGGTACACCTTTTCACATTGTAGAGTTCTCATTCTCCTTCAGGTTACCTTGCTTAACTTACATTATTGCTGTATCATCTGATACATTGACTGAATGAAGGTGCCCATGTTAGCTTGCACATGAATATTAATATAACCTATTTCATTGATTGTTCTTTAGATTAAAAACAAATATACAGTCATGCACTGCATAATGGCATTTTGATCAATGATGAACTGCCTTGTGACTGTGGTCTTATAAGATTAAAATACCATATTTTTACTGTACCTTTTCTATATTTAGATATGTTTAGACATACAAATACTTACCATTGTGTTACAGTTGACTACTGCATTCAGTACAGTGACATGCTATATAGGTTTGCAGCCTAGGAGCAGCAGGCTATACCATCTAGCTAAGGTGTGTAGTTGGCTATACCATCTAGGTTTGTGTAAGTATATTCTGTCATGTTCACATAACAAAAAAAAATCTCTTAACAATGCATTTCTTAAAATGTGTTCTCATTATTAAGTGATACTTGACTGTATTCAGAATTTCAGATATTTCTCTTGTATCCCAATGGATTTCCTTGTGCACCCTGTGCCTTAGGTGCATTTCATTTTAGAATCTACTGCTTTGTAAGGGAGGAGTCTATGAAGGGTGTCGAGCAGGGACGTGGCCATATGTGAATATTTGACCACGGATCCAGTTTAGCAGATCTATTGGGAAAGATCAAAAGCAAGAAGACCAGATGGGAGGATGTTTTATATTGTCTAGGACAGAAATGCAAGGGATGGCAGGAGGACAGGAGGGATGCTATGATAGAATAGATTTCAATATTCAATTCTTGGTGAATGATGGGAAGTAGTTACTAAGGAAAAAGAAGGAAGAATGACTTTCTGGTTCCTGACTAAAGCACAGGCTTTTGATGTTTAGAACAAAGGATGGATATTTACATGCTTTATGATTCCTTGTGGCTCTTTCAGAAAAAAAAAATCAGCTGTAGTGTTATTCTTTCCTGATACCATGTAATATTTGTATCAGTGTTTTCATTCATTCCACAAATATTCCCCTGGAACCTGGATCTGCTCTAGGCAATGATTCTTTCCAACTATCAGGTAAGGTTATTCTCAGGCAGGCACTCAATTCTTATGAATATGATTTTCTCAAAATGGAAAGTAAATAATTTTTCATCAAAAGATTTTTAAAAATGATAGTCTTCCTAATCATCAATGTTATATGAAAATGCAGGTGACTTGTATTATGTATCCTGTGTTTGCTTCATGGCTGTTGCATGTCTTGCCTTTAGCTGGGATGACAGCAGTTCAGTGAGCAGTGGTCTCAGTGACACCCTGGATAACATCAGCACTGACGACCTGAACACCACATCCTCAGTCAGCTCTTACTCCAACATCACCGTCCCGTCCAGGAAGAACACTCAGGTGAGAATCATCTCCTTCATTTTTCCTGTGCTTTGCCAATTTCTTCTCCCAAATTAGTTTATTAAGATGTAGAACAATCCCTTAATTCACAATAATTGCATAAACTGAATAAGGCAGAGCTAACATGGACTCCCTTTGCCACTCCTAGATCCTGGACTATCTTTATCATAGTCTTTCCTAAAGCTTCAACCCTCAGGAGATGCAAGAATGTACAACTCAGCCTATTTTCAATGATCAGAACCAACCTGTATATATTTTTTTTCTACTGATTATAACCTAACCCAGAAAGACCTATATGTTGCCATATCTCTTTTATACAACACTGAAATATTTGTTTCAAATCTACCAATTATTTTAAAAGTCTAATTTTGAATATTTCTTAATTAATTTTATATTGATCTCTGAAATAAATTACTGGATCTCTTGTGAGTGACAAATCAAGAATAGACACTGCATAATTGGGTTTTATCTTGTCTCACTTTTCCTTGTTACATTTGACATAGAACATGTCTTCTTTTCTGGAGCATTTAATTGGGGATTTCCTGCACATATTTATTCTGACATTCTCTAATATGTGCAAGTGAGAATTACGTGGCTGAAATTAATAAAACTGAAGTGAAGATAGATTAAAAATAGAAGAGTTTTTAGAATTCTTTGGAAATATAAGTTAGCGTTATATTTTAACCAGTTATCTGAGAGTATACTCTATTGTCTTAATTTGCATTATATTGATTTTTATGCACAAATTTTTTCCATAATATTTTTCTTTCTAGCTGAAGACAGATTCAGAGAAACGTGCCACAACAGATGAGACCTGGGATAACACTGAGGAGCTGAAAAAAACAGAAGAGGACTTTGACAGCCATGGGGATGCTAGTGGCAAGTGGAAGAATGTCTCCTCTGGACTTCCTGAAGACCCTGAGAAGGCCGGGCAGAAAGCTTCCCTGTCCATTTCACAGACAGGCTCCTGGAGAAGAGGCATGTCCGCCCAAGGAGGGGCTTCATCTAGGCAGAAAGCTGGGACAAGTACGCTCAAGACTCCTGGTAGGCTTCTCGTTTGGCAGCTGTGATTCAAGTGTTTTAATTTATTGTTTCCATTTAAGTTTTATTTTCTTTAATAATAACTTTTTTCAGATTATTTTTTATATAGTTAAATAGTTTTTCTATCTAATTTTCACATACTGTATCATGCAAGCCCAGGTAAATATTAACAATCTGGATATTCTCTAGAGAACACCCTCATGGTTGGGACTACTTTGCCAGTTATTTCTGGTCAGGTGGAAATAAAATAAGGCTGTTAATTGAAAAGCCCGGTTTCTTTCGTTATGACTTTTTAAATAAAAGTTTGGAATCTTTATGCTGAGAATGCCACTGACTTTCACAATAAACGCTGAGCAAAAGAAGCAATAATGTTAATCTAATGAGATAGAATGCTAAAGATTTGAAATCTTTGTGAATTAGTCTTTATGAAAGAAGACTGAAAGAATTCTGCAAAATTGTACCCTTCTTTTTTTCGGAAGACTCTCCCCCTATTTTTAAAATAGGGCCTCATTATAAATAGCGGTACCTAAAGTACTGATGTAACAGGATATTCCAAGTATAATCATCCCACAGATAATCAAATGAATTACTTTTCTAGTACTTAGCTTGATAGGACTAAGTGCTGTCCTTGTAAAGGAAGAGAGTTGCAAGATATAAGACATTAAGAAATAGCAAAACTGTGTGTTTTCATTTTATCTTTTCGATCTCTCATCACATTTCCTCTGACAGCTAAATTTTTGTAGCTGTGCAGTCAATCCTCTTCGATATGTTAGAGTTTATATCTAGAAGAATAAACATGAAGGCACTGAGGCAATATAAAGAAAGCCTTCACATTTTACACATTGTTTTAAGAAGTGTTATCATGATATCGAAATATGCAGGCACACGTGTTTCTGTATTTCTCAATTAGGGAAAACCGATGATGGCAAAGCTTCTGAGAAAGGGAAAACTCCCCTGAAAGGATCATCTCTGCAGAGGTCTCCTTCAGATGCAGGAAAAAGCAGTGGCGACGAGGGGAAAAAGCCCCCCTCAGGCATCGGAAGATCGACTGCCACCAGCTCTTTTGGATTTAAGAAGCCAAGTGGAGTAGGGTCGTCTACTATGATCACTAGCAGCGGGGCGACCATCACAAGTGGTTCAGCAACACTGGGCAAAATCCCCAAATCTGCTGCCATCGGCGGGAAGTCAAATGCAGGGAGGAAAACGAGTCTGGACGGTTCACAGAACCAGGATGATGTTGTGCTGCACGTCAGCTCCAAGACCACCCTGCAGTATCGCAGCTTGCCCCGCCCTTCAAAATCCAGCACCAGCGGCATTCCTGGCCGGGGTGGCCACAGGTCCAGCACCAGCAGTATCGATTCCAACGTCAGCAGCAAGTCAGCTGGTGCCACCACCTCAAAACTGAGAGAACCCACGAAGATTGGGTCAGGTCGCTCAAGCCCTGTCACCGTCAACCAGACGGACAAGGAGAAGGAAAAGGTAGCAGTCTCAGATTCAGAGAGTGTTTCTTTGTCAGGTTCCCCCAAATCCAGCCCCACCTCTGCCAGCGCCTGTGGTGCACAAGGGCTCAGACAGCCAGGATCCAAGTACCCAGATATCGCATCACCTACGTTCCGAAGGTAAGGGTGTGTAAACTGATGCTGGAAAAACATAAAATTATATATGTTATAATTATATATAACTATATATGCATATAATTATATATGCACATGTTATATATAAGTACATATATTTATATATCCTATATGTGTTCTAAGATACATATATGTTAGAGTCTTTTACAGTGCAGTGAGTTCTAAGAAGCTGATCCTATGAATACATAGTAAAAAAAAAAATGATTCTCGTTTTGAGAAATGGTCACACTTCATGGTTTCACTATCATTGTGTATATATATGCCACACAGACACCATATAGGAGACTTAAAAGCAGATGGCAGTACCTAGATGTAGTGATGAAGCAAGGTATTAGCTTGTAAAATTTCCATTAATTTCCATCCCTCTTTCCACAATTAAAAATAAAACAAAATAGTCACTGTAGCTATTGGCATTCATTTCCAGTGTTTGTTATCTTGCTGCTCTTAATGAGTTGATGGTCATGAATGTAGATGAAGTTGTGTTCCTTGTAACTGATTGGACAGGAACATTAGACAGATTTATACAGTACTATATCTTGACATGTTAAAGAAAATCAAGGTATAATATGATTGACAGAATTTGAAAACATTTGGATGTTGTGTACAGGATAACAACTGAATAGTGGGCTAAGTTTTCTAATTCTTCCTCAGTTTTCTTTGACATGACACTGGTAAGCACCATGATTTGATTTCTACACTGGGATTGGGTTTGGTATTAAATATGTAAAGTTTTGCTCTAAGATATCATTGTTTTTAAATACTAATGTGTTTTTAAGTGATAGAAAAATATACACAGTTAAGAATTTGGGACAAATATCTAAATGTCTCTGGGTCTGTTTTCTCAACTGTAAAATGGTAGAGTATGTTCATTACATGATAGTATTTTTAACGTTTGTTTTTATTCTGTTGACTAAATCCAAAATTTTGATATCTTGGAAATAAAAGATCTTGAAACATTTACTTTTACATTCAAGTAATCTCAGATACATGATTGCTTGAAAAACCTAGAGGTTATAGTCCTCAGTGGAAATGTTAATCCTCAAGAATGATCTTTTTGAAACCTTGATTCTCATTGGAAAGAATAAAGTATGGTTTATAGAGAGAGTAAATACTTCCGTTGCTTAAGTAAAAGCCAAGAGTGCCCTCCTGTGGCCCATTACCTATGAAACAATTTCTCATATTCGTCATAAAATATTTCACTCTAGGAAATATGGATTTCATTGTAACTTAATTAGTAATCATTATGCCATTACTTCATATCATTTTATTCCATATTTACATAAATTTTATTATATCATGTACTTCATTTACAAAACTAAAATGTTTTCTGAACTAAACTCCAAAATCTAACTGTACCAGTTATATTTCAAATCACTGTTTCAAATATGTATTTGACTAGCACTGGCAACTGGTATAAAACCCTTTGGCCTCTCCTGGGGAAAATGCAGACAAATTGACATGTTGCCGACAATGTCCAATATTGTTTCCAACCACGTACTCCGGACAGTCCCTCAGGCCACCAGATATTCAACATAACTTATAAACCTTGCCTTAAGCATTCCTTTTAGATTTTTAATAAACTGTTTAAAAATTAAAGAAAAAAGAGAGAAAGTCCATTTAAGTGTTGTCTATCGAATGCGTAGAAGTTGTTTCATTATAATGGTTCTGTAAATAGATAACAGCAAGTATGGTCAAACTATTCAACTTGAGTGAAAGAGTCTATAATCACTTAAATTGTGAAAGCCAGAGATTTTCATGTTTGACTGACTTTTGTTTTGCCCACTTCCCCCCTTTCCCCAGTAGCAGCCCAGTGCTAACTTACCCTTATGGTGATGGGAGAGATTTTCAGCACTTGATTTACAAGTCCAAGCGGATAAAGTTAATTAACATAGAGACGGGAAGTGCTTGGTAGTTCAGTACACCAAAGCACACTTGGCTCTGTGTACTGTAACCCTAAATATTAAATGTGGATATTAGTTTCTTGGAACAACTGAAGTTGTTATTTGTTTTTCTTTTAGGTTGTTTGGTGCCAAGGCAGGTGGCAAATCTGCCTCTGCACCTAATACTGAGGGTGTGAAATCCTCCTCAGTAATGCCCAGCCCTAGTACCACATTAGCGCGACAAGGCAGTCTGGAGTCACCGTCGTCCGGTACGGGCAGCATGGGCAGTGCTGGTGGGCTGAGTGGCAGCAGCAGCCCTCTCTTCAATAAACCCTCAGACTTAACTACAGATGTTATAAGCTTAAGTCACTCGTTGGCCTCCAGCCCAGCATCGGTTCACTCTTTCACATCAGGTGGCCTCGTGTGGGCTGCCAATCTGAGCAGTTCCTCTGCAGGCAGCAAGGACACTCCGAGCTACCAGTCCATGACTAGCCTCCATACAAGCTCTGAGTCCATTGACCTGCCCCTCAGCCACCATGGCTCCCTGTCGGGACTGACCACAGGCACTCACGAGGTTCAGAGCCTGCTCATGAGAACGGGTAGTGTGAGATCTACTCTCTCAGAAAGGTGAGCTTTCCTGGAGCCATTGATAAAGTCCTCTCCCCTCCTCCCTGCACTGTGCCTGACCTTACCCCACCCCATTAAATTCCCTTGATTTCAGTGTGAGTGCCACTGTGCAAAGGGATTTAAGATTGATGGGACTGGGCCTTTTATTTGCTCTTATTACCAAATTTGCAGAGGAATAAAACCATTAAGCATAGGCTGATTGGATAATCAAGTTTCTTAATAGGAATGCATACATTTATATTCAGTAGGCAATTTCAATAAAATTCAAAGAATGTATTTTGATATGGAATGAGGTCTTCTCAAGACATTTTAGTGATTTGGCTTAAGCTCTAGGACAACACAACCTTCTTATGATAACTTAAGCATTTTTAAGCACCAACTTTAAATGATTCTGCAATTATGCTCAGAGCAATATGTTAAATTTGTTTCATTTGTATTTCTATAAAAAAAATAGCAAATGGATCACTGGGAAATCCTACTTGACCTGGAAAAAAATCAATTTTCAGCCATGAATTCTTAGAGAAAATTATAACACCAATGCTATTTTTAATAGACCCCTTGAAAATTAATCATATTGCAAAGTGTTTCCCATTGATTTTATATATATGTATGTATATGTATATTTTTAATGAAAGTGGAGAACATAACAAGGCATTTCTTACCTAATATAGATAAGATCAGAAAACATCATTGTTGACAAAATGACTCTAGATTAATTCCCCCAATATATCCTTTCTTGGAGGTATTGATACTGACTCTTAACCCCAGAAAAATGTCTTTAAACCACCACTTTTGCCCTGACAAACTTAATTCTATTTGTTTCTTGGAACAATGACAGCTTTCAAAAATGGTCTTGGCCACATGTGAAAAGCACTACTGGTCACTGAAAATGCCTGATTTCTTTTCCTAAATTTTTTTTCACTCTGACCTTGATGCTGACGTATCTTCTCTTCTCAAGGCCTCCAGCCTTACTTCCCAAATAATTTTTTAAAACAACAAATAAAGTCCTGATAGCCTAGAATCTTTCTATAGTGTACCAGTTGTCCCTTCATCTAAGATTTCTCACTCTGCTCTTCCCTATTTTTCTAACTTTTGTAAAATACAAAGCCCATGCCAATACATTGCTTCTGGACCACTTTACTTCCCACTTGCCTAACAATGAATGAGACAGGGACAGCCATATAAATGGGACTGTCCCTTGACAAAATAACTTTACAGCTAACTAAAATATTAGTGCTCTATACTTGCTTTAGTGGACTGCTAATTGCAAAATACGTTTTTCTTCATATACAAGAACTAGGTCAAGATAAGTAGTTGGGTGATAGCAACTAAAATATACCCATTTCCCTTTGGGTTTTGCTATTATATGCAGCATAACATAAAGTCAGTCTTCCTATAGTATCTTAGATTCTAGTTTCAAGAATTTCAAAGTAAATGGGCATCCACACATGTCATTTATAAAACTTCTAACAAATTAAGTTATATTGAAAATATATTAACAACCTACAGTTTTAATGAATGTATCCAAATTATGTACTCACATGTGAAGAATCCAAATAACAAGTTGATAACCAAATCAAGCGTACTGCAATAGGTCATCATTTATGAACCATACCATCCTGTAAAATACTATTTATTTTCTAATTATAAAGATGACTGTAACAAGTTGACTATTTAGCCAGTAACCTATTTCTTCAGCATTCAGACATTAAAGATTCATAAATATAGTCAAGTAACTACTTGTAACCAAGTAATCCTCAAATAAAAACTAGATACTAAGATTGATGACCTTTATAGCTATAATCAAAATGCAGTTTTAATATTTTACTCCTATCTATATTTTAGCTGAAGTCAATATAAATTTTCACTATAGAAATACACTAAAAAATATGCAGTTACTTTTTTTAAGCAGATCTTTTTTATTGTTGTTGTTCAATCTTTGAAATAGGCCAATTTTACAAATGGAAATGTTCTAGTATTAAAATGACCAAATAAAGGCTTTTTAAAAATAAACTTAAAGCTAATTTTTAATAAAAGAAAATGCTGCATCTTTGATTCTTAAACTATATTTATGAATATTAAGCTGTGAAAAGTAAATGTTAATAGTTTATAGATATAGTATATAGTTTAAATATTAATTAGTTCCAGTAAATTATTGGACTGAAATAAATTTTCATATAAGAATTTATGCTTTTTCTTTGCTTGAGAACAAAACTATAAGATATATTAGTTTCTCTGAATTCTTTTAAAGTACATTTAAGAAAGTTTGTAATCTATTGAAAAGAAAACTAGATTTAATCAATGATTCTGGCTTAATTTTAATTACTTGTTCAGCAGAATGTTGAGAATGCTAATAAGAAAATCATAAAGCCAAATCTGAAAGTGTATTGAACTGCAAATATTTAAGGCAGATTAGAGTTTTGCAATAGAGATGTATGTAAGTTCATGACTTACCTGTATATCTACAATTTTAGAATATTTTATTGATATTTATAGTTAAGTAGTAATGTTTCATACAGATTTTAATTTTTGCTTAAATTCTCCCTTAAACTGAATAAAATATAATAATAAAATAATACATACATACATACATATATATATTCTATAACAGTTTTCCCTCTGTAGCTGCTCTAGGTCATTGGTAGCCTTTAAGCCATAACTAGCCCACATTTGTTTTGTTTTATATTGTAATTTGTGACCTAATCAAATTTTCTAAATGAGTTAAAGTAGTAACCAACTTTGCAAATTCCTAGTTTGTCTTTAAATGTTGCATCTGGCAACTCTGCTTCCACATTTCTTCCCAGCAACTATTGGCCCTGGGCAAACAGTGCCTATCCTCTTCAGACTATTGACTAAAATCCCTGCTACACTCATTTTTACTGCCTACTTTGCAATTGTTGGCCTATGAGTTTGCAACCCCTAGGGGGGTTGCAAAAAGTGGCTACATTATAAAATCATTAATATCCAGATTCAATTATGTTTCTACTTAGAGCTTTAAATTATATTAGTAAATTTAAATGTATTTTTTTTCATTAAACTCTAAATCATATAGATATATAATTTTTTATACAACTGGATAACACAGGCAAAAGAATGGCTATTTTTAATTTTATGTGCAACATTAAACTTTAATTTGAACACATGAAAGAGATACTCTTTAAAATGGCATATGACCACATAAATGCTTTAGCACATGTAGTTCATATTTGGTGGTTTTTCATATTTGCTTAATATAATTTGTTCATTTGTTTATCCACAGTACTGAGAAAACTTCTATAATCAAGGTATATACTAGAGCTGGCTGTTCCATAATATAGTGGTTATCTTATGCGGGCATCTCCAATAAAGTTAAAGTTGTGTAAAGCCTTTGGATGCTTTCTATCATGGTGCTAAATAATGGAGTAAACGTAGAAGAAAACATTTTAGCTTTGATTTTGAGTGATTAAATTTCAAGTCAATATATTCTCATTCATGTTATATCATCCCCATTATGCATATCCTGTGTATTTAATTTTGAACATTTGAGATTCTAAAGGAAGAGAGCTATAATCCTGCAATTCAAATTAATTCTCCTCTTTGCTTATCTACATACCAGAGATTATAATAGAAATTCCTAGACTTGTCCCACTTGGTTGTTGACATCCTCTTCCTCTATTTTTAGAGGCCATTTCTCATTTTCTCTACACAAATCTTTTCATCCCTTCTTATTACCAATTGGGAATTACTTAAAATAGAGATGATAAAATTTATAACCTTTTAAATACCTAATTTATGATTTCTAAAAGATGGCATAGCTTAATTTCATTAAAATACTTACATTATAAATAATTGTAATAAACATTTATTGAGAAATAAATATTTATTGAAAAATAAATGTTTATTCATTGAGAAATAAATATTTATTGAGAAATATTTATTAAGAAATAAATGTATATTTATTGAGAAATAAATGTTTATTTCTAAATAAAATGAGGTTTAAAGCAAATACTCATTATATATTCTTTTCATATGTAAATGGAGAAATATGCCTTTATTTTTATTAAAAATAATTTGAAAACAAAAGATAGTTAGGTATTAAATGGTGTTTTATATTTTCTCTTTCCATTGGAACTTATCACTTTAATTTAGCCAGAACAGATCTATCTCAGTTCCACTTTTATGATTCTCTTGCATGTGAAATAGCAAAAGTCTAGTCAGTTGCATCAGGAAAAGAAAGTTACCATAGCATTAGGTAAATAGAATGCAGAAGGGAATTACACTAACATGATTTAATCTATTTTCTAATAATCATACGACTAGATTATCATTGAATGATACTGGATTAGGAAGAAACTCAACATGTGTTACAACAATGGACTTTTTGTCACCTTTAGTTAGTCTTTTCCAATGATTTAAGCATTATGTTTGTGTTACCAAAAAGTTATTTTTTGTAGTTCAGAGAATCATTTTTGTTGGATGTGTAATTTGGAAGTTTTGTTTACATTATGTCCTTAGGGGTTTTCTTTGTTTTAACAGCATGCAGCTTGACAGAAATACACTACCCAAAAAGGGACTAAGGTATATATTTCTCTCAGCACAATTGCTTCCTCTCTCTGTTGTTACGTAAACTTTGTGTGCTGTCTCTCTTCCTCTTTGTTTGTTTGCAATGTAGCACCTGACATAAAGATGAAATCACTTTTAATCTTGATGTTTCTCTGGCCTGAAGAGTTGACGAGATAGCCCTCAGGTAGAGATTCTAGTAGAGGTTGAGGTTGTGACTTAAATTAAATAAATTCCAATATGGATACCACTATTTTGAAGAAATGAGGCTTCTTAAAAAATTTGTCCCACGTATTGCTTTGTTGGGACAGTACATTTTGGGAGAATGCAGAACTCACTTTTACAAATTAAAATAAGATTATTAATAACTTCCCTAACTTTTGCATCTTGGAGGCATATGCTTGCAAAACCTCAGAACCCTTATAGTCTACAGATGTATCCACTTAATGTTGAAAGGTTGAAGGATGGTTTCATTTGAATCAAAGAAAGCATATTTGCATCATCATAGGATAAATATTGTAATGAAGGTATGATTTTTATAGAATCCTTTTGATTAAAAATAAACAGTTTTAATTTCTATTTCTCAGGGGTACTGGTATCTGTCAGATCAATTTAAATCTGAATTAATCTAATATTTAATCTCAAAATGATTATGTAGTTCATAATAAAAAATAAAATAAAAACTTAATTTATGGCCATCTTTTATTGCACACTTTTATCTGAGGAAGGGATATAGTATGGACTATTATTAGAGGTATAACATTGTATGAATATTATAAGTCGGCTGCTTTTTGGTACTAAGAATTTACTTGGTGAAACCAGGGAGTAATGGGCAAACTATATCTTTCCCCATTATTCATTTTCTCTCTGATTTGTTAGCAATAGCAAACAGCATGTATTCCATTTCAATGTTTTGTTCCATAAATTTATTTTCAAATAAAGCGAGCATATTTCTCCCTTCTTTTTTTTTTTCAATTCAGACATGGTGTCAAGTGGCATTTTAACCAAAGAATGATTTTTCATTTAAAAAAGAAAAAAAAAAAAAAGAGTTGTGTTCCATTTCCTATGCCTTTCTGTGACCATCACTCTACTTCCCATGGCTCTGGCCTACCCTATCCACCATTTGTAGTCTATGTTTTCACACTCTCTCCATGCTTCCAAGTACTGTGCTTTTGAGTCTTTCTCAATTAACTTGGCTGTTTGCTCATTGCTTATGATTTTCAACTTCATATCTCACAGAAGCATAATTTTATTCTCAAGTTCCTTTATTTTTTTTTCCCTATGAGATTCAAACAGATGGTGTAAGATCATCTGGAAGAACTGAGCAATTATAATTAGATTCAATCTGTTTAAGATTGTTGTTTATTCTGAATAGGAAACTCCTCTCGATTGTTTTCCTGTCCTGGTATTGCCTTGCCCTTGTAGATGTGCTTAAGTGTCTTAGCTGTGCTGTTTTGCAGATACACCCCATCATCTCGGCAGGCCAACCAAGAAGAAGGCAAAGAGTGGTTGCGTTCTCATTCTACTGGAGGCCTGCAGGACACTGGCAACCAGTCACCTCTGGTCTCCCCGTCTGCAATGTCATCTTCTGCGACAGGAAAATACCACTTTTCTAACTTGGGTAAAATATTCTAGAACATTGATTTCGTTTTGCTTTTTTCACCATCCATCCTCCCAGGAGCCCTGGTATCTATAAAAAAACTTTTATTTGAAAGGGGGATAAAGAAACCTAAACAGTACCTATTAATTATATGGTTTTTTACTGTTCACAAAATAATTTCCAAACATTTTATCCTGTTTATTGCTCATGAGAAATGCTGAACATAGTTATTATTGTGATTATTTTACAGGCCAGGCTTCAGAGGGTCAGAAATTTTGACTTGGAAAATTTCTCACTGTTAGTAAGTGGCAGAGGCAGTAATCAACTCCAAAACAGTTGACTTCTTCAAGCCCAGGGGCCTTTGGATTCTATCTCAGAACCCTCTTAAAAAATAGGGAAGCAATCCTTATCTTTTGCTTTAAATGTTAAAACATCCTTATAACAAAATTAAAGCTTTTAGTAAAAAAAAAAAAGAAAAGGAAATAGGAAGAAAAAATATGCAATTCCATGACTCCGAGATGACTTCTTTTAACATTGATAAAGTTAAAACTTTAAATGTATAGAAGAATTACTATAAGACAATATTCTATGGCAATTTTACATAAATACAGTGAAAAATAAATTACTATCTTAGCCATTGGGTTACTTTGTGCTTGGCATTATTTACATGAAATATAAAATCATTTGTGTAAATGTCATAGAAAACATGGGAAGAGTGACAAAATAATGAAAGAAGTCTAAATATGGTTAGTTATCATTTAATAGATCCAATGACTTTAAAAACAGATTTCTCTTCTATAAAGTCACATTCAGTATAATCTCATTTTTTTTCTCTATTTACTTGAAAGAAAATCTTTCTAATGCACCCACAGAAGGTCCACTTTCTTAAATAAGACTTCAACTTTCAGCCCAGGAAGGACTCAAGGCTAGTTCTTTTCTATTATATATAACTCTTCTCATTATACTGATTAGGGCTTTTGTCAATTAAGAGCAATTATTTTGGTCATGGTTCCATATGAGCTAATGAATTAATATCAAACCCCAAACTTTTGCTGCTAAACCTATATACACTGTGAGGCTTCTTTACCCCATAAAGCCAAAGGATGTATGGCTTTTGTTTACTTTAAGTTGCAGTTAATTAAAAAAAGCCTAATACTTGAATTTCAAAAAAAATTAATCAAAAAATGTTTTTGTAGGTTTGTCTAAAATGCTCTAATTTTGCTAAGTATCTCATGTCTCCTATTAATTTTTTTTATTAACTTTCATTAATTTGGTTAATTGACTCCTTATTCCATATTTTTTCCCACTGTCACCATTCTGATTAAATCCATCTCTGTTATTTTTTGAGGGGAAAAAAAACCTCACCGGTTACTGTATCTGACATTGGCGAAGTTATTTAACTTCAGCTTTTTCATCTGTTGAATGGATACATAATAACTAGGTCATGTTGTAAAGAATGACTGATAAGATGTGTACAAAGATGGAGGAGTGTGTGATACTTGATAGATTATGGGCCAAATCATCATTTTTATTGGAAATTGTGTCTTACACTATCAGAGAGCAGCAGTCATCAGATATGCCTGAGCTTGGTCTGCATTTACCGGGGTGTCATTCATAAGACTGTAACCGCACAATTTTATGTGAAGGACATTCACAGCTTGGATTTTTGAAAGATTAGTGCAGAACTATGACATTTGAATCAAGGATTCATTTACCAAGAATGTCAAATATTTGCACACAGATAAATGTATTCCAAGATTTGCGTAAAGTTAACATGGCAGTTGAAGCCAACATGTCCATGGCCACGACGTGTTAAGAAGAATTGGTATTTAACACACTTGAGAATGGATTTTATTGCATTGTTTTCAAAGAGTTGAAACATAATTAATAAATGAAATGTGAATTATGCTTTTACTAACAAAACGTCTCTGTGGAACTTTAATGTTCTGATGACTTGAATTTGAAAGCCACTGATCAAATACATCCTTTATATCTAGTTGCTATAGAAACCAAGATTCTGAAAGGTCAAGTTTACTTTTCTAGGATGTGGGATTTTTTTCCCCCTTAGCCCATTGTACTTTATACCAGAGATCTCTCAACAGCACCCGACAGGCCTTGACTTTAGTGACACCACGCTCTTGATTCTCATCATACCTTTCTAACTACAATTCTTTCTCCCAGAGTAGCTTATCTTAGCATTGCTCTAAAATTTATTGTATAAGTAAGGTCACTTTTGAGAGTGAAAGAGACTCTATTAATAATTGTTTCAGGCCTTAGGTGTAAACACTGGGCAATGGAATTCATCCTCCATGTATTCATCATATTTATGTCTTTACTAAGTTTTTTTTTCCTTTAGACCTTTTCTCATCTTAAACACACTTTCTGTTCTTATCCACAATTTTAATTCTTTTCAAATCAACATTTCTCTATTTCTCTGAGATTTTTTGAGCTCTAATTCTAAAATTCCATCAAGGTGCTACACCACATAACCATTTGAAGCCAAAGAATTTTCTTTAGCTCTTTTTTTCTATTTTCCTTATATATCACATATCACACTTCTTTCAGCTACTCCAGTGAGAGTATAATTAACAATTTTACTTGAAACTACACCATCCTTTCTTTCACATTCTGCATTTTCAATAGAGCAAAAACCTGTGATTTTATCTTCCAAATATCTCTTACATTTATCTCTCTATTCAGTGGCATTGCTTTGCTCAAGCTTTTTAAACTGTAGACAATCCGTAAATTTCAAGTTTATCACACTGCCTCTATACCCATATATTTCAACATTTTCATCTATTGGGAGGTATAGAGGAACACCTTCCTATTCATGCCAACATACTCTCGTGTGCTTACCCAGATTTTACAAGCATATGTAGTTTCAAATCAGGCATTCTGAGATCTCTATGTTGTTTTATTTTACAATGGAGATAAATACTAATTTTAAAAACATGAAAGTAATTTTAAAGAGTTTTCATTGTATCTCTAGATCACCTGAACTAATGTTTATTGGGCAAGAAAGTGGGTACTGTTACAATGCAATCATAAAGTTACCTTATTATAAATTTTTCTTAAAAAATATGTAAAATGTAACTACTTAACCTGAATGTGATTAGCATTATCCTACATTTATCTTTGGACATCACTTGTTTTCAATTTGATCATTGTCCTTTTTGAATTATCAATAAGATACATAATTATTACTAAAATTCAGGAATTGTAGTATCTATGTTTTCTTTCTTTTTTCCACTATGTACTAATGTACTAATATGTAAAAGTTTTAGAAATATTACTGTAAAAATCATGTATAACAAACATCAGAAATTTAAGATCATTATAATTCTATTATTTTCACTAGACTACTGTGAGCTATTGCCAGAGTAACCTGTGGTTTGTGTGCAGTTTCCAGCATGCTCTCTCTTTAGAAACCATTCCCATTCAAGAAAGAATATCAGAATATAACTTATGTAAACAAAATAAGTCTTTGGATGAAAATTCATTTACTACTGGTCAAAGTTCTTATGTGACATTTCATAACTTGGTGGGACTCATTGTTGTGTCTCCATGTGTGATAACAATTGCTCAGATTCATTTTTCACCTCGCTGCAAAGGTTACATGCAGAAGCATTCACATCAATCTGTCGCTTCCCAGTTCTATTTATTAGATGGATCCTTTCGCGCACAGTGAGTGTTAAACAACTTTGTGTAAGAACAGTTTCTATGCTTTTGCTTTCGAGCATCTCGTCACCTTGAATGCCCTTCTATTTCTCTGTATTCACCCTTCAACCTAGTCAGAATGAACCCCTTTCTTCTTTACTCATGGAAGCATAGAATTGCACAGTTATAAGATACCCGTATCTGGTTCAATCATCCATCTATTGTGTAAATTTTTATGATATCTCTAGCTCTTCTGTAAATCCATCAGTGACAAAAGCTACTTAAATCTAGAAATAATACTTTTGAAGTTCTTCCTTTAAAAAACAAATACAATTTTCCTGGACTTTCACCTATTGTTCCTGGCTGTATAACCAGATTCTACAAAATAAGCCAAAATTAGATTCCATGTGACAACTCTTCTTATTTAAAACAATATCATAAACTTACTAGTTAATGTTCAGCTATAGATACAAAGATAGAAAGTGACATAGAAGTATTTGAAAACCCAGTCCGCATTTCTATTGTTCCTGCTCTCCTCAGATCACCACAAATGAATATATAATCTTAATAAAAACAGTTGCTTTGTTATGCAAATGAAAATTGAGGCAAGGATCCATAGCCCTCTTTCCTTAATAGATTGCCACATCTACTTCTTTCCTATTTCAAAATTCTTATGTGTCTCCTGGCTTCAAATGGATTTTAGAAGCCATTTATTCTGCCGTTTTTTAGTTCATGAAGAAAGTAAAGGGTAGAGGTTGAGATATTTGCCTGAAGCAGAAGGAAAATGAAACCATCACTAGAAGCTTTTTTACCAATTTGTGCTGCATTACAGAAATTTTATCTGTATTACATATGTCTATTATATAGCTTCTTTTGATCTGTTTTACATATTAACTTTTCTATTTTTTCATTCACTTCCCCTAGTGGCCACACTTGAAATTAAGGGCTATGCCATATTTTTCTTTCTTATTCTACTGCAACACCCCAAAAGCAGAATTGTCATAGATATTAACTTAATTGAGCATTTTTTAATAGTATGGATATATTTCCAATGGAGATACTATCAAAAGTGTTTATAAATGCAAACTATTCCCTCTAAAATCTGCCCTAATCCTCACTAATATTTTACCTTGCATGATTTAAGTGTTATATTTAGAAATTGTAGAAGCACACTTCACTTGGATATCTCTGCAATTATATAGGTAAGAATTATGCAAAGCCAGTGAATAAAATGTCCTCTAACCTCTAAGATGTACACATTAAAATGATGCACTTGTAAATGTGTTGAATACTTCATTAAGAGAAGAGTCAATTCATAATGTGAAATTAGAATAGGGTTATTTACTCCAATCCAGATGCCTTAAACATAAACATTCAAGACTTGAATGTTTTACAATGTACTGGCTGTTGTCAGATCTAAAACTGACTAGGACTAATAGTTGGTTGCTAGCTGAAGGCATGTGCCTGAAAGACAGATTCATTCTCTCTCTCTCTCTCTCTCTCTTTTTCTTCTTTGTTCCTTATTTCTATCATTTCTTCTTTTCTTTCTATGAGTTATACACTTTTCAAATCCATAGGTTTTTCCTTTTTCATTGTATTTCTCATATGTACACATAGTTGTGATTCTTAATCCTGTGTTTCCTTTTACTCCAGTCCATACTAGCTCTGTCAGAAGGCTGTCCTGTGTATTAATTCAGTTAATATCTGCAAAATACCAGGCACAGTGCATTGAATATAGGAGATTCTTTCCTTCAGTTACCTCAGGGTATGCCATTTCTATTTTACATTATTTTGAGAGTCAGTAATTGTATTAGGAAGAAGTGTAGTGTCTGTAATCAAAGAAAAAATAGGAAATTTTGAAGTGATGTTAGAACAATTCTAAGCAAATGACAGGCATACCTCAAGATTTTGAAAGTACTCAGCAATTCCCTTCATATCATCAGTGGTTCCTGCCTGCTTCCCCATATGCCAATAACAAACTTGCTTTTCGTAGACATGAGAATTTATGATAAATATATTTCTCAATTTTCTTCTTTGCTTTTGTTCCAAATTTTAAAACTGTATTGCATTGTTTTCCAATGCAATTGTACATTGAATCAACAAAATATTTCCTTAAATTGGTAATTACCAGTTGGCCTAAAAGTTCAGTGCCATTAGAACTAGTTGGTGATAGGCAATAGGTGAATAAATTCTTATTTCAAAATATAGACTTGAGATTTTTTTTAAGAAATATAACATGTTTGTGACATTTGACAGTCTCACTGCGGTGTTCCTGTCTTAGATACAGTAGAACATAGTTTTATGCAATTAACCTGTGACAGGTTACAGATATCATGTATATTACATTTCATTTAAAGAAAAACATTTATTTTATTCTTCCTCTTTACAACCTGACTCTGATAATCATGGTGGTCCCAACTATGAACTGACATCAATGAAGAACTCAAAATAACTGAGTCTTTGCCTAGCGGTATCTAAAAGTTTTCTTGAAAAATTTAGTTTCTTTTTTGTATTTTACTTTCTTTTTGATTTTGCTTTTTCCATTAAAGTGATGATTATTTTTTATGAAGAAATCTGTAAACTCTAGAAAAACAATCTCTTCCTCATAACAGCAAAAAATACCATTTTATTATATTTTTAGCAAAGACAGGAGAGGTGACTTGCTTTTGTTTACTGTTGTTTTCAAAATTGACATAATTCTTGCCAAAGAGAAGGAGGGACTCCACAGTGGCTATTATTGAACATATCAGAGGTAGACTCTTGGTCTACCTTGAATACGGGCACCCTATAAATTCATGTTTCCATAAGAATTGGGATCACGTTGTCACTTTCTGTCAACCTACTATTTTTATCACTGAAATCCCAGAGTAATAGGCTATGTGTGCTTTGTTTTTCAGTGAGTCCAACAAATCTGTCTCAATTTAACCTTCCTGGGCCCAGCATGATGCGCTCAAACAGCATCCCAGCCCAAGACTCTTCCTTCGATCTCTATGATGATGCTCAGCTTTGTGGGAGTGCCACTTCTCTGGAGGAAAGGCCACGTGCCATCAGTCATTCAGGCTCATTCAGAGACAGCATGGAAGAAGGTAAGTGTGTGGGGGTGGAGAGGACTTTATCTAACTCTGAGAGAACATTGCATCACTTATAAGGATTGCTGAAGAGGAAATAAGTACAATTCTCATTTAGGAATCTTGAAGCATAAAAAATTTTATTCTTTATCAACTTCTGTTCCTTTGTGCACTTGGAAATATCCCAAAATTTGTTAGATCAATACTTGGCTATAAAACAGGTTAGGATAAATTCAATGTTCTCATACAAAAATATACACAATTTTAGGAACTATTGCCCAGATGCATCATGTGTCAGAAAAAATGTTTTGTTTGACCCTCAGTGAAAGAGCCATAAATATATACAAACCAGAAAAATGATCTTATGAAACTATCACATGTTACTGGCTTTTATTCTCAGAAACTCCGTCTGCTGTTTGTTTTTTATCTCATCATTTTAGAATTCACGTTACACCTAATTTTGTTTTATAAATAAATCATTTTCCTTGGCAATAATAGCAATAAAATTCTCACCTGATCTGATAAATATTTTTATAACTGTGTATAGTTCTATGTGAATACTTTAAATAAATCTGTTAAAAACTCTGGAAGCTTAATTGATGTTCAAAGTTATATTTTTCCAAACTATATAACCTCAAATTTCAAATTTGCTAACTCGAAAGATTTTTCTGTTTTCTTCAATGAATGCTTTTTTCTTAAAGTAGCCATAAAGAAAACTTGTGGAATACATAGTGTAACCCATGTCAGCTAAGAATAAAATAAAACTAAACATAAAAATTTTAAATGATCAGAATAAAACCAAACATAAAATCTGCCATACTGTCCTACTCCTTAATAACTACATATGAAAGAAAGGACACAAAAGAAAGGACACTTAAACCAGAGTTTAAGCCTCTAGACATTCATTTATTTATGGTATGAACTTGGGCAAGTTTCTTAGCTTTAATAGCCCTAGGTTCTGCATATGTAATTTCATAGGTTTGTCACAATGATAAATTGAGAGTATTGTTCTATTCCTTTCTCCTTTCTTCTAACCTTCTCAGTTAAAGTATCATCTGACTAAAAGTTTAGATGACTATGAAAATTGAATTATCTTTTTCAGGTTATCACAGTACATTTAATATGCTGGCACTAAATCGAGATCACAGTAGTCACTACCTTTTGTGATATTAGCCTTTTGTGATATTATGCTATCAATTCACTGTGGCAGATAGTGAATTATACCCTGTTGAGTCCACTGATGGCTGCAATGCAGGTAGACAATATATAACAAATCTGAAATATAAAGTCATTGATTTTCTGAAATGGTCTTTTATAATACTTTAGAGATAACAGCAGTGACAGTGGGCATCCTTGTCTTGTTCCAGATACTAGAGGAAAGGCTTTCAGTTTTTCCCTATTCACTATGATACTAGCTGTGGGTCTGTCATATATGGCTTTTATCAGGTTCCTTCTACACCCAGTTTTTTGAGAGTTTTTGTCATGAAGGATATTGAATTTTATTGAATCCTTTTTTTTTTAGCATCAATTGAAATGATCAGATGAATTTTGTCCTTTGTTCTATTGATAAGATGTATCACATTGATTTGCATATATTGAATCATACTTGCATCTCTGGGATGAATCCCACTTGATCATGATGAATAATCTGTTTAACATGTTTTTAAATTTGGTTTGCTACCCTTTTCTTGAGCTTTTTTATTACACCTATGTTCATCAGAGATATTGGCCTGTAGTTTTCTTTTTTTGTTGTGTCGTTGTGTGGTTTTGGTCTCATGGTGATACCAGCATTTTAGAGTGAGTTTAGGACTATTCCTTCCTCCTCAATTTTTTTGGAATAGTTTAAATACGATTAGTATTAGTTCTTATTTGAATGCTTGATAGAATGCAGCAGTGAAGCCATCCTGGGATTTATTTTAATGGGAGAGTTTTTATTACTCCTTCAATGTCATTACTTGTTATTCGTTTATTCAGGTTTTGGATTTCTTTCTGGTTCAATCTTGGGAGGTTGTAAGTGTCTAGGAATTTATCCGTTTCTTCTAGATTTTCCAATTTATTGGCATGTAGTTGTTCATAGTAGTCTCTAATGATCCTTTGAATTTCTGCAATTAGTTGTAATGTCTCCTTTTTCATCTCTGATTTTATTTATTTGAGTTTCCTCTATTTTTCTTAGGTTAGCTAAAGGTGTACCAATTTTGTTTATGTTTTCACAAAAAGAACTTTTTGTTTTGTTGATCTTTTGTATTTTGGGGGAAATCAATTGCATTTATTTTTGATGTTTATTATTTCTTTTATTCAACTAATTTTGGGTTTAGTTTGCTGTTATTTTTCTAGTACTTTGAAATACATCATTAGCTTGGTTATTTGAAGCTTTTCTACTTTTTCAATATAGAAAATTATTGCTGTAAACTTTCCTCTTATTACTGCTTTTTCTGTATTCTAAGTGTTTTGATATGTATTTTCATTTTTCTTTGTTTCAAGAAATGTTCTTATTTCCTTCTTAATCTCTTCATTGGCTCACTGGTCACTCAAGAGCATATCTAAAGAAACTAAAGTCTCCTAGAAAATCCCAAATATTCTGCCAAGCAACTCCCAGAATTGATAAATTCATCAGAGTCTCAGGTTACAAAATCATTGTACAAAAATCAGTAGCATTTCTAAACACCAAAAACAGTCAAGCTGAGAATCAAATCGAAGACTCAATAGCAAAAAAAGAAAATGAAATACCTAGGAATATATTTAACCAAGGAGGTGAAAGACCTCTACAAGGAGAACTATGAATCATTAAAAAAGGAAATTACAGACCATGTAAACAAATGGAAAAACATATCATGCTCATGGATTGGTAGAATTAACATTGTTAAAATGCCTATACTACCCAAAGTGGTTTACAGAGTCAATGAAATTCCCATTAAAACACCAATGTAATTTTTCAAAGATCTAGAAAAAATAATTCTATGCTTCAAAACACAAAAGAGCCCAAATAGCCAAAGCAACCTTAAGCAAAAAGAACAAATTAGAAGGCCTCAATTTATCAGGCTTCAAGCTGTATTACAAGTCTATAGTAACCAAAACAGCACATCACTGACACAAAAACAGAGATGTAGACCAAGGGATCAGAACACAGAATCCAGATATAAAATCCTCCTCATATTGCCATCTGATCTTTGACAAAGTAGACAACAACATACACCAGGGAAAAGAATTCCTAGTCAAAAAATGGTGCTGGGAAAATTTGATAGCCACATATAGGAAATTGAAACAAGATCTGCACTTCTCACCACTTACAAAAATTAATTCAAGATGGATAACAGACTTAAACCTGTCATGAAACTATAAGAATTCTAAAAGAAAGTGTTGGAAAAACTCTTCTACATATTGGCCTTGGCAAAAAATATATGAAGAAGACCCCAAAAGCAATCACAGGAACAACAAAATAAATAAATGGGACTAGATTAAGTTAAAAAGCTTCTGCACAGCCAAGGAAACAAACAATAGAGTGAATAGACAACTTACAGAATGGGAGAAAATATTTGCATTCTATACATCTGATAAAGGGCTAATAATCAGAGTCTACAAAGAACTCAAGCAAATCAGCAAGATAAAACCAAAAAACCCCATAAAAAGTGGGCAAAAGACATGAACAGAATCTTTTCAAATGAAGATAATGACCAATAAACATATGAAAAAATGCTCAACATCTCTAATCATCAGGGAAATTCAAATCAAAACCACAATGAAATGTCACTTAACTCTCGTGAGAATAGCTTTTATCAAGAAGTCCCAAAACAACTGATGCTGACATGGATGTGGAGAGAAAGGAACACTTATACACTGTTGGTGGGACCATAAACAAGTATAACCTCAGTGGAAAGTAGGATGGAGATACCTCAAAGAACTACAGTAGACCTACCATTTGATCCAGCAGTCCCACATCTGGGTATTTATGCAAAGGAAAAAAAGACACTTGTACTTGAATGTTTATTGCAGCACAATTCACAACTGCAAAGATGTAGAATCTACCCAAGTGCCCATCAGTGTATCAGTGGATTAATGAAATGTGGTATATGTATACCATGAAGTACTACTCAGCCATAAAATATTGGTGAACTAACACCTTTTGTAACAACCTAGATGGAACTAGAGACTATTCTCATTAGTGAAGTATGGCAAGAATGGAAAAACAAACACCACATGCATTCAGTATTAAAGTTGAACTAATCCATCAACTTTCATGTGCACTTATAGAAGTAAAACTCAGGGAAATCAAGCAGGTGGTACAGGGGAGGAAGGGATGAGGAAAATCACACTTAATAGGTATAATGCACACTATCTGGTGGTGGCCACACTTATAACTTTTATTAAACCTGTACAAAAGCAATTCATGTAGTCAAGACATTTGTAACCCTATAATATTCTGAAAATTTAAAAAATTCCACATAAAAACTACTGGAATTGATAAACAAATATAGTAAAGTTGCAGGATACAAAGTCAACATATGACAACCAGTAGCATTTCTGTATGTCAACAGTAGACAATCTGAAAAAGAAACCAAGAAAGTAATCCCATTTATAATAGCTACAAATAAAGCAAAATACCTAGAAACCAACTTATCCAAAGAAGTAAAAGATCTCCATAATAAAAACTGTAAAACATTGATGAAAGAAGTTGAATAGGACATAAAAAATGGAAAGACATTTCATGCTCATGGAATGAAAGAATATTGTTAAAATGTCCATCTTATTCAAAGCAATGTAGAAATTCAGTGTAATCTCAATCAAAATACCAGTGACATCTTTATAGAAATAGAGCAAAAAATTCTAAAACTTATACAGAACCACAAAATACCCAGAATTACTAAAGCCATCCTGAGCAAAAGAACAAAACTTGAAAAATCACATTACCTGACTTCAAATTATACTACATAGCTATGGTAACCAAAACAGTATGTTACTGGCATAGACCATAGACACATAGACCAATGGAACACAATAGAAAACCCAGTTATAAATCCACACATGTATAGTGAGCGTATCTTCAACAGAGATGCCAAGAATGTACATTGGGGAAAGGACAGTCTCTTCCATAAATGGTGCTGGGAAAACTGGATATCCATATATAGAAGAATGAAACTAGATTCTTTTTCTCTCACCATATACAAAAATCAAATCAAAATGAGTTAAAAACTTAAATCTAAGACCTGAAACTATGAAACTACTGAAGAAAAACATTGAGGAAATGCTTCAAGACATTGGTCTGGGCAAGGACATCTTCAGTAATAAATTCCTAAAACAGAGGCAATGAAAGGAAAACTGGACAGATGGGACCATATCAAACTAAGAAACTTCTGCACAGCAAAGAAACAGTCAACAAAAGGAAGAGACAACCCACAGAATGGATTAAAATATTTACAAGCTACCCATTTGACAAGAGGTTAATAGCTAGAATATATAAGGAGCTCCAACAACTCAATAGGAAAAAATTAAATAAAATTAAAATTAAATAATTTGATTAAAAAATGGACAAATTATCTGAATAGACATTTCTCAAAAAAAAAGACATACAAATGATCAACAGATATATGAAAGAATGCTCAACATCATTCAACATCAAAGAAATGTAAATCAAAACTACAGTAAGATATCATCTCACCCCAGTTAAATTGTTTTTTATAAAAAAGACAGGCAATAACAAATGCTGGCAAGGATGTGGAGAAAGGGGACCTTTCATACACTGTTGGGGGGAATGTAAATTAGTACAACCACTACAGAAAACAGTACGGAGGTTCCTGAAAAAACTAAAAATAGAACTCAAATTGACCTAGAAGACCCACTGCTGAGAATGTATTCAAAGGAGGGGAATTCAGTATATCAAAAAGATATCTGCACTCATATGTTTATTGCAGCACTATTCACAATAGCCAAGATTTGGAATCAACACAAATGTCCATTAACAAAGTATCCATCCAATTATCCATCAACAGATGAATGGATAAAGAAATTGTGGTACATATACACAATGGAATATTATATAGCCACAAAAAGAATGAAATCCTGTCATTTACAACAACATGGATGGAAGTGGAGAACATTATGTTAATTGAAATAAGCCAAGCACAGAAAGACAAATCTCATGTGTTCTCACTCATATATGGAAGCTAAATATTAAAAACAATGTGTCTCATGGAGACAGAGGGTAGAATGATGATTACCCGTGACTTGGAAGGGTAATGGGGAGGGAGAATGAAGTGGGGATGGTTAATGAGTACAAAAATATAGTTAGATAGAATGAACAATATTTGATAGCACAAAGTGATTATAATCAACAATAAGTCAGGGTATACTTTAACTAAAAGAGTGGAAATGGAATGTTCCCAGCCCAAAGAAATAATAAATACCTGAGATGATGGATACCCCAATTACCCTTATTTTATTAATTCACATTGTATGCCTATGTCAAAACATCAAATGTGCCCTGTAAATATATATATTATGTACCATTATAATTAAAAATGAAAAATAAAAAGGTAAAAATAAATGATTTATTAAGCATACAGGCAACTTTCTAGAATGTAGCACTTACAAGTAGAATGATGTTTATATGCTGGGAAATTCTGGCCTTCTGTGTATGAGGATTAAATAATTTGAATTCCTGAAAGTCAGCCTGAGTAGGCAAGATGGCTTTTTGATGTTCGTGCATTGAATATTGAATTGTTATGATTCTTAAATTGTGATCTAGAATCAGAGCATTATTGAGCTAGATTGAAGGGATGTTATTGACATCCTGCCCAATGCTCACACTGACATATGAAGAGACAAAGCCACATGTTATAAGATCATAGACCTGTAAATAGTAAGGAGCATCAAAAGAACAAAAATTAGATCACCTAATTGATTCTCAGCCTTTCTTCTGGTACACCAGACTAATGCTTTAGTTCATAAAAGTGTTATTTGAGGTTGAAAGATTTTTTTTAATAACTTACTCAAAGAACAAAATTATGTACAACTCATAGACTGGTAATATTTTCCCAAGTTAACAATTGGGTGCAGGGGGTTTCTGCATTGCTCTTTTGAAATATACGCACTCAGTTTTAAAAAAGGTTCTTCTTGTTATCTCTCAAATTCATCCCCTTATTTCATCCATGCTGCCATGATCCTAGTGCAGCTTTCCCAGCCCTCCCCAGACTGGGTTATAAGCACCTCCCTTATGATCTTGCAGTACCTACTACATTGGTCTCCATAGTATTTCCATTATGCTATTGTAATTATTTTTTAATTATATCTTTCTATTTCTTTTTGAGCTTCTAGGTTTGGGTCTTATTTGTTATTGTAGGGCCAGTATCTAGCAAGGGCTTGTCACAGTGCTCAAGCCCATCTAACATTTGTTAATGGACAATGAGCAGAAATAACTATATTATCCCATAATGAAAAGAGGAGAAACTTTTCCACAAGTATAATTAAGCACAATTTTATGCACTTTTTGGGTTTAATACATTGGAAGTACAGAAGTATAAAGCAGGCTTTTAAATATTTAAGATGATATTTTGATATACCGAGATAGAAGATAGTATGCAATTACCATTTTTAATTTCTATGAGATACCACCTTGAAATAAAGAGCACTTTTCTATTACTAAAATTTTTAAAGAATAATTCTACACTTACAAGAGTATCATCAGTGAATCTCATATAATGTTGAAATAGCAAGTTGAATAAAAATGCTTATTTCCCTGAAAGTATATGGATAACAATTCTGAAACTGGACCTTTGTTGTATAAAAATGAAATAAAATAAATGAAACACATAACCTTTTTTAAAAGTTTATGGCAATGTTAGCTTGAGTTTCCATGTTTTCTATGTATTTAATATCATATTGGAGTTTTTTATAGCTTTCAATATGTGCAAAACAAGCTGCTGGGGCCCATGTTTAACAGTTGTCTCCATAACTTTGTGAATGAGATACTTTAGGGAATATAGATGGGGCTTTTTCACATCTCAACATCTTGATATCCAAAAAATTATAGCTGACTTTTTCTCAGAATCTTATAGTTAGATGTTATTGTTTTATTCCCTAACCACCTGTTCTTTACTTTTTCAGTAGAGGCCCAGGGTTTATGAGTAGACATCATTATTTTAACTCTATTGTTCTTCGTGTTTTCTCCAGTTCACGGCTCTTCATTATCATTGGTCTCCAGCACTTCTTCTCTTTACTCTACAGTAAGTATTGGCTGTTAAGAAAAAGCTTCTAAATTTGCCATGCACCCAGATGATTAAATAGATCATTTTACAACTGTTAGTAGGTCACATACATCTGTGACATTTACACAAAAGTTGCGCAGTAAAATAAGGGCATAATCTCAGCTACTGCATACCCAACACATTAAACATCCATTAAACACAAACATAGGGGCAATACTAATTTTTTCACTAGTTTTCATTAGATTTAAAAGTTATAGCCTTCTGTGTATAAGTTAATCTTATATATTTACTGCCTTAGACATTCACTCTAGATCAGACTGTCATTAGTGGAAACAGTATTTTTCTTATTTCTCCTTTTAATGATTAAGTTTACCAGTAGGTTCTATAAATTAAGAAATCACTACTAATGTTCAGATAAATAAGTGTGCTCTTACAGGCTAATGGATAAAGTGAGGAATATAAAAATGTACTGGAAAAAACGCAAAAGAAATGTGTTGTGACTTAGCGTTCCTCCTGTTGAGCCAATATTGTCATGAGTTGTGTAGCTTTATTCTAACCTAAACCATTGCAATTTAAATCTCTAAAGATTGAAGCATCATTATAATCATATTTTAAATATACGCAATAGCAATACTTGGATAAAACTACCTTCATGAAGCCTTGGAAAGACTAAAGAACAAAAAGAAAAAAATACAGTTAAAAGTAACCGCTATATTACCAACATTTTTTAAAAGGTAGAAAACATATAGGAAGGACAAAATTCAGATTAAAAGAGATGCTTATGCATAAAATATATCCTGATGGTTATGTTGCTTTATTTCATGTTTTCTGGAGGTAAAGAGATAAAAAGCAGTTAACCTGGAAACATCCCCAAAGTAGAGACAGGAGATAAGAAACTGTTTTTTCAGCCTTGGTTATTCTCCAGCTATTCACAGGATGAGGGAAGTTCCCACATGTAAAGGTGCACATAACTCATTTTGTGGCATTTAAGAGCCCAGCATGAAGAAGAAAAACAGAGCTAGGAATTTTCTGCAACTGAAGTCAAATATATCCTGCAAGTTCCTATGGCAGCCCTCATTTCCATAGCTGTATAGCAAAGATGATTGCCAGCCATTTTTATCACCACCTTAACACTGGACCTTTTAGTGTTTTACTGACTTATGATAAACTTAGGTAATAATTATCAGGGAAATGAAAATAAAATAGAAAATAATAATGTTGATTTTCTGTGGTTATCAGAAGAGGTCGGTTTTTCCTCCCATTTTTATATGTCATTCTTTAATGATAAGTAAATCAAAGAAAATTTTGACTCCTAAAGCTTGGCTACAGATCTCTATAATTTCAAGGAGTCCATTTCCTACAGTCTGTGTAAAACTAATCCAATATTTTTATTTTTTATGTACCCATCTTTTTTAGTGTCTAATTTTATAACTATTTTGTTTTTATTGCTAAGGTTTAGATCTTAGGGTCTGTTAATTCTATCTTTTGCTTTTAAGGCATATTATATATCTATGGATCAACTTACCTATATTTTAAAAATACCTTATGTTTTAGATATAAAGAGGTATTTATTTTAAAGTATCCTGTTTTTACTATTTTAATTTAATAACTATATATTTCACTCTAATGCTGGATCATAAAGACATTTTAAACTCATATAATTATGTTATTCATTTATACTTGTGGAATGAATTGAAATTAGTTTTTATAATTAAATTCTATTTCCTTTTATTTTTTACAGGCTGAAGAAAAGGCTCATTCAGAGGTAAAAAAAACTTGCAACATTTTAATATTTAACTAGTTTACATTTATGATGAAATTAGTATTGTTACCACTAGAGGGCTCTGTGATACAATAGCAGAACTCCACAGGACTGCTGAAGAAAGGCAGCTAGTTGATAAATGGCCTTTGATATTGCCTCTTAAAATAAAATCAAAGGAAGTTTTTATAGGAAGCTCTCCTCTCACATTCTAGATTGAGCCTTAGCTCAACGACCTATTAAGTTGTCGGTAGTAGTAAGTACTCATTAAAGTATTGATGAATGAATGAAGACCTGTGGTCTATTTTATTAGTCTTTTCCCCACTACCTGTGAGACCATCTGCATAGGACTAACAGAACCATTAAATCTTAGGCATCAGGCCTCCACAACACAAGATACCAGCATCCCAGACCATCTATTTTGTGCCATGACCTTGCTGCTTCTAATCACTATTTTACATCAGTGTAGTCTATTGTTCTAATCACACACATTTCACAAATACATACTTCATTGCAATCATGCAAATCAAACTGCAACCTGGAGAGAATATTCTTTTTCTTTCCCTTTGTAAAAGATTTGTCCTGACCAAAGAGAGGAGGAGGATTTTAATTATGACTTTATTCAAAGTGAGTTAATGACTATTTAATTGGTTTACACTGAGGCAATCAGACCACAGAGAAAATAAATGCCTTGGCAACAGCTTTTGCAAAGGAACTTCTTTCCTGCGAAATCTTATTTTATTAGCCATTTAAAGTAAAACTTGTGCTATGTTTAAAAATATTGAAAAAGTATTGATTATACCAATTTATATAATTGCTGGACCAAGGTGTGAATATGATTTTTCAAAACTTAAGCTATTTTAATTACATCACATGCACATGGCAAAACTTCTAACATTGATCTTAATATAACTATTGAGGTATAGTAATACTTCATTTATTTGCATTATTAGTATTTATCCAACTTTCTTTTTATCAACTGTGCCCTATAATGTGTCATGGTTTTTGAACAAAATTTAAATCACTTTACAGTTTCCTGGATTGTATTTTAAAGGACTTGGAGTCATGTAACAGAGACTATTAATTTGAGAAAGGCTCTTTGAGTTTGTATTAGTTTAAGGATAAAATAGATTCTTTGCTTTCTGAAACTATTCATGTTCATCATCATATAAATGTAACTCAAAAGTTAATTTGGACTGGGTTGTTTCTCCTTTTAAAAAAGAGGAATGAAATGAAATCACATTTGGTGAAATTTACATAACGTTCTATCTCTGCTTCTAGCTTCTAGCTTAGTTTTCTTTTTTTTTTTTTTTAGTCTCTCAATATTGACTACCAGTTCTTTTCCATAATATCTAATATACAGAGAAAAAAAAAACAGTTAATAAACAATGTCAAGAATGCCCTTTCAAACTGAGACAGCATTCCAACAGTTCAACTACAACAACAGAAGACTTGTTTTTGAAGAAATGAGAAGCTTCATAGTAGAATGTTTGGCATCTAAGTAACTAAAATCCCTTAGGACCAGATATCTAGTCATAGTACCTAGTCTCAGATCATTACAAATGTGCTATCCTCATTAATCACTGTTTACATTTCATGACAACATGAGACATGCAGATTAAACTGCAGAAAGTGCTCGAATTATAATTTTAAGCATGATATGATATACCTTCACCTTTTATCTGTTTCAGTTTTATTGGCATATTAATGTAACTGAAAAGACATTTTAGAATATTCATTTTGTTGGTTTATCTAGTTAGTTGCATACTGTTATTGGTGTTTTCTCTTATTTTTAAAGTATGGATAATCCATAAAGAATTTTTACTCTGGGCTAATAATAACTCATTGAATAAATGGCAATGTAATACACTGTTGGGAAGGCTTTCTCTCTCAGTTATATAACTTTAGCCAATAAAATTTTCAAATATAGACTCATTAAATGTTGAATTAAACCCAAGTTTCAGTGACTGTAGGATATTCTACAGCTTCTGAGAAATTGCTAAACTGTAAGAAAATTAAAGTGTATGCAGAAAAAAATTCCTGAGATTTTCAGAAAAATAACATAGGGTACACCAGTATTCATATTGCTTTTCTTTTCAGAAATTGGTGCTAATATAGTGTGGGTAGAATGAACTAAATACAGTCTTTGCTTTTTTGGGATTAAATTCTTGATTTTAAGTAAAAATCTACTAGTCTATTGAATTGTATTTTTTTAAATTGCATTCAGCAAATCCATAAACTACGGAGAGAATTGGTTGCATCACAGGAAAAAGTTGCTACCCTAACATCTCAACTTTCAGCAAATGTAAGTCACTTTTGATTCCTTAAATATATTACAACATATCTTGATATGGTAAATGGAATAATTTTAGCCACAAACTTACAAATTTTCGGTGTCCAAAGTAATCCAGACTTAAATCACTGAATAATGGAACTCATAAAAAAGTTAAACTTTTCTGCACACTGAGTAATAAAATGTAAACCCAAATTGTTGAGGGATCACTATGTGATTAAAACAACTTCTTGCTTCTTATAAGATTTAAAACAATAGTAACAGCTATAAGGGTTGCTTCTTTTCTTGTTTGTTATTTTTATCAGTTCTGATGCATATGTCTCTCTCAAGCCACAGCGTAAGAGAAGGTTTTAGTGTTTGACTTTGGAAGATAAATTCTTCATCTGCCCTGCCTCCTTCAGCTCAATTTATCGAACATTTAATTAAGTATCCAATTAATTCTAAAAGATGAACTTAGGTCTAAATACGAATAGCTTAGCTGCATTGTAGATGAGATACAGTTCTCTTAAAAAAAAAAAAAAAAAAACCTTGGCAGCCTTCTCATAGCAGTTTAAAAAGATATACTTTAACTGGTGCCAAAGCAGCCCGGGATGGCAAAAATGATGACGATGAAGACCATCAATTAAATTAACATTTATTGAATATCTTCCAATGTGCCAGGGAGTACACAGAGTAGATGCAGAATAATAAAAGAGAACATGTGGCATTGTGCCCAGTCCTAAGGAGCAATAGTGTTAGAAGCAACAGTGAGGGGTAAGGAAACACCTGCTATTTTGCCATATGCCCTGCCTCTCTCACTCAACATTAGTTTGTTCGATTCTGCTGTGCAGCTTTGGGCTTGCTCCCTGCCTCACCACCCCTACCTCTTATTAAATAAGAGACAATTTAAGAATAAAAATCATTGCACAATATAAGTTCCACAGGGTATAAGTCATTTCACTCACAGTGTATACATTTTACCACCGTATTTGAATTGATTTTATTTTTTCAAGTTTGCGAGAATCAAATTAATTTTAGATTGACACTATTTCTTATAGATGTTGTTGGGGATTTGTAAAAATAATAGCAGGTTTTAGAGAATTGTTCAGGCAATACTGGAAAATAATAGTATTATTTAAGCTTATTGTATTTCTTATAGAGATATATCAGAGGCAAGTATAAATTTCATAATATAGACTAGATTCCTGAATTTGTGTTCAGAGGATGATAGAACAGTGCAAATGCCAAAAAACCCTGCTTTATTGAGAAGGCTCAATGACAGACCTTGTACATTAGATTGTCAAGATACTTGCACATGTCTTGAGTGGTTACTTGGGGTTTTATTTTATTTGGTAAATATCTCTTGGTTAGCCTCATCATATAATTCAGATATTAGAATAATAAATTGCTGCTAAATATAACGAAAGATGGGCTGATTAACAGTAATTTTTAAAAAACTATTTCCATTTAAAATGTAATATGGCCGAGTGCGGTGGCTCACGCCTGTAATCCTAGCACTCTGGGAGGCCGAGGCAGGCAGATTGTTCAAGGTCAGGAGTTTGAAACCAACCTGAGCAAGAGTGAGACCCTGTCTCTACTATAAATAGGAAGAAATTAATTGGCCAACTAACATATATAGAAAAAATTAGCTGGGTGTGGTGGTGCATGCCTGTAGTCCCAGCTACTCGGGAGGCTGAGGCAGGAGGATCGCTTGAGCCCAGGAGTTTGAGGTTGCTGTGAGCTAGGTTGATGCCATGGCACTTACTCTAGCCTGGGCAACAAAGCAAGACTCTGTCTCAAAATAAAAATAAAAATAAAAATAAAAATAAAATAAAATGTAATATGTGCTTATTGTAATAAAAAGAAAAAATAAAACTAAAAAAGCATTTCATAAGAAATATGTGTTCATTCGTTTATCTGAGGCTCCCATTCCCACTCATGGTTATTGGTTTCCTGTGAATCCTTTCAACATTTTTCTATTATATACTCATATATAGGTATGTGTATTTGTGTGTGTGTGTGTGTGTGTGTGTGCATATACACTCACACTTGCAAAGGCTTACACACACACAAGGGGAACCAAATTCTAATCTAGGGAAATAGTTGACGATGTCACCTACGTGCTACTGTTTGGAAATGGAGCCAAGATTTTAGAAAGGCGCCAGCCCTTGGCTACCTACCCCTTTGCTCTAATCATGCATGTAACACTGTTTTCACTGGTGTGCTTTCATGACCTTGGAGCACACATTCTCAGCTGAGTGTTGATATGACTGAGAAAAAGGGTGAAAATTGATTCTCGTGGTTAAGAAAAAATTTACTCTTTTTATGTAAAAAGCACAGATGTACATACAGTACATAAATGGATATCCAGCATATCTGTGGCATTAAAATATCATGAGGGAATGGGGCAATTAGAAAAAAATGTATAATGTTTCCCTAGGTGGACAAAAGTGATAAAAATAAAAGTAAGCAACACAGAAGAAGCAGTAACAAATAGATGATTTTGTGCTAGCCTTTATGCTAGTTTAGAAAGTGCTAATCTTGGAGAAAATGCCCACATTTCTCTGGCTTCCCCCTCCCCCAAGCTATATCCCTCTTATCATTAGTAGTATTTTTTGTGCACAGATGGGAGCCTAATATATATCCTATTTTATGCTCCTTTTTAATTTGTAATGTGTTTTGTTTGGAAAGCTTCTCAAATCACCTAAGATCCACACAAAAACCTATACATAGCAGCTTTATTTTTTAATAGCAAAAAATGAACAGGAAACAACCCAAATGTCCCTTAATAGGTTAGGGACATTAAGGTAAAGGAACTCTGATACATCCACACCATGGAACACTACTCAGCAATACAAGTAAAGGAACTTCATACACAAAACAACTTGGAAGGATCTCAAGGCCATTGTGCTGAGTGATAAATGCCAGTTACAAAAGGTCACATTCTGTATAGTTCCGTTCATTTAGCATTCCAAAAATGACAAAATCATAGAGATGGAGAACAGATTGGTGCTTGCTGTGGGTTAGGGATGGTGGAGGGAGAGACGGAGTATGACTAGGAAGGACCAGCAAGGAGATCGCACAAGGGAAGACAACTGCAGATACATGGTCACGTTATACAATAGGCCAGGTCTCCTCTGGCCTCTCACCCACACCTTCGTGCAGCCAAGTCAGGTGGGATGTAGGTTTGTTTTGTAATGTATTTTCTTTACAAATCATTTGGAAATAGGCACTAAGGCTAGTTACTAGTTATTAGTAACATTTTCAAAGACGTTACTGAATGAATGTGTAACAATACCAAAGGTACTTTTGCCTTTCAGCAGGTAAGTCTTTTAACCAAAATCTCTTGGGCATTATTTTCTTTGAAACTGTGTCCTACTTCTTTGCTCGATTTAATATTTTTATAATCTGGCAGTTACTCTTGCTTTTTTGCATTTTTTCTAAGAGAAAATCGTTTTGCACATATTAACAATGACAAACACTGAAAGGACAATTTTATACAGTGTAAAAGAAATGTGAAACCTTATTTATGTTTCTGAATCATTCTTAGTTTAACTAACTACTAGTTTTCAAATATAAAGTCATATGATATATATATCCTATATATGTTTATATATATATATATATATATCCCCATATCAATCTATGCTTAGAGTATTTTTTACTTGGGTAATGGGCTGTCACTTCATTTCGTGTGAACACATGCAATGTAGACATTATATAGAATGATATTTCATCTTGTTGTTTAGCATCAGAGTAATTCCCTTTACATGTCTATTCTATTATGTTATATGATTCCAAGACCAAAGATAATATGCATTAAAACTATCTTCCCCTTATTTTTTTTATGGTAAAATTTGACAGAATCAATAGTCTTATCTATTTTATTACCTTAACAGATTTCGCTTAATACAAATCAGGGGATATTTATCACCATATTAAAAAAATTTTACTCTGGTTTGAAATTATACAACCACCAAAAGAAAATTCAGAACCAAGTAAACTAACTAACAATCCCACTGAAAATCCATGATATCTTTTTTTAAAATTGTCTTATAATATTTTACAGATAAGATATATTATCCTATAAGTTTAATCATTTTTACTTAACATTTTCTGTTTGTTAAAGGGATAAAGATCATCATTGCTAGAAAAAAATGTACCTTATTTGCTTCTTCTTCTCCTTTCCCATTTACCCCATTTGGTCAGAAATTTAACCTTTAATTACTTCCAAAATAACAAAGTTAATCTGACAAATTAAGCCAAGGTGGCATAAATTTAAAATAATATTCCACTAACATAATGTTATTATACTTTTCATTGAAAATAACATGTCTCAAATTAATATATTTTTTAGTAACCAGTTAGAAGTTTTTTGTGAATAATTAAACGCAATTTTATATAGAGTACAAATTGACATTCTAATGGTATTTCATTGTTACAACAAAATGTAAGCAAATATAGTTTATACAGCATATTCTTTACAATCCTTGCCATATTTTTAATTCCTATTCAACTGATAAAATATTCACCAAGGGTAAAGTGAAGTAAATTTCATCAAGTTTATATATTCACAGTCCAATAATTAAATCTTACATTTGTCTACTTTGCAACAATTCAAACTTTGCAATATTGAGTAGAATCTTCTATATCTTTTAGTAAATGTTAACAAAAAGTTTCTGATGCAATTTTCCTTATTTTAAGGAAAACAAGCAATTTTAGTTTTAGGTGTCAGTAACCCATTTTATGGTCATGGTGGGATTACTTCTAATGTCTTAAACAGAAATCAGCCCATGATTATCATGGGCAAATATATTGTAAATTTGCATATAAGAATGCTTTATGGCAAAGACCATGTCCTGCTACCTACCACATGGATGAATCTCAAAAACAATGTTAGGAAAAGAAAACAGAAAAGAATCATGCCATATGATTACACTTGGATAGTTTTTAAAATAGGCAAAACTAAAACATAGTGTTTAGGGATCCAAGCTTAGGTATAAAAACTATAAATAAAAGCAAGAAAATAGGCCGGGCGCGGTGGCTCACGCCTGTAATCCTAGCTCTCTGGGAGGCCAAGGCGGGCGGATTGCTCGAGGTAGGGAGTTCGAAACCAGCCTGAGCAAGAGCGAGACCCTGTCTCTACTATAAATAGAAAGAAACTAATTGGCCAACTAATATATATAGAAAAAATTAGCCGGGCATTGTGGCACATGCCTGTAGTTCCAGCTACTTGGGAGGCTGAGACAGAAGGATCGCTTGAGCCCAGGAGTTTGAGGTTGCTGTGAGCTAGGCTGACGCCATGGCACTCACTCTAGCCTAGGCAACAAAGCAAGACTCTGTCTCAAAAAAAAAAAAAAAAAGCAAGAAAATAATTACTAAAGAAGTTGCAATAGTGGTTATCTTTGAGGAAGAGAGAAGGATCAATGATGGAGGAGGGGTGAGAGTCTTGAAATGTCCTGTTTCTTGACTTGGCTGGTGAGTCCATGAATGTTCTCTATGAGACAAATCAGTGATTGTACATCTTCATTTTGTTTACTTTTATATATGTACTTTTTTTACAATTAAAAAAGGCTATAATATGAGAGAAAATAGAACATAGCCTTATACTAATTTCTGAGGATACACTAAGTTGATTGTCATGACATTCCTTGTTATTGAAAGTATTTTATACTATAAGGTATTATTCTTTTCTCTTTTTTTAGTGTTATTTATCCAATTAAGTCTGCTAGCAAACCTGAGTGTGTGTTTGTGTGTAAGAGAGAAAAAGAGGGAGGGAGTAGAAGGGGACAAGAAAGTGGAAGAAGAAATGAAGAGTTGTGCTGATAGATTGAAGTTTACTAGATATATTCTCTACAGAATTGTTTTCTCCACATTGCAGTATCTGGGCAGCCCAAGATAAGTTCAGAGCTAGGAACAAAGACATCTTTGTATCATGACACTAATGAAGGGGACTTGTGGATTCTGACTCTTACCAATAATGGAATAAATTTCCAGAGCCCTAATTCTTGGGACTCTTGTGATCCATTTGATAGTGGGTGCTTCAGCATTTCAGCTCTGCTACAGCTTCAAGATGTATTTCATTTGAGTCCTCTCACTTCATTCTCTCAAAAACAAAATGAATCTTTTGCCAAGGACTGACAAATTTTGCTACATATATATTTGATTATAGATTTAGATTGTTAAATATCTCCCCAATCCTTATATCCTTTTAAGGGCACAATAAAACTATATAGTTTGAGATATTGTACATACAGTTCGACCTCAAGCCATGCTGAGAGTTTGAAGTACCTCTTCATATTTGATATTCTGGATTCAAGCCACTGTATAATGGCATGCTGATAGAAACTGGCCTATTTTAGAGCTGTAATAAGATTGCCAAATACTTCTTAATCATGAGAGTTATGGTTATGTACTATAATATGTATAATTCTCTGAAATTGAAAATAAAACCCCAAAGCCACAAAAGCTTAATGTTAAATAAAATATGACTGAATATTATTTCTACCTAGTCTATATTTCCTTAGTTGAAGGGAATATAAAGCAGAAAGACATGGCTTTTTATTGAAAAAGAGTTTGGAAAGTAGGGACAACTCTTTTTGATCCAATTTTTTGTAAGTAGAAAGAAGAAAGATAATGTTATACCTGTCAGCAGATGTCTGACACTTGAAGGAGAGTACCATTACAATAGAGCAGCTAACAATATCTTCAAAGGTTATCATGAAAGTGTAAAAATGAGGAACATTTGTCCATTGACTATTTCGGTGACCTCTTTTTGGGCTTTAAGTCTAACAACTTGGCAGCTCAGACTTTATTCAGCATTTTGAGTACCAAATCCCTCTATGATATGCAAGTCAAAAGGCATTATTATTTGCAAATTGCCATCTTCTTTCAGAAGTTAAACCCATATTAAATGTCAAGAGACTGAAACACTGATTTTTAAGAAGCCAGCGTTTAGAAATGATAAATGAAAAGTTGTGTTGAAGGAGAATCAGCATTGAGGGCTAACCACAATGGTCCATCGTATTTACAGAGTTAGAACACTTGAAATAAGCATTCTTTAAAGTGAAGAGTTTTCATCCATCCACATAAGATTCTGACATTTAAACTATGTTTCTCCCATTTTGTTCACAGGCTCACCTTGTAGCAGCTTTTGAAAAGAGTTTAGGGAATATGACTGGCCGATTGCAAAGTCTGACCATGACAGCAGAACAAAAGGTATGTTCAGAAACCGTTATGGGAGCTTGAAAGAAGACAGCAAGTTGCATAGGATGTTTAAATAATACCTGCAGCTCCTTAAAAATAATATTACAGAGCATACACTCTATGCTAAATTGGAACAGTGAAATCTTTACTTTTCCAAATTTAAAGACTTGTGATCAGGTTAATCCATATTCGAACACACACATAGACACACACAAAGTTCTCTCTAAACAGTCTATTCTTTTACTTCTAACTGGAACTATTAAAATATAAAATGTTAACAAAGAGAAACAGTCATATAAGAGTTAGAATATTCTAGCAGCATATTGTTATGCAGTTGAGAAGAATCACATTCAGCCAAGAAATTTCACAAATACATGGTCACTAAATCTAGTTATAGACCATGGCCGTAGGCTGAGATATGCAGGAAAGATGCCTGGAACATCAAAAGAGAAAATCTACTATTCCTATAATTGCCTGGTATAACTAGCAAACTGTATTCTATGTATTCTAATTTATTCTTCTTTCTATTTCATGGATTTCTCTTGCTGTTGAAAGAGAATGCTTATCCATTCCTGTCAAGCCTGTTCTTGGACAGCTATTAAACTCCTTGGAGCTCACAAATTTTCCTTTCCTTTCTTCTTTTCTGTTCTTTTCTTTTTTTCCCCTTCCTTCCCCCTTTTTTTTTTTTTTTTTTTTTGGTAGTTTGCCATTTCTCGATGTAATATTAAGAACCCAGTGAATAAAAACACTGGAGCCCAGTAATATTGAGTGTGAATCCTGGTTATGTCTGTTAAGAACTTTGTAATCTTGAGCAAGTTCATCTAACCTTTTCTGACTCTCAATCCACCATTTTAAAAGAGAGGATGATAATAATTGCCTTATAGGGTCACGGTGAGGAATAAGAAAGAAACTATAATTATGTCGCATGCATGTGAAGTGAGCAATAAAGAAAATGTTTCCTTCCTTGATATTTGTTTCTTTTTCCCTTCAAAATTATAAGATGAACCAAACTCATCATGAGTGATTGGGCATATGCCAAGCATATTGCTGGAAATGAAGGATAGTATTTAAGTCTCAATATCTTTGAGAGGTCAAAATTAATAGAATTTTTTTCTTCAACTCTTTTATATTTATAAATAAATTTTCTCATAGAAGCTAGAAAAATATACAGGTAACTTAATTTATAATGCCTATGATTAATTCCTGAATATCTAAAAACACATCTCTGTAATATGGGGGATTTTATAATTGTGTGCACATTATCCTTAAAATAGCATTGCCAAAATTATTAAATTTCTTCAAAAGATATCATGATGTCTGAAATTGCCCTTATCATTTTTTAACTTAAAATCACTTCTTTTCTAATTGCAAACTATACTCACACAACAATGTTGGTAACTAGTTTATTTATTAATTGAGATTATAATTTTCTTATTTCCAAAGTCGTTTTGAGAAGCCCATACAGTTAATTACAATATGATATGGCATAATATAGTGACAGAATCTAAGGAAAACCAGTAGAAAAATGTATATAACAGTATACCTGAGTCTAGATGATTACTACTGGAAAACACTAAACTAAATTGAATGTCAAGGAAGCTAAGGCACAAAGGGAGATTGCTTGGTATGTTTCAATTCTCATTTTCTGACCAGAAGAGCATAATTTAGATTGAAGAGACAAACTCTTTGGCACTGAATTGAAGGACGAATTTCTTGCAAAGGTTTTTAAATTGGGGTCATGCAATAACAAAAGACAAAATCGCTGTTCAAATAGACATTTCTCTAAAAGCTGAGGGCATAACATTTAATCATATTTCAGTAAAGGCACTTCTTAAGGGAGCTGAGATAAAAGGGTATATTGCTCTCTGGTGATCCAACAATCTTAGGGAAAAGCTTGGGAAATATAGAGCCAAGATTTTTAAACTCTCTTCCCAGAGTTCCAAGGTTCATGTGTCCATTTAGTCACTCATCAAATTTATATTGAATTTCTACTGCTCTAAGAAGAAACAGCATATATACGATAAATACAGAATGACAGATATAGGTCTATTTCTCTACATATTGATATAGATATCTACTAGAATATAAACTCTAAAAATGTATTATGCATATATAACATTCCTCATGAAGTTTATATTCTTCATATGTATGTATATATTTATCATTGGGTTTATATTTTTGTAGAAAGCAGATGATAAAAAATATAATTAAAATATGTAGGATTTCAGGTAATGATAAGCACCATTGAGAACAGTAAAGCTGAAAATGAGGCTATTAGAAAGCTGGATGAGTAGCTAACACATGAAGAAACAAAGGCCAAGGTGGTTACATGTTTTTGTTTCCATACTTAAAAAATAGGTAAACTAAGACTGAAATCCTAGTCTTTTGGCTTCACAGTGTGATTTTAAGCAATCACATGGCATTAATAGCCTGGAATTATTAATACGTGAAAATGTTAGTTTGATCTATAGATCAAAATCTCTTCTTTGAATAGGGAAGGATTCATTCCTAACAATTTTCCCCTTTCCAGATGCCAGGTAACACTGATTCTCTTGCCAAATTTGTGTGTAGCTAGAACACTACTTTTATGCCTTCATAGCCTGGTAAGAAAGAAAAGACATGTATGAATAACTCAGAAGGCGGAAAATTATCGTGCCATTAGAAATATAACAGTACAATGTCATGTGGCTTCTCAAAGAGGACCATTGCATCTTCATGCTGGTTACAGAGTATAGGTGGCACAGAAGAGACTTTGGGAGGATGAAGAGGATAATTCAGGGAAAATGCACAAATGTATGTCATAGAGCAGCAGTCCCCAACCTTTTTGGCACCAGGGACCAGTTTCATGGAAGATAATTTTTCCATAGACAGGGGTGGGGGATAATTTCAGGATGATTCAAACACATTACATTTATTGTGTACTTTATTTCTATTATTATTACATTGTACTATATAATGAAGTAATTATATGGCTCACCATAATGCAGATTCAGTGGGAGCCTGAACTTGTTTTCCTGCAACTAGACGGTCCTATCTGGGTGTGATGGGAGACAGTGACTGTAAATACAGATGAAGCCTGCTGCTCACGTCCTGCTGTACAGCCTGGTTCCTAACAGGCCATGGCCTGGGGGTTGGGGACTGCATTCATAGAGGAAGGAACAGCATGCGTGAGCATAATCAGCAAAGAGGAAATCATGGGTAATATTAAGGTAAAATAGAGATTTTGTGGGAAATGTGAAACTAAGGGTAGAAAGATGTCTAAGGAATCTGGTCTTTGGAAATGAGGAACCATTCAAAGGTTTTTGACACTGGACTAACAGGATGGTTAGTGAAGATCAACTTAGCAGCATTTTGCAATAGTTTAACAGCATTCCCAAAAGCTTCTGGAAGATGGCATGTTATGTAATAGTGAATCTATAAATAGGTAAAAGTCAACAGAATTATCAATATGTCAATATAGGCATTACCCTATATCTAACCTAAGACTCAATAGATTATGATATTGACATAGTTTGATCAAGATTTTTACCCTGATTTCAGATCTGTGTCCCTTCAGCAGCACTTCACCAATATTTCATGAAAGAAGTAAGACCTAATGCTCTGAAGCATTAGGTCACGTATAAGCATCACATATAAGCATCCATTATACGTGATAAAATAATTTCTTTTCTTACCATCTAGAGTGATACTTGCTATGTGCCACCATCATTGGAATTGAGAAAATAGGTTGTGTGCAGTGGCTTATGCCTATAATCCTAGCATTTGGGGAGGCAGAAGTGGGAGGATTGCTTGAGGCCAGTAGTTCGAGACCAGCTTGAGCAAGATAGCGAGAACCCCGTTTCTACAAAAATAAAAAAAATAGCCATGTATGCTGGCTAAAAATTACTCATGGTACACGTCTGTGGTCCCAGCTACTCAGTAGGGTGAGGCAGGAGGATCACTTGAGCCCAGGCGTAGGAGGTTACAGTGAGATATGATGATGTCACTGTACTCTAGCTGGGGTGAAAAAGGAAGACTGTCTCAAAAAAAAAAAAAAAATTGAGAAAATAGTCACTGAAATCATTGTGTAGGGCTTAATTTTCTCATAGAATGCTAGTTGAAAGGCTGTGATACAAATCATCAAAATGGCAGGAATTCTGAAAATCTGTTTGTTATAAGTGAGATTTTTACACAACTGTTAAATCTTTGTGTTCAAATTTACTAAAGCTCACTGAAAAATATTTAGGAATTTAAAATTCAGAAGGCTTTCAAATTAGTTCTCTGCAGCTATCATACCAGGGCAATTAGAACATATATTAAAGTATAATTAGCTAGTGTTAGAAGGTCAGAGCTGGACAGAGGACTATCTCCTCATATGAGTGATGAAGCCCAGATATTGACCTTTATGCTAATTATAAAGCCTTTTGCTCATTCTTACCTCTGTGAAACTACTTTTTTGGGTGACTAACTGAACAAGAATTTAAACCTTGAAAATGAGGAAATTTGAAGATAAATCTTTGAAAATATGTAACATAGGAGCTAAAAATTAAGTTGCATTGGGTCTTTACACTAACTCTTCCCAGTTTATATTTGTCATTGGAAGTGTTTTTAAATATATATTGCTAGAGTCAGATGATAACTCTATTAATCTCTTAAGGTATAGAATAATGTGAATATATAATTTTCAAATTACTTACACTACTGAGATTTGGTGAATTTCATTCAGATGATGCAGTAGAGATGCCAGGTTCTTTCAGAAGAAAAATTAGCAAGATTTCAAATATAAAGGAGGGGGGAGGGGAGTGGGATGTGTTCCCAGAAACTATAGCTGGTTATTGTGAGATTAACTGAGTGTCAGTGTGAGGAAACAAAAGATAGATTCAGTGGAAAATTTTAAGAACCTTGCCTAGGAGTTAAAGTCGGTTGATGAGATTTGTTGCCAAGCTTGTAAGGTTCTCAGTAAGGCCTGTATTAGTAAGAAATTTGGAAAGAGGTCAGATACAGTTAGGAAATTAGGTTGGAATGAACACCAGGCAAGGCTAGTATTATAGCAATGGCAAAATATTTGATCATTTTTTTTAAAGCATTTTAAGTCTGACCTTGGTAGCTTATTTAGACTCAGAGACATGCACAAAATTGTCAAAAGAGATGTTGACCCCATCCAGCTTCTTTTACATGAGAAACTTTTATGGAAAACTAGAACCTTCTGGTCAGTGGGTGTTGGAGGCATCATTATCTTGAATGGTTCACTGGAGAGACGTGAAGTTATACTTTGGTTCTCGGGTTTTAAATTACCACTTTTGAAAAGTATGAAGTATCAACAAAATATGATCTGACCATTTTGTTCCCAAAATCATTTGCAAAATTATTCTAGCCCTTAATCTTCTCTTTGGTATTAATGAGGAGAGTAGGAAACTGGAAGCTACTGAATTGGAGAAGTTGACTTTAAATCCATATCTTGGTGTCATATACATGTTTCAGGTTTTTTTCTGAAGGTTTAGTAGGATTCTATGACTTAAGTATCTCCTATTGGTTACCTTCAAAATAAAGAGATTATATGAAAATATTTCAGATTATCTAATGATTTTGTATTCAGCCATCTCTGGCATTCATTTCTAATCCTATTCCTGATCCAGACTCCCTACTATGGACACAAAAGAAGGAATTCTTAGTTGTGCCTACAGGCAGCATTGCAATTTCCATGCATTATTAACAGCTTAGAAAAATATATCTTAGAAATAAATCTGAACAACTAATTATAATTATGAGGATGAAAAGGAAGACTAGAAACACACTATTGAGAAACAATTTCTACATCTCAGTTGAGCTTTTATTTTAAAATGCTTTATATTATCTCTATAATATTATTTGTAAAGAGGGAAAAGAAAACCTCACTTTGTTGCTATCCAAAGTAGATGATTCTACGGATTTAGCCATATTGAGACTTCTGGTTATAAAAAATGATAATGTTTTTGATATTTTACATGGCATCCCACTCACTAAGTGATCAAATACCCTCTTGCACCCTATGTGTGCAATAAAGGTGAAGTTTTATATTATTCTTTCAAAAGGAGAAATATCTGTTTAATACAGACAAAAACATGTCAACAAAACCATTCCAATATTTACTGAAATCGTAAAACAACAAATAAATAAGCTAAATGCACTAAATGGTCTGAAAGCACCTTTTCATTTTTTCTAACAGAAAAACAGAGTTTCGAAGGTATAGAAACATTTCACCATGGCCTTTATGGGTGAGGAAAAATATTTAAAGCAAAGGGAAACATATGGAAAGGCTCAGAGTGACAAGGTCAGAGCAGATCTCAACTGAAATAAGAAAGAAGGAAGGAATTTTGGCAAATATGTAAAGACACCTAGTGTAAGTTTGAAAAGATTATGTCAATGTTGATTTTAGCTATCTTTTTAACTAAAAAATATGGACTGTTTTATAAGTATTTGCTTATACTTGGAGGGTTCTCCTAAAGAACTACTAATATGAATTTGGCTGAACTAATTTTTTCATAAATGTGACTTTCCAAAGTTATATAGTAAATATACTTCTTACCTGGTTTTTCTTCCTTTGGGTTTCTTGTGCCACACTGAGTAACAACCAACCTGCTGATATCTATTGTTTCTGAAAAGATACTTAATTATAGTAAGTAATCATTCTTCTATGTCATGTTAAACATAGTATTCTGAAAAAGCAACATTCTCTGAACATTCCACTTTTAATATTTTTAAAAACAGTTTTTAGAAGAGATTTCTCTAGAAAAGATTAATTTGACACTGAAATCAGCTAACTCAAATTATGCTCAATTTTTAGACATTTGTGTGAGATCTTCTCATTTCTGTTCTTCTCCTTTAAAGCTGCAGCCAAATGTTTTAGCTAGATTTTTAATCCATAGCACAAGCATTTTATTTTAAATCTGAAGATGAAAATGTGATTTTAATTAAAATGCAATGTGCATCCTAGAGTTTATGTTGTAGAATTAATATTTAAGTTATGTGGTTCCATTAAGTATGTACCATATGTATTCTTTTTGAATAAATTTATTGTAAAAACAGGATGAATTTCTGGGAAATATTTTATATCTTTGGAAATAGAAAATATATTAAGTTTTGGTAAACTTATCTATTGTTAGTTGAACAATGGACAGAATATAGAAGTTGGCGAGACTGAGAAATTATGATGAGTTGGGTCTGACTTCTCCAGGACTTTGGAAATTTTGTACAAATATTATATTTTACTTATATAATAAATGAATGCATGTGGATTACAGTCAAGTATTTGAAGACTCATCATCTATAAATCTAGGAGTTTGCTATTGGTTTTTCATTATGAGATTCTTTGACTTGTAAGTTACTAAAAGTCTATAAGAAGGTTCGTTGGTTTGTTTGAAATTTAACTGTTCTCTATCAAGAATATGTCAGATAGCCAATGAAAATAGATATATGAGGTGGAGGTGCCAGGTATCTATACCAAACTTGGCTATCATTTCAATTAGCATTGTCTATCTTTTTTAAGTGCCTAAGTTTAGAATAGTCACTGAATATTCCTGTGTATGAAGCAGTTTTCCGGAAAGGTGGTTATTGGTAAGGTTTACGCTTTTTGATATATTCTGGGAGATACTGAGTAAAGATAAACCATTTACCATGGAATCAAGAACTAAAACCTGATTTTTTGGCTTTCTGCCAAAGATGCTAGAGAAAATGATGAATGACAAATACATTACCAAGAAATTCTTTCTCTAAGAGGCTGACAAAGATCTAGCTTTTAGGATTGTATTACCACCAAGAAGGATACCCCTTTTTCTTCTACTAGAAATAGTATCTTCTACTGGAAATATTATCTGTGCTGAGACAGCCTTCAGTTCTTTTTCTTTCTTTCTTTTTTTTGTTATGCTATCATCCTCATAAGTCATTCTTGGTAAAACAATCACTTAAAGAACGCTGAAAAACCAAATTTATACCATTATTTTTATTGGTATATATCTTAAAATTACTCTAAAGAAAATTTATATGTTTTATAAAAATATGACTTATAAGTTGTTTTCTGGGGTAATTTAACCATTATTTAAGGACTATATATTACATATATTTTTATTCACATATTTTTATTCCTGTGTTGCTTTGGCTTGAGGAAACTGGGTCTCCCTCCGTAGGAGGAATTTTATTAAATTAAAAGTATAAGAATCTAAGATGATCTTGATAAGCTAGCAGAATTTAATAAGATAACATTGAATAAAAGTGAATTAGAGGTAAGTTCCAGGTTTCACACTTGAATACAAATAATCAATTATCCAGATGCAAAATACTTCAGACAAAATCTAAAATCACTTGACAAAAACTCAGGGCTTCTAGTTGACAATAAATATAATGCAATGCAACAGTATAACACTGATATCTAAATATCTAATATAATCGTAGGTAATATTAATAAGTGTGTTATCTAAATTGGGTGATGTGATATCCTGCTTTACTTTGTACTGGTCAGCTCTGGGTGCCACCCTTTGAAAGGAATCAAGACTATGCAGATCACTTTTATAAGACAAAAACCAAGGGAAAAAAATTCTTTCTTAGATAGTAGAAAGAAATTGTTAGGTACAACTTGACAAGGTCAGCCAAGCATCCAAATCTTCCAGGAGGATGGTACTACATAAAATCAAACCTATTTGATAGCCAGCTATAAACAAGTACATCTTATTTTTCTCTCTAGGTATTAAAACTTCCAAACTCTGTTTATTTCGCAGGAGTCTGAACTTATAGAACTAAGGGAAACCATTGAAATGCTGAAAGCCCAGAACTCCGCTGCACAGGCTGCTATTCAGGGAGCACTGAATGGTCCAGACCATCCTCCCAAAGGTATATTTAGGAATATTTCCTTTTTCACCCAATATAATAGGCATCTATTTTATTTTTTAATTAGAATAAAGCTGTGTTTACTCAGTGGCACTGCCTTTTATAATGAGTAAGATGATATTAATGTGGTCAGAATTCAAGAACAGTGGTTTTCACTATCAAAGAATGTTTAAATTGGCCTTAAGGAATTTGCTTCTACAGAGGTACACACATTTCTCTCTACTCAATTTAGTGAAGATGGCGATGGGATGGTTGGTTAATGCATGCATATCTGACTTGAAGCAAAACAAACCCAGTAAGAGTATGATAATTCATATTTGTATATAAAAATAAGATCATCAATATGGTGATACAGCAAGTAATGAGCTTTGGGAACTTCAGGGTGAGGGGAAAAAAAGGTACATTCTCTGCAGACAATTTTAAGACAGTAAGCAAACAAACTAAAAGTTGTTCTGTTTTTGATCATTGCCATGCTTTGGCAATTCTAAACAATGAAAATAATTTTTCTCTGCCACCACCTTGACCCCTTGGCTCACTGCTGAAGAAATGCTCATTATTAATGTCATGTTGTTTACATAGGTTCTGTTTATTCGTGTGTTGACTCTTTTTAATACATTCAGTATGCTTGTCTACTTTTTCCCAACTTAAAAATATTTTTTCTAAATCTCAGTCCACTATTATCTTTCTTCGCATTCCCAGATAAATTCTGGGGAAAGTTTTAAGTACTCTTTCAATATCTCCAGCCACCTGTCACACTTTAGCCCACTAGAGTGTAGCTTCTCTTCCCACCACTCCATTAAAACGATTCTCTCCAGGATCAATAGTGACTTATATGTCACCAAATCCAGTAAAACATTTAAAATTCTTATTGTATTAGACATGGAAACAGCATCTGATACTGATGTCCATTCTCTCCTACTTGAAACATTTATTTTTTTCTAATGTTCATGATATCATACATTCTTGGTTTTTCTTTTGCTCCTTTGAAATCTCTTTTAAAGTTTCTTTTGTAAGTTCATGCCTTTGTCTCTATTTGTTAATTGTTGATAACCTAAACTCTCTTCCATATGATTCTGCACATAACTCCTCCTTTCCTGATTCAGTAAGTCACCAACATCTGTTAATTCTACCCCTTTAATATCTCTTGGATTTCTTCACCTTCTTTGATCCTATTATCACCATCCATCATCTCCTATGAACTATGAGCATGAACCCCTAAATCGCTTTCCTATTAAAATATTACCCTACATTACACCATTCTTCACGCTGAAGCCAGAGCAGTCATCTAAAAACATATTATCTACAGGTATCCCATTGCCTTTAGGATGAAATAGAAACTCCTTAATATGGGATACTCTCTCTTCACAGCTTCATCCATTCAACAAATATTCAATTACCAATTCTGTGCCAGATGTTGAGCTAGACCTTATCTCTTGTTCTTTTGTTGCATTGTATATTATATATTTCAACTATCCTGAATTTCTTTCAATTCTTCATAAGTTCTTTATACATTCTATTTACTCCACTGGTAACATTCTACTCTGGTCAGCATGAAAACTTTCTGACACACTGTAGGAGTTAGGCTACATATGCCTCCTTGACCCCTAAACTGGATGAAGTCCCCTGTAAGTATGTTTCTGGAAATAGCTGTACTTCCCTTATTAAAATTCACATCACACTATGATGCCTTTATTTAACGTATGTCCTTCCTGATTCATGAAAAAGGGGTTTGTTTCTTTACCCTCGTGCCCATAGTGATGCCTTGCACACAAAATGAACTTACTCAAATTCTATAGAAAAGAATAATATAATTTTTAAAATGTACTTAAATTTAAACTTTAGGAAAACAATTATATAAAGTGAGATAGATATACTTAAATTGAAGGACGAACTAGTTCTCTAGGGGCTACTTCTGCTAAGAATTTAGCAACTTTCCATGTGGGGGCGATGATTTATGTGCTGCATGGAAAATTACTGCATATTTAAAGCTTATCTTAGAGCTATAATAAAGCTGCTTATGTTCTAAATCTTCATGTTGTAAATAGGTCCAGAAGGGATTTAAAAAGGCTTAATCCTTATTTTAACAAAGCACAAGTCACTGAAGTGAAACTTTCTGAAAGGATTCTTTTTATCTTTGGCAACAGGTAGCTTAACATCTGCTGGAATTGAAAAAATAGGAATTCCGTTGCTCAGAAAGGTGGGGGAGGTGGTACCAAAGATGAACAAAATAACAGTTAATATCTAAATTGACCAATATTAAAAATAATTTTCTAGATTTTTCAAACCATCAAAAACAACTAGTTATAAAGGGTTGAATATATATAATATATACAGGATAGTTACATTGTATTTCTGTTATATTAAAACTATTAATTCAGTGAAGACAAAGTGATTCTTATCGCATTGACCATTGACATTATATGGAGAAAATAGTTAGACTAATTATGTATCTTTCCATGGGTTATCAAGGTGACTGTATGACCTATAAATTTGTATTATGAAATCATATTGAAATTCAGTTTTAGAGACCTTTAAAGTATTTATGTCATGTGTATTTTTAACATATGATCTTAAAAGATATATTTAGAATGAAGCAACACTTTTATAGACAGGTCAAACTATGGCAAAATTGCATACTAATTTATTAAAGTACCTTTCTATTTTCCCTAAATTTATGTTTTATGTTTATTAACAACATCTGATAATTACAACCTATAATAAAATTAATTTATTTGTTTATAAACATATTTAAGCACCTACTATTAGTACTAGGCACTCTATTAGATTTTTGAAATACAAAGATAAAAAAAGAATGGCCCTGTACTCAAGGGGCTCACAGTCCACTGCAATAAAAGATTTTTATATATAGATATATAACAATATTAAGAAGCATAATTATTATAAGGCTGAATTTGAAGGTAACAGAATATTTTACTTTTATTTTTCAAAATGTACTTCTCCTTTTTAAGTCACCACTTCTGTATAAATATGAGATAGATTTTCCTTAAGTTATACCAAGTACAATTGCATAACATATGTATTTAATTGCTGTCAACAGTGTATTTTTTTAGGAATAATGGTAGACAAACATAGTTGTGTCAAACAAATAATTAGAATAGATTTATTCAACAACTACATATTGATTGCCTACCACATGCCATTTTCTATACAAGGTCCTGTATATATAATGGTAAACAAAATTGACATGGTCTTTGTCGCCATCAAACATTTAGTCTAGTAGGAGAACAGAAAATATATGATTGTTTGTGATCATTGGTATAGCTGAGCATGCATGCCAAAATAATTATAAGTTCTAAGATGGATAAATAGGTACCAAAAAGAAGGAGGGTATGAGGGAACCTACTAGAGGTTGCATGATCAGGAAGGCTTTTCCAAAATAGTGATATTTAAGGTGCTATTCAAGGAATAATTATGAAGTCATATTAAATTATTGAGATAGGAGCATTCCAAGGGGGCCTTCAGACAGAAAAGAGATTAGTGTCTTTATGGAAGTGCTACAAGAAAGATAATTAGCAAAGATGTAATAAGTACAACAAGGTTAGAGAAAGAAGAACCAATGAGATCACTGAGGTTGTGGGGCCATATTTAGGAGTTAGAGTTTTTTCTATTCTTATTAAAATAAGACTCTGTTGAATAGTCTTAAGTAAGGGAATGATGTTTTTCTTTTAAAAAGATTTCTCTAGCTGTTGTTTGTAGAATGGTTTGATGGTGAATAAGTTGGATAGCTCTTTTTGCTATAGGGTTGATGTTGGTACCTTGAAGTAGCTTGAACTGGGGCAGTGGTGGTACAGAGGGTGGATGAATGAGTGAACAATCACATAACTGAAATTTTCACTTTTACAATAGGCTTCTTCCTTTAGTTAGATTGCTTATATTCATTTGGTTAATCATTCTTTACTGATCCCTATGATGCCTCATGCAATGGATTAAATACTCATAAACACTAAAAAGGAATTATTAGAGAAAAGTAAAATGCATTCCCTTCATTCCATGATATTATTGAAATTATGCCTTTGTTAATCTTTATTGATAAATGCAGTCATAACTGAAGGTAACTAACACCTCCAAGGACTACTCTTTACCTATAATTATAATAATTCACCTATATTTTTAAAAAATATGGTATTAAATAAGTTACATATAATTTATTAATTCTGGGTATAATAAAATTTCTGGGAAAATTCAATACTTTATGCTTTTGCTCTATTCGTGAAAGTTAATCACTAGGAAAAAGCTTGCAAAAAAGCAAGCTTATTCAAAAAAGCTAATAGTCAATTGCAGCAGAAATTTAAAACATAAATACCTGCACATATTCTTTCATTGTTTATTTATATGATTCTATATTAGTTGATTAAGAGATACTAGATTGCTTTAATGTTGAATTAAAACCACACAAATAAATACTTTGATTTAGGTTTTGAGATTGGTAATATCTTTGGCATGCAAAAACAGTAAATATTTCCATTAGCATTTTTTAAAATAATTTTAAAAGACCAAACTCTAGGGATTCTGAAAAATAACTCTATATTTTTCCTCTTATAAAATTTTCCAGCATGATTACATTAATACAAAAATTAAGGTATTTATTGATATGTATATGTATGAATGTGTGGTTATATATATGTATGTATATATATGTGTATACATTTTTTACATACCCACACATATACTCATTTATTATATGTTTTCAAAGTAACCAGTTACAGTTTCATTGCCATGGGTCATTTTTACTCTTCAATAAAATCAGTCAAGTGCAAAAGCTTGATTTTATACTGTTATTTCTATGGAAACTTTGTGAAAGCTTTATAGTAATTTTTGACATCTTACAAGTTCCATTGAAATTTTTTGCTTGGTTAATCTGCTTTGATGTCAATTATGTATATTAATAGAAATGGCCTAAAAGCATATTTGACTTTACATATAATCTTATAAATTCTCTCAGTGTCTCACTAACACTTAATATCAGTTCACTGTAAATAGACAAAATTTCTAAGTTTTAATTTTAGTAACTATATATAAATCTTATATGGAATAAGTGGATAGCTTCAAAAATGATTAAATATCAAATGCTGTTCTCTTAAGATGTCTTAACTAGAGAAGCACTACATGCTTTGAGAAGTATAGCATGGCCATATTGGCAGTTAGCATGATGAATATTAGAATCGGTCTAAGTCTAAGGTTGATTCTACTATTTTTTAGCTAAGTGACCATGTGCAAATTACTTTTAGAAATTAAAATTATTTCAGTTGTTTTAGAATAAAATTAGGTACTCCAGGGACATACTAAGTATATAGTAAAAGCAAGCTTTATTATTATTTATTGTTATTAGTATTACTGTTACCATTTTAAGTCATGGACAGGGACTAGAGATAGGTTAGAAGAATTGCACTGTCTGCAATATGTTTTTTGTTTAATTCAAAAGCTCGGTCTACCTAAACTCTCTTTTAAGGATCTTCCCTTCATTGGCTGTTTGACCTTGGCCAGGTCACTTAGCTTCTTTGTACTTCAGTTTCCTCATCTGGGAGATGATGTGTTTACATGATTTCCAAGGTTTGCTTTGGCTCTAATGTGGTAGAACTCTATGAAATGGAAAGTTGATATATTTGGCTTTGGTAATTTTATTCAAAGCACAAATATTCAAAAATAATTCTTTCTCATCCTATTATGAGTTTCCATTTACTCCATGGAACTAATCATGTGGAATAAATCATTTTGGAAGAGCTGTTTAATCTAGGTGTTCAGTAGAGATCACTAGCATAGCATTTTATTTTTGGAAAAAACTCAGAACTCATTAAACTAGCAGTACTACAGTCTTACATGAGATTCCCATTAAATCTTAATGTAGATAACACAGTTAATTACAGCAAATATGGTTGTAATTTATTAAACTTTCAAAGCCAAAACCGTGTTGAAATGATCTGTACAAAGCCTTGTTAACTTTTGTTAGGGAACCTGCTTTCAAAATACTTAAAAGACTTATTTGTTCAGATTGAAATTCTGCAAAAAAAAAAAATGTGATACTCTCTGTCTTTTGCTAGATCTCCGCATCAGAAGACAGCATTCTTCTGAAAGTGTTTCTAGTATCAACAGTGCCACGAGCCATTCCAGCATTGGCAGTGGTAATGATGCTGACTCCAAGAAAAAGAAAAAGAAAAACTGGGTAAGCCATCATCATTCATCTAATAATTCAGAAGCTTATTAATGCACCATGAGTTAGGCCTTTTCCTTTGGGGGTAAGAGATCTACAGCAGTTTAGAAAGGGTCCTCTTCAAGTGACTGGTACCTGTCATACTGTACTCACTACCAAGATCAGGGTGGGGTGATGCTTACGAGCAGACATTTTGGAGTCGGGACTAAACTTGGGTTTGAATCTCCACTGGATCTTGGGCAGGTTACTTCACCTTTTAAGGACCTTAGTTTTCTCATATGTAAAAATGGGGTAATTAATACCAATTCTATAGAGTTGTAGTAAAGAAAAATAGGCTAACAACTGTAAAAGAATGGCTTAAAAGAAGGGTTTATTGTGTTGGTAGAGATAAAGAAAAAAGATTATTATAATAATGGTGGTGGTGGTGAGGTGGTTCTGGTGATGTTAGAGGAAAAGGGGTAGAAGTGGAGTTGATAAAGGGAAAGAAGAGAACTTGAAATCTCCACCCTTCAGAATCCACAGGGCTTACAATATGAACAAAGTTTCACCCCCTAAGAAATAAACCACATTGATGTCTTCTTGACTTTTTAAAATTTTTTTACCAAGAGAAAATAGAAGAAATATAGAATTGCTCTTTAACAGATCTTTGCCTTAAATTGCTAGAGATATAATTTATGGTAATAGTAAGCAATTGCTAAAAAGCTAAGGGGAACAGACTATCACTGCAGATAGTTTTAAAACAATGAAGTAAAGGATTTCTTTTAATATCATGAAACAAAGGTAGATTTTTAAATAAATACAACTCTTGATGAAATCCAAAATGTAACTATCAGAGGATTTTACTGGAGTGCTTTCTATGAATAATGAAAGAAATATCTTTTTTGTTTTAAAAAAATGTTTATGCAGGTAATATTTTAAAATACTGATCAGCCTTCATTCCCTTGATTTGTAATTCCACACTCTTTCATGTTTCTGCAAGGTGAACTCTAGAGGAAGTGAGGTGAATATAAACCATGGACAATTTGGCATGCATCTATAAAAAAACCCTACCTTGGCATGAATGCTATTCATTTTGGCAGTAGGCTTTTATACCTTTTAAAAACAGATTACCTTGTATGTCTTTTCTTTGTGTCTTTTCATTTTAATCTCAAATTTTAAAAAGAAGTAAAACCACTTTCTGAATAGAGCTGTAGGGGATACCAATTCTGGTTTTGAATAGTCTGGGAATTGAAAATTTGAATAGAAAAATCACAATTAATGAAGTGTTAGGTGAATTTGATTTCATTTTGCTTTTTAAGTTCCTACTGTCAGCAGGACATGACTTGATTGTAGCGCTAAAGTGGCCATTTAAAACAAATTGCCTTGAAGAGAGAAGCATTGGGAATGGAGATCCCTTCAAGGTACTTAGTTTTAAATGAGTGCTCTGACAGCCATGCCCTTGACCTTGCACTATTTAAAAGCCTTCCATGTTTGCGCTGCGCTGGATTAATACAAGAATAAAATGAAAACACAAAACACGGTATCATTTTTTTTTTTTAGAGATACTGTGCTGCAACTGTTAATACTCTGCTTATACATACTGACCCCAGGCAGTGGCTAGGACGGCATCTGCAAACTAACGCCCCACAGCAAAAGCTCTCCCAGTGCAAATAGACAAGAAGGGTAATTTCTGTCCTCCTTTCAGCTGAGAAGCTCTTTCAAACAAGCCTTTGGGAAGAAAAAGTCCACCAAGCCTCCTTCCTCACATTCTGACATCGAAGAGCTTACTGATTCGTCCCTTCCAGCGTCCCCCAAGTTGCCTCATAATGCTGGGGACTGTGGTTCAGCCTCCATGAAGCCCTCGCAGTCTGCCTCGGCGTAAGTTACTCCCTTTGAGGAATGCAGAAATATTTTTGGAAAACAACCGTAGGCCAAGCCCACGTTTATGTTCTAAATGTAATTGGATTGCACTCGCACAACGGCGGCACCATCTCCATGCCAATTATTTTCACATCTTTCTGAGAATAGCGGACAGCATCGGTTTCTGTGTCATTTTTCATATATTAGAAACTGAGTGTTCCTTGATCTCATTCTCCACTTTTCTAAATCATTGTTCTCACGTCTTTTCACTTGCATTTCTCCATGTATCTGTCTAACTGTGCGTACATGCAGGTCACCCCTTGTCTGGCCACCAAAGAAACGGCAAAATGGCCCTGTGATCTACAAGCATAGATCCCGGTAAAATGGAGTGTGATGCATGAAAACTGCAAAGATCCAGGTTTTAACCTATGTAGTGTTCGCTTTTGCTTTCTCTAAAATCACTCACATGCATTTTTAATGATAAATTATCTCTTCTTTCATTCTGTTTTCAACTAAAATTTGGTTTCCTAAAACCAACCTGCAACTCACTTTTTATTCTATTAATCAATCTAACATAGCATTTTTATAAGTAGCCCACTTTTTGATAGTACAGCAGGCCCCCCTCATCCATACGAGATCCTTTCCGAGACCCCCAGTGGGTGCCTGAAACTGCAAATACTACTGGGCCCTACATACATTGTTTTTTCCTCTACATACATACCTGTGATAGAGTTAAATTTATACATAAGGCACAGCAAGCAATGAACAACAACTAATGATAAAATACAATATGCTGTGATAAAGTTATGGGAATGTGTTCTCCTTCAAAATACTATAATATTTTCAGACCACGTTTTACTGCAGGAAGCAGAAGCCACAGAAACCAAAACTGTGGATAAGGGGGGACTACTGTACAAGAAAGAACAACGTATTTGGAATGTCGAAATGTTCTGATTAGATGATTCTCTTTGTTTTATATCTTTCTAAATCAGATTTCCTCGTATGCCCACAATAATGACTAGCATTGAACTCTCATATGGAATAGAGCCACTATGCTTTGACTACATCATTGCATCACTTATGTAGGAAGGAAGAATATAACCACTGTTATTTTGTGCCCAAACCTAGTCCTCAAATTTTAAATGAAAAACCATTAGTTAATATGCAACACATTCTTTTGATGGATTTTCCACAAAGTTGTCCGCAAAACAACAAAACAAAACAATAAGGATATAACGTATATGACCTTCCAACAGCCCCCAGCTAGCCTGCTAGCATGAGTTGAAACCTGCGATTTAGCTTCATTAGCCGGGATCTCCTAAGTCAGCTGAGCCTAACAGGAACGTTAGATAACACTCACCCGATATTTAAATGTCCAAAACTAATCTCTCTAATTTATTTTCTACAATATTTATATTGGATTTTCATGGTAACTTGAAGACAGTGTTGTGGCAAATAAGGTTATTATTATTTTTTTTGCACAATTTTTCAAAAGAAGAAACCAACATTTTAAGTATGTAATAACTTTGCTTTTTAAAAAAGAATATTCACATGTTGCAAATGGAGATTTAAATCCCTTGAAAAACGCTGGAATGAAATGTAGTAATACTAGGATTTTTCTGCCCTATAAATATCAACAACAAGGAAATTTTTAGAATTAGTTTATATTCAGGAATAGTAGATTGTTTCTTAAACTTCAGAAAATGGGAAGAAAAGATTAAAAGAAACACAGCTATTTTCAATTTTGAACCTATGAATATATTACTATTCGTAAAATTTGTTCTGCTTTTCTCCAGGTTTTGCCAGCAGGAAATAATTTCTGTACTTGCTGGATAATATTGCAGTTCAGCTTTGAAAAGTGGCATTACTTTTCCTAATCCCTCTGGCTTCTCCAGACCACTGAGTTTGTGTTTGTTTCCTTCTTCAGGATCTGTGAATGCACAGAGGCTGAGGCAGAGATAATTCTGCAGCTGAAGAGCGAGCTCAGAGAAAAGGAATTAAAATTAACAGATATTCGGCTGGAGGCCCTCAGCTCTGCTCATCATCTTGATCAGATCCGGGAAGCCATGAACCGGATGCAGGTCGGTGCTGAAGCACTTTGAAGGAACAAAATGGAGAAATAAAAATACTGCTTCTTCTCTTCTCTTGCTTATTATGGAACAAATTCTGCTTTTAAACGCACTGTGGAAATGTACTCTGTTTATTCCATCTTTGCAACTCATTTTTTAATGGAGAATTTTGTCAAACCCAGGTTTGGAAATGGAAGTGCAAACCAGCCAGTTGTACTCTAGAACCATTTAAGATGCTTACACTAGTGATTGGATTCAGGTTGAAAGTGAAGTTTTTAGAAAAACTACAATTCTTGCTTCTTCACTTTTCCATGATTTACCTTCATCTTGGCTTTTTGCCTGTTCCTTTGAAATCTGACTTTCAAATACTTTCACCTGTTTTCTATTGAAAAACAAAAATAATGAGGAAACTAGAAAAATTCAACATAAGCTTTCTGAATATTGAAGTAAAGTGATTTAAAATGCCATATGTAAAAGTAAAGCTTTTGTATTTTTTGGAAACATGTAAAGGCTAAATTCAGAACCAGACTGAGTTTTCATTTTATTATTATAAACCAGTAATCACTTGGTACCACAGATGACTGAAATAAGAAAAGCTCGTTGCTGAGCAGATTCATCTGCCACTGTGTATATTCATCAAATGGCTTTTGTTTTTATGAGCTTAGTGTGCCATTCTGAAGGAACAAAAACTTTTTCAGATGTCAGCCAGAATTCAAGTAATTTCAAATCACCTTATTTATGTTATTTTTGTTTTGCTCTATTTTTCAACTCTCCATGAATTCACAATAGCATTACAAATGTTATTTGCCTATGAAATCTTAACATCACTTTTAAAATGAGAAGTATTATGAACTATTTAAAATGTGTTATTCTTTTTTTTTTTTTCTGAGTCAGAGTCCCACTCTGTTGTCCATGCTAGAGTGCCATAGCGTCAGCGTAGCTCACAGCTACCATGTTTCCACGAAAATAAGACCTACCCACAAAATAAGCCCTAGCAGGATTTCTACGCATCCGCACAATATAAGCCCTACTCTGAAAATAAGACCTAGTGATGGGCGTGGCTACTCAGCGCATCTGCACAGCCCATGCATTTCACCGCAGAGCGGCAAACAAGACCAGCAGCCCTTTTCATCCGCCCCATGAGAGCTCTATTGCTCAACATGAGAGATTGGGGCCAATGGTTCTAAAGGAAATACAGTTGCAAGAAATTCAGGATGGAATTCAGAGTTTGGAGAGTTATGATGATCCAGAAGAAGACAACTTAACTATATTTGAATAAATGTAGATTGTTGTACCATACTTAAAAAAATACACACACATCCCCTGAAAATAAGCCCTAGAGTGTCTTCTTAAGGAAAAATAAATATAAGACCCTGCCTTATTTTCAGGGAAACATGGTACCTCAAACTCCTGGCCTCAAGGACTACTTCTGCCTCAGCCTTCCGAGTAGCTGGGACTACAGACATGTGCCACCATGCCTGGCTAATTTTTTTCTATATATATATATATATTTACTTGGCCAATTAATTTCTTTCTTTTTATAGTAGAGATGGGGATCTTGCTCTTGCTCAGGCTGGTTTCCTGGAGTGCTAGGATTACAGGTGTGACCCACTGTGCCTGGCCAAATTATATTATTCTTACTTAATTCAAATGAGACCAAGTCCTGAAAAACTTTTCAAAAAATATGATATATTTAAAAAGTAATTATAAAAATGTTTTTATTGGTTACCGTGTCTGTATTTGTGAATACAGGAACGCATGTATGTGAGGGAGAGAGAAAAAATTAACTTTCCTTTTCTGGAAGGAAATCCTGCTTCATAATTTATATTTGTTTATTTACTATATTACCACGTGCTTTATTGAACAAATAGGCTAATTAACTCTGATAAGAGATTTGGTGCCATTTTCTCTATCTAACTAGCTCATTTTTGTGTGTGTGTGTGTGCTTTTCATCTTTATAACAGAATGAAATTGAAATACTGAAGGCTGAAAATGACCGGTTAAAGGCAGAAACTGGTAACACAGCTAAGCCTGCTCGGCCACCGTCAGAATCCTCCAGCACCGCCTCCTCCTCATCTTCACGGCAGTCGTTAGGACTTTCTCTAAACAACTTGAACATCACAGAGGCTGTTACCTCAGGTGATTGATCGCACATGCCTGCCTGCATCACAGCATGTCCGGGATTGAACAGGGGCAGGGAGAGGCTTAGAAATTGGAGAACCTTCCACCCTCTTAAAAATATTAACACTCTCATTCTCAGAAATAGTCCTATTTTTATCTTATAAATTAATTCAACTTAGTTGTAGTTTTGAAAAGCACATTCTCCGTGAAAAGGTGAATCTTAGAGATATGATTTTCCTAATATTTAAAAAAAATTTACTTGTGCTTGGGAAGTACTTTCTCCAGGACTATGAAGATGAAGAAATAATATTCTCAGTGATGATGAGTAGTACTCATGGATGTAATAATAACCCCATGCAATTTTATAGTGTTTTAAGTATACAGTATGGGTTTCATTTACAGGTATATCAGGACCTATTTCTAAATTTGACTAGATGAATAATGCTACTACATCCCCAAACCTACAGCTCTATTAAATTTTCGACAAACAAAAAGAGCACACCAGATTCTGTTATTGTATTCAATAGTACTAGTAATGCAACCAGAGGTATAGTTTTGATTTGATTGCAAATATAATTATATGATATAATGTCATCTTAATATCTGATGAACTATTCAATTATAAAGTATAACTGCTCCTGTGGCGTCGAAAAATGTTATGGTTGTAGAATTTAGGGAACATTTGCGTGAAGATCTGTGGTAATTGCAAAGTATTACCACCAGATGGCGCCTGGAAACCAATAATGTACATTTTTCTGGGTAACATTCGATTCCATTTCAGATTGGAGACACTTCACTGCCTGCCTTAAATTACATTCAAATATAGAGGTTGGTGATATTGATTACATTGCCAGTCAATCACATCTCTTATTTCTAAAAAGTCAGAATTTGTAAAAGTCTGCTATTATGGCTGCCCTTCATAATATAAAATAAATGATCCAATTATACACTGGCCTTCTTCATCTTACATATTAAAGGCGAGTGGGAACTCCCTGTAATTCAAGAAAACAACATTTGCAAACATTTGGCGAGGGATGGAGGAAAAAAATAAATTCTAGAATAAGAAGCAAGTAAAACTAATATTTGTAGGCAAAAAAAAAACACATAGCTCTCAGAATTAAATGAATTTATAGACCATTGGGTAAAATAAGACTATGAAAATACATAGTAACTTGAAAGTGTGGATTGTACACAAAGTACTATTGTCCACACTCTTCATAGGATTCTTAAAAAGGACAAAAATTTAAGTATATAGAATCTGAGAGCTTATGTCCTGAGCAATATTCTTTATGTTGGCTTGTTGTTGATGAGCCTGACAGACAAGTGAACTGGAGTCCACATCTAATGGAAAAGTACTGACCGGTGCTTTTCTGTGTGCCCAGGCTCAACTCGTAGGGAAAGACAAGGCCGATACCTTCCAGGACAAATCAATGGCAGGATTTCACTGACTGTTAAGATAATTTTGTTTTAGTCTGTGGAAATATGATAAGGTTTAATGGAGGCAAGGTTAATACTGTAGGTAGCTTAGAAAGAACAAATTTATTTTAAAATAATAAAAAAATAAAATTAAAACTTATGTTTAGTTTAGAACTAATAAATATAAAATCAAAGAAATCAGATTTACAGTTCCCTGGGTATTGGACTTAACATACTGATGGCCATGATTGAAACTTTGGGATAATTTTTTTTTTTGTGGTTGACAATTTTAAAGATTTTTTTTAAATATACTTATTAAATTACCTATTTCATCAGTTATTTTTTAATTCTATATTTTATTTTCTTAATTATTTTCCAATAGTGATATTCATGTCTGAATAAACAAAAAAAATTAAATCACATGACTAGAATATTGTTTTCACAACGTTCACTTTTGTTTAGTGGATTCAAAACTTGGAAATCAAAAATGCCTTCATGCAGGGGCTTTTAAACAGTGTTAATTTTTGAAAAAGAAAAAGAAAAAGGGTTAGGAGAAAGAATAATTGACAAATGTTCAGTTCCTGAAACATTAACTACATGCTTCCATGAATCCAGTAAAGACATAGTTTGAGAAGCCTTGAGTTTTTTGGTCAGAATTTCACTTGATTTTAAGCAAAATGGCAGATCTTTTTATTCTCCCTTCAAAATGTTGACAGAGGACCATAACTTCTTTTCCATAAAAGACCCACAGAGGACTCACACCTCCAACCTGCTGTTTTCCCCTGGAGTTGTTTCTTCAGAATGAGTCATGATGCGATCTTCCTAGTGTCAATAGAAATAGTTCAAATAAACACACAGAGAAAAGAAAGAATGGTTAGAGCAGCAAAACTTTCTAAACATGGAGGATGCAGTCCTTTAAAAGCATTATCTTTTATATTCTCAGTTATCCTCTAAAGTAGGTGCTATTTAAGCCCCATTTTAGCAATGAGGAAACCAAGGTTTAGGAAAGCGACTATAATAATTTGTTCAAGATCACGCATCTATAATAGTGAGTAGCAGAACTAATATTTGAACACAGGTCTGGATGAGTCCAGTACCTGGCCTTTTTAAGTTTTTTTTTTAATTATTTTTAATTATTACAGCTACATAATAGTTATATATATTTATAGGGTACATGTGATGTTTTCGCTACTATATTAATTTTGCTGTAAGTAGCCACATAACAAAAGACAAGGATAGTCAGTCACTCATTAATAAATATTTATTCTACTATTGTAGAAATTTCATATTTTAAACATTGTTTTTAAGACCATGACACAGAATGAATAGCACATTCCAAGGCAAATTTGAGCAGATATGTGCATTAGCAATTAGATTAACCCACTTGCCATAGACTACAAGGCCGTCTATGATTTGGACCTCACCCACTTCAACATTATTTCCTACGACTCCCCACCCTCCCCTTGTCTTTAAATTCCTGCTACCGGAACATCTATCAGTTTCTTGAATGTGCCCAGCTGCTACATTAGGGCCTTTGCACTTGTTCTTGTTGACTAAACCCCTTTTCCTGGCTCTTCATGTGCCTAGGACATTTCAGCCTTCTGGTCTTATCTCCAAACACCATCTCCTCAAGGAAGCCTTCCAGATGACCTATCTAGAGCAGGCTCCCTTTGGCTGCTCTCTAGTCCACTGCCGTTTATATCAGCAGAACACTTAACACGGTCTGAAATTACCTTGTTGAGAATGTATACTCCAAAAACTCAGGGAATTCATTTTCCTTGTCACGTTGGTATTCATTCCCAGTGTCTAGCAGTCTCTGATGTCATTTATGCTTCATATTTGTTCGATATTTATGAACATTTATGACAAATAAGTCAAAATACTAAAGAAGTAATTTGCTTATGAACTACAAGAAGTTTAGATGTGAACAGCTGATGGTAAACCTTTCTAGACTTTTGAGAAAAGGAGCAAGAGAATTAAAATGACATTTAAGGAAGAGTTTTGTTTTTGAGTAGGGTAGGTAAAAACATGAAAGACTATGAGATGAGAAGGTTAATGTGGGAAAATAATTAAATTCCAGTACAGGAGGTTGTCTTTGCTGCTTTAAAAATTTCTACCAAAAATTTCCATATTCCTCAAGCTCTAAAAGTTGTTTTTTAGTTTTTATGGTCTTAAAGCATTCTTTTACTGTTTACTTTAAAGAATTACATATTCTTAATGACTAACATAATAGAAACCATTCCATTTTTCAGAAGCCATCTTTTTAGATTATTGTTTCTATGATATAACAGTCGTAGTCCTTCTCTCTGTAAGTTTACCGTTAGAGTCCTCTTGTCACTGGGCACATGTGCTCTTTGGCACATAACTAAGTTTTTTAAATCTACAGAACACTATCTTCATAGTAAGCATGACTCTATAATAGCATTGTTGTTGAAAGAAAACCTGTATTAGGTGATTAAATATGAAATGTCCGATTTCAAATCAAAAGTGTAATTTATTATATCTCAAACAAAAAGCAGTTCAATTAATCAAAGCGTGTGCCTAACCTATTAACACAGTTTTGCCATCTTAATGGTAGCTTATGTCAGTAGCAAAGAACCCTAGAGAGTGAGTGGTGATGAAATCATTCAAGGCGTTTTCCACAGCTTGTTGAGAATTGAATATTTTTCCTCATAAGAAGTGGTCCAAAGCCTGGAAGAAGTGTTAGTTGGTGCAAGGTCTGGTGAATACAGTGGATTACAGAGTTTCCAAGTACAGTTTCTATAGTTTGAGCACTGTTGTTTGTGCAACATGTCGTCACGAGTATTGACTTGTGAGAGGATTGGCCTGTCTCTATTGACCAATCTCATTGGTTACTCCCAAGTGTCCTCATCACCTCATCCAATTGGTTGGAGTAGACATCCACTGTAATTTATTGACTAGGTTTCATGAAGCTGTAGTGGATAATACCAGTACTAGACCACCAAACAGACACCATTAGCTTTTTTTGGTGAATATTCAGTTTTGGACTGTGTTTTGGCACTTCATCTTTATCTAATCATGTGTCAAATGCTTGTGATTGTCAAAAAGAATCCATTTTCCATCACATGTAACGATAGGGTGTAAAAATGAATAGCCTTTATGTTGTGACAGCAAAGAAAGGCAAGCTTTGAGATGATTTGTCTTCTGATGCTAATTTAATTCATGCGGTACCCATCTTTCTAGCTTCTTTACCTTTCCGATTTGTTTCAAATGGTCCAATGTTGTTGGAATAGTAACGTCAAACCTTGCTACAAATTCATGCATAGGTTGAGATGGATTCGCTTCCACTACATCTTTCAAGTCATCATTATCCACCTTGGTCTCAGGTGGATTATGAGCCACGTGACTCATTTTCAAGATTAAAATTACTAGAATAGAACTTCTCAAGCCATCAGCATACTGTGTGTTCATTAGCCACATCCTTCTCAAATACTTTGTTGATATTTTGAGCTGTCTGTGCTGCATTGATTCCAAGACAGAACTCATATTCGAAAATAACAGGAATTTTTGATTTACCCATGGTTTCACAAAAATTATTCGAAAAAAATTTGAAAGATAATCACAAGTGAGTTTGCAAGACAGGATGTATTAATATCTTCACAATAAAGATCAAACAAGAAGTGTCAAAGTGAAATATCAGAAATATCAACTGTCAAACTTAGTACTTAAGGAAATTGGACATTTCAAACTTCATAATCTAATATTTGGGATAGTTTGCCTTCATAATTCTCCAAATTAGACATTAATCTGGTATAATATATTTTGAAAATTAATCTATCACATTAAAAGGTTGGTATTTTAAAGGCTAGCTAGCTTTATCATGCTTCTGTAACTTTTAGCTGATTACTAGAAATACTATTTTGGTTTTGAAACTATTAGCATAAAGGGTACGGAGGAGTGATAATTAATATACTTCTATAGGAAAGTATAATGCCATGGTTGAAATTCAATAACAGCACCTAATATATAATTACAGATATAAGGCAAGCAGTAAAACACCTGGCTATGTGTCAAATGCTTGAAAATAATTTCAGTTGACAGTCAATCTCAGCACCTTTACATTTATAAATTACATGGGTATTGAGCTTGGATATTTTAGATTGGATAGAAAAATCAGATTGCTTTTCAGTTTGTCATGGTTATAATGGTGACTAAATATTACTCACGTATTACTCAGACCTGTGTATAATAGAAAAAGAAACCCCTTATTTCCTTATCTAAAGCCAACAGCCCAACACTTGCATGAAGATCTTTGGAGGCAAAAATAAATTCTTAGATTGAAACTTCAGCCAAACCACAGTAATTCATCTTCTTGAAAGCTGAGGTTTTCAAACCAGTTTGGCTAGAATGGGAAGCAGCTCCCATTGAAGGATATAGAACTATGAAGGAGAAAACAATGACAGTAAACAAATCTGAGCTAATGTTACTCTGTTGTGTATGTCTTTCTTTTAAAATTTGGTAGATATTTTGCTAGATGATGCTGGTGATGCAACTGGACATAAAGATGGCCGCAGTGTGAAAATTATAGTCTCCATAAGCAAGGGCTATGGTCGAGCAAAGGTATTTCTTTAATCCTAACTTCTTTATAACTAAAGGATGAGAATTACTGAGTCAAATGTATGTTACATCTAAATATTTGTTCTAGCAACTATCCTATCAGAGGTGTTTGCCCTGGCATTAGCTTAATATATTATACAAGCATGAAAGTTAGGGATAATAAGGAAATGACATCATCATACAGATAGAAATATGTCTTACATGCACCTCACATTCATTCACTGAAAACAATATTATCAGCCCCTTCTCATTTCTAAAACTTAAAACAAAAAGTTAAATTTTTTGACAAAAGTATTTTGTCTAACATATTATTTTGGTGTCACTTGTAGATTATAGATAATGCTTATGATGTAATATGTCACTAGTGTTGTCAATTTGGTGTTTGTGTAAAGAGAAGATTATAAGCTAAATGAATATTCTAGATATCAGAAAGACACACATGTTCTAGTGAACTGAGCAGGACAAATTCCATTGATTCTACTTGTCTATCAATTTTAAGCAAGTCCTAGGTGATCAGCCAAGTATTTTGATTTTTTGCAATCAAACATTGCCTTCAAATTGGCAATGTCATTCTGACTCTAACCCTTTCTTATAACAAACAAAAAAAATGAATTTTCACTTCAGTGGCCAAAAATATGAATTTGTAGTATCTAACTTTTTTCCATCAACACAAACAAAATTTCTTTTCGATTTTAAAATGATTTCAGTACTTAAGTTTGAAAAGTGAAATAGAACTTGTGAATCTTTACCTTGAGGCAATGGTCCAAGGATTCCAATGCTACCCACTTTCTGCTTGAGCTGCAGATTGGTGCCTACTTTTCCCAAGGAGGTCTTTATGTGAGAGACTATAATAGTCTCAGTGAAACCTAAACAAACTCTAATTTAAAAGCAGGTACTTATAAAGCATTGTACAAATGCACATTTTGACTGCATTGTAAACACACTAGGACAAGTTTTCCTTTTCAGAATAATTCTAAAAGACAACGTCTTTGAACATTTTTCCTAAAAAAGCTTCCAAGAAAGTAGTTGTCTTAGCCTGCTTGGGTTGCCATAACAAAATAACATAGATTGGGTGGCTTAAACAACAGAAATGTATTTTCTCACAATTCTGGAGGCTGACAAGTCTAAGATCAAAATGCTGGCTAATTTAGTTCCTGGTGAGGGCTCCATCCTTGAGTTGGTGGGTTTCTAGCTCCACCTCACACAGCCTTACCTCAATGTCTGTAGGTAGGAAGAGAGAGGCCACTCTAATGCCACTAATCCCATCAGGAAGGCCCCACCCTCATGATCGAATCTGGCCCTTCCTCCCAAAGGTCCCATCTTTAAATACCATCATAGTGGAAGTTAGGGCTTCAACATATGAACCCCTGGGCAGGTGGGGGGTCGGGGGTCGGGGCACAAATATTCAGACCATAACAATAGTCAAAAGAAATCATCACAACCATCAGCCATTAATTTCTCAACTTATTCTGAAAAAGCTGTTGGCTTCTAACTCAGGTTGTACCTCACTAATGGTGAGAATTATTTACCCTTAGAGGGTTAAATATTACAAATGAAGAAATCAAGGCCATGAGCCAGCTAAGTGATTTACTAAGGTCATATTTCTTGATTAGCTGCTAGGTGTTGTGTAGAATTCACATCTTCCAACACTTGACTCAGTGCTTATTCTACTACCCCTTAATGATCACATTCTTAGTAACTAGAACCAGGATTTTAATATGTCAACTATATGTCTACTAGTATCATAATCAGTATTTCATGTAACTATTTCCAGTCATCACAGAAGACACTCCAGTTAGACTATGAATCCTGAATTGTTTACTTTCTTAATATATGCAGAAATTACTCAAAGTCCCATCCTGAAAGAAAGATAGATTTGGGATCATTATTTGTATTATAAAAGAATTATTTGCTTGATAAAATGAGTCCCGTAGGTTTCTCTTGCAAGTTCTTTTAAATAGTGAATTTTCTCATTAATTCAAAATGGAACCTGCTTTGTAAATATGCAAATGCCATACTGTCATGGATAATTGATTTCTTAATGCTAAATTGGATTTTAGATTAAAATTAATAAATAAAAAAACTGAGTTATGGACATATCAAAGATAAGATCACAAATTAGTAAGGTGAAGTTCTAGGATTCATATGATATAGTTGTATTCTCTCTCTCATTATTTCCCTCCTACCAAGCTGCTTCTATTCTAGAATGTCCCCCACTGCATTAAAATGCAAGACTATTCTCTGAGGTCCCATTCCCTTTCTCCTTCTACTGAACAGGTCATGAATCAGTTTTCCTTGACATACAGCTTCATGTAATCTCTTTCTTTCTTGTTTCTGTTGCTATTGCTGTTACTTTGTTTTTTTGTTTGGTTGGTTTGCTGGGATGTGTTTTATTTTTTATAACCCACCAGGTGTGTTTGTTGCTATAGAACTCATAGGCTTAGTAAATATTTTGGTCTTAATCTCCAACTACATTAATAGGTTTTGATATAAAATGTGCTAATTAAATAAAATGCACAGTTGGATTTTATCTTACTTTATTTTGTTTTTATTTAGGATCAGAAGTCCCAGACATATTTGATAGGGTCCATTGGTGTTAGTGGAAAAACCAAATGGGATGTCTTAGATAGTGTAATTAGACGTCTCTTTAAGGTAAGTTGTGCAAGATATGCTGATATTAATTTTCAAATGTGTTTCTTTTTAGCAGCTTTACTTCAATAGTGTGTAGACACATCTGCCTTTCATCTCATCAAATTTCAAATAAGGAAAGTTTTCTCCCTTTGTGGTGTTTGATATTGACAGTTCTTATGGTAAACATTTCTAAAATTGACAACTAGTTTTATATCTCCACGAGTTTTGCATTTGTTATAGATGAATTGAACCTCTGTTTTGACTTTACTTTTTGTGTGTGTACCATTTTAGGAATACGTGTTCCGAATTGATACTTCCACTAGCCTTGGTCTGAGCTCTGACTGCATTGCTAGCTACTGTATAGGAGACTTAATTAGATCCCATAACCTAGAAGTGCCTGAACTGCTGCCTTGTGGATACCTTGTTGGAGATAATAACATCATCACTGTGAACTTGAAAGGTAAAAATGAAAGTGAAATAAAAGCACAATTATAAATTTTCGCCATTCTTTCCCCCACCCTTTTTTTTTGCACTTGGCCTCCAGTTTTCCTATTTGAAAACTATGTTAAATCACTTTGATAGTTTTGTTATGAAATGAGCCATGTTGATTTTTTAAAATACTACAATCTTACTAAAACCACTAAAATATCAATAAAATTAAATTCTTTGAGTTCTGGGATGTGAAACTTGGAATGTAATTTTGAAGATTCACTAAGACTCACCAAAAAAATTAATTTAGGGGATTTTATATTTCTAGATTTTTCTCCATTATCATCTTACATTACATGAGGATTCAAAAAATTATTATGTATTCCAAAGTAATATATTAATTACTATATCTTTGATTGATTTTAAAATATAGGTACCTAATAAATTCCCACTAAGAATAGAGATGTTAAGGATCAGGGATAAGAAATTCTTTGCTTTGAATGATGTGATTAATTATAGGCTAATATAATGTCTGAAGTATATTTGTCTCCATAATTCCTTGTTTGTTTATGATAAAGAATCAGAATACATTTATATAAATTGTGAGTTAATAGAGAAATTTGTCAATATTTGATTTTATTATTAAAGTAATTGGGTTAGTAAAAGGAGATACTATTGCTCCCTTCTTAATTCCTTACCAAACATCACAATTTGTATTCTTCAAAAGCTTAAGTGGCTGTACATCTGGAATGTGTCATGAGAGATAGAAGGAAATAAAGAGACAGGAAAGAATAAGAAAAAGGAAGAACATACAGACTCATGTATATATATGTGTGTGTGTGTGTGTGTGTGTGTGTGTGTGTATGTAATCCTTATGTTTATTCTGAACATACTTAATGATCTTCAAAGGGAAGGAAGATTTTATGATAGAGTTTATAATGCTTCCATTTCTGGAAACATAAGTGAAAAACATGAATTAAACTGGGGAGGGAAGCCTAAACAAAAGGAAACAGCTTGCTTTTGTTTGGATGGTCACTGATATGTTTTCTTTCTTAAAGTGGCAACACATGTTTGTGGAATAGAAATATCAAGGAAATTATTTTGCAAGGATGACATTCCTGTGACTAACAAAGCTCTGTTAAATTCTAGCTTCTGTAGGACACTAAGGCATGCTCTTCCCTTTGTTTCTTCCTTCAGGGGTAGAAGAAAACAGTTTGGACAGTTTTGTTTTTGATACGCTGATTCCTAAACCAATTACCCAAAGGTACTTTAACTTGTTGATGGAGCATCACAGAATTATACTTTCGGGACCAAGTGGTACTGGAAAGACCTATTTAGCAAATAAACTTGCTGAATATGTAATAACCAAATCTGGGAGGAAAACAACAGAGGATGCAATTGCCACTTTTAATGTGGACCACAAGTCAAGTAAGGTAAGTCAAAGAATCCTAAGAGAACAGCTGTTGTGTATCTGTAAGTGTCCAAAGCAATCACGTTTTAGGATTGTATGAGACTTCTATGTTGCACATGGAAAAAATATCCGTCTCTTTGACTGAAACCCTAATGTGGAAGATGACCAAACTCTGTTTCATGAACTTGAACAAGATTGCCATTTTCAATGACATTCAGTTATCAGGACTGCACAGGCTTGGGAATATAAAGAATAAAATGACAGAGCCCCTATCGGCTGAATTCTCTTAAACATCATTTAGGAAGTGGAGTAGAAAGAGGTCTATGCACAGTACTATGGAAGCAAGAGGGAAAAAAATTCTTCCTGGAGGAATCAAAATTTGATAAAAGGGCAATACTTGGTTCAGATCCTATTATTAATAGATAAGTAAGAATTAAGTTGGGCATTGCAGCAATGGGGCTTTGGGAATAATTAGAATATTCCAGGAGGAAATTCTGGGAACAGCAATTTATCACATTTCTGTAGGATTTCTCTTTAGGAACCTTAGAAAACTGAACATGTTCCATTTCACCACAAAATAAGATCTAATTGCCATAGTTATTAGCCTGAACATTCTCAGATATTGAATAGATTATAAAAACCAGTCAGTATTTTCTTGCATTCTGAGTAAAATAAAGAATTGAAAACAGCAAATAGTTGATAGCTAACATATTTCTAACACTGAACTAGTTTTACCTGTAATTATTTTTTAAAGTCTGAATTAATGTATCATAAGTTGTTTCTCCTGGGAAACTGCAACTGTTATAAGCAATAACTTGAGGAAATCCCAGTGATACTGAGTCAGTTTTTTTAAGGATAACCTTATTTGCATTTCCCTGATGATTAGAGAAGTTGAGCATTTTTTCATTTGTTTGTTGGGCATTATCTTCTTTTGAAAAGTTTCTGTTCATGTCTTTTGCCTACTTTTTAATGGTGTTGTTTGATTGTTTTCTTGCTGATTTGCTTGAGTCTTTTTTTTATAGATTCTAGTTATCAGCTCTTTATCAGATGTATAGCATGCAAATATTTTCTCCCACTCTGTAGGTTGTCTATTTGCTCTAATGATTGTTTCTTTGCCTGTGCAGTAGCTTTTTAATTTGATCAAGTCCCATTTATTTATTTTTGTTGTTGCCATGATTGCTTTTAGGGTCCTCTTCATAAATTCTTTGCCTAGGCTGATGTCCATAAAAGTTTTCCCAACATTTTATTCTAAAATTCTTATGGTTTCATGCCTTAAGTTTAAGTTTGCTATCCATTGTGAATTGAGTTTTGTGAGTGGTGAGAGGTGCAGATCCTGTTTCAGTCTTTTACCTGAGAATGGATTTTATTCAAAAAGTCCTGAAACAACAAATGTTGGCATGATGTAGAGAGATAGGAACACTCTTACACTGCTATTAGGACTGCAAAGTAGTATAAGCTCTATGGAAAGTAGTATGGAGATACCTCAAAGAGTTACAAGTAGAATTACCATTTGATCCAGCAACGCACTACCAGGTATTTACCAAAAGGAAAAAAAGAAATCCTATAAAAAAAGACACCTGTACTCCAATGTTTATAGCATCACAATTCATAATCACAAAGATCTGGAAATAACCCAAGTGTCCATCAATACATGAATGGATTAATGTGGTATATGTCTACCATGGAGTACTACTTAGCCATAAAAAATGGTAAACTAATATCTCTTATATTAACCTGGATGGAACTGGAAACCATTCTTCTAAGTATCAGAAGAATGGAAAACAAAAACAAAAACAAAAAAACACATGTACTCACCATTAAATTGGAACTAATGGATCAACACATGTGCAATATGGAGATAACATTCATTAGAAATGAAGGGGGAAGGAGGGTATGGGTAAATTCACACCTAACATGTACAATGCACACTATCGGGAGATGGGCACACTTATAACTTTGACTCAAATGATACAAAACATTTGTACCCCCATAATATTTTGAAATAAGTAAGTAAGATAACCTAGGTAGGTGCTCTATCTCAACCCATTCTCTGGGAAACCTCAAGTCTACAAATTTTTAGGAATAAACATGACTTCCCAAAGCAACTCAAACCCATTTGATTCTTAAAATAAACCAGACATATAGCTTAATGAATAAAAAGTTCTTTATGAGGTAGTTCATTAATTCCTAAACACTGATCAAAACAGTGATGTACATAAAGTATTAATATAGTGGGGTCTCTTAAAGTTAAATAAATACAGTACATAGAGTCTGAATATTTCCTTGAAAGTCAGCACTGTTCAAATTGGGGTTGAACCACCATTGTCATTTCAGCTAAAGAGAGTCATAGAACCTGAGAGGTAGAAGAATATGTGACTCTACTCTGAGCACAACTAGGAAGAGCACAATTGTTTGTTTGCTTCAGCTGACAGATTTAATACCTCCTGTGAATTCTGTGTCTCCTCATATCTTTATATAAAAGCCTTTAAAACAATTTTTTTCCAGCCAAACACATGAAAGGTTTTTTGAGGTCTCTTAGTCATCTTCTGTGTCTGCTCTGTGGCTTTTCCTCAGTGTTGATATGCGAGAACTCTTACAAGTTACTTCTTTTATGGAAAAAAAATAAAGTAGTTAGAAAACAAGCATGAAATAGATTTATTAGAGGAGACTAAGGCATAAAGTTGAGGATCACTTAAAATCAAGTTTTGACTTAAAGATTGAGCTTCATTAGAGTGTAGCTTGACATGCTAATACAAAGTGGGTCATTTCCATTAGTTATAAAATATACCTCTCCCTAAAATCCATTTTATATGCATTTTTATTTAAGTTTAGTATTTAAAGATAAACTTAATAATGTTATGTGAGTGTCATTTTAACTTTTTCTGATTAAATATTTCCAACATTCTTATTTTTCTGCTTTTTCAGAGGAAAATCATTTGTGCCATCATTAGGTTACTTCAATTTTTGTTGTTGCAAAATAATGAAAAAAAAAAAAAGCATTGCCAAGAGTGTTTGAACAGAACTAATGATGCTAGAAAACAGTAATAGGAAGAAACCAGCGGACAAATCACATGGCATTTGTCCCTAAGAAAGAACAAATATAACTAAAAAATGTTTATTCTTTATGTCATCCTTTGTGGTTGGAAGATATGAATGCTATCAGTAATGCTGAATACAGAGTCGCTGTCAGAGAATTTGGCTTCTTCTTGCCAAATTGACAAAGAAGCCACACTGTTTCCTTGGGTGGTGGAGGTGAGGGTAAGTGAATATGATATTAAGAAAGAGGGGATGACAGGTTGATATTGGATTAGGGATAGCTGTTAATAGTATAGATTTGCCAAAGTAAAATGATAATGAAGTATGAAATAATAAATCCTTTTCCTGAAAAAATAGAGCTGTGTAATTGCTGACGTTTTATGCTATGCCATAGATAGCACTGATGAGACAAATCCAAAAAGCACTTACTGATTCAAAAAAAAAAAAAAATTCAAATAAACCCATCAAATGAAAAAAAAAATCTTTTCATGTTTTTGGTACCTCTGCATTTTACATTCTGTTCCTCTTCCCACACTTCAAGCCCTCCCTCAAGCTGCCAGCTGGAATATTTTGATTGAGAGCAGTACACATAAACAATTACACTTTGTGACATTTGATATAGGAGGCCCAGAAGGCTGGAGATGGATTAGTAAAGAATATGTGGCCAGCTGAAGCCACTTGGAATGTTAGGTGGGAAAAAATCAGAAAACTGGACCTGGCAGATTCATTTTTAGTGTGTCTAGAGTCAAAATCAGAGAAAGCAATGATCAACTGTTTTTATATAACTGCAGCATTCTGTCTATATTTTCAAAGTATGGGACTCATCTCATTGTCAGTGTCCATCTGGTAGATATGCCTGTTTTTTTCTACCTCACTAGATCTGGGAATAAAACTTCTACTGCTAATAAATCTAAGCATCTTTTAATGCTACATCAATCTAAGATTTCATCTCCATCAAGCTAGAGGGAGGATTATGAAGTTATTTCAAGGGGTCTCTGTAAAACTCTTAAGTTATACGAAAAAATTCTTTGTGTATGTCTGTTTTTACATCTGACTGCTGCATAGCTTTCATCAGATTCCTAAGGGACCCACTATCTCTCAAGACAAAAGAGAACCACATTAGAATCTAATGGCCCTCCTTGTTCATAAATCACCTAGTGATCTCCTAATTATGAAATTCAGTTCTTCTGTACTCTCTCTTTCATGGTCTCTGTCTCTGTCTCTTGCTTTTCTATAGCATGTTGCTACAGTTGATCTTTTTAGAAATTCTTCTGACTTTCATTTTTATCATCCTCTCCTCATTTCTTTACTACCCCCGTTAAGTTCCTTCTCACCTTGGTAAGTTCCTTCTCTGGGAAGTTCTTCTCTTTTGCTGACTGCTCTTCCTTCACTTACCAGTAAATGAAAATATTCTGCAACATTCTGTTCTCTCTCACTCTGTTCCCCTTGGGATTTGTCCCTTTATTTCAACTTGTGTTGACTTGTGTGGTTGACTCCAGTTGAACGCCGTTAGCCATGCCCACTCTCCCAAATTTGTAAGCTTTCTATTAACTTGCAGATATGTTTCTATTTACCTGCTAAATATACATGTTTAGAAATGATTATTTCAGCTCTGAAAAACTACCACAAGTGCATCCTCTTCCATTCATCTTCGCCACAACCACCCTGTATCCCAAATTAACACCCTTTATCTCTTGGACTTCTGTTATTATTTTCTAGCTGGTTGATTCACAATTTCTCTTAAATTTCCTTTTTCTCTTTTCCTGGATTTATCATTCACCTCATGGAAAGTAGAATATCCTTTCATAATTAAAATCTGATCACATTAAAATCCTTCAATGTTTTCTCACTGCTTTCTGCACTAGATCAAAAATATCTCACTGTTCCCTGTTCAGTCCCTTAGTGTCTCTTGGCTTCAATAATTTCAATATTCTCTTGGCTAATCCCTCTTCTTCATTCTCAATATGCTTACCACATGTTAAATCATAATTATGACTGTTTTACTCAGATTCCAAGGACATTCAGTGTTTTTTCATTGCCAACAGGAAAAGTCCAGTGATCTTACCATCATTTAAAGCTGAAAACTTTCCTTTCCAATTTATTTACTGCCATTTACTTCCACAAAATATATTTTACTGGTTTTTTCCTGTATGGATATTATAATTATGTTTCTGACTTTGATTATAATTCTTCCTCTGTTTGTAAAGTTCTTCTCCCATTTTTAAGCATCAAAATATTATAATCTTAACAATAAAGGATTAATAACAAATAATATTGCCACCATAAAACCTTTTCCAGAAGCTACAAGTAATATTTACATGCTATAAACAAAATCCATGATCTATACTTTTTTGAAGTAATGTATTTTCAACTGTGATTTTATAGTTATATATATAAAATGTCTACCCTTCTATTCCAAGAAGGTAATAAGCTTCTTAAATGCTTTTTCCTCTTCTAATTAATCATGATGCCCTTCACGTTTCTGTTTCTTTGAATAAATAAATCATTCTCCCCTACTGAAAACAAAAATGCACACAAACATCTCGATGGTTCACACTTGTTTTTATAAGAAAATCCAACTTTGTCTGCATGGATTCAAATTCTTTTCTTTTTTCTCTTTCATTGCCACCGCCACTGGTGTGTACCATATTCTTCTGCAACAACAGAACACTTATTTCCTGAAACGCATCATACGTTCATACTTTCCAAGTTTCCCTTTTTATTCTTTAGACTTCAGTAGTTTTTCATCACTGTACCCCATTGTTCTCTGAACCTTAAGGCTGGGTTATATGCCTCTCTTAAATCTCCCTATAGTGTTTTGTGCATTTCACTTATCACACTGTATTGTGACTTACTTGTTGACCTGCTTCTCTGCTTATCAACTCTTAAGTCCCTGGAATATGGAAATTATGTTTTATCTCTGAATCCTTGGTGCCAGAGTACCTGGCACATAGTAAGTGCTTGATAAAGGTGTGTTGAAAGAATAACTGCATAGTTGTTGAAATTCTACTCATTATTCAAGATTCATCTCAAGTGCCACCTCCTAAAGAAGCCTGTCAAAATCCTCAAGTTGAATTAATCCCTCTTTCTCCTACAGATCACATGCCTCCTCTAACTTCTTTCTTGAAATGTTTCATATTGCATTTTATAAGTTCATTATTTATGTGTGTGCCTACCACCCTCCCCAGGCTCCAGTGATACCTCCCCCAGAAAACTGTCCTTGACACCCCTCAGCTAGGTGGAATCTTTTCCCTTGACCCCTCATAGCTTGATACTATATTGAAATCATTTATCATATTTAAATTTCGGTCCCTAATGTGACAACTCTTAGAGCCCACAAGGCAAGATAGTCTGATTACCCTTTTTAACCCCCATGTCCAGAAAAGTACTTAGTGCAGTTAATAATATTAAATTTATTTGAATTCCATAATAGCAGGATTAGTGCTTCCTTTCTTTTGTACACCCTAGGGCTTTGTCTGAGACTATGAACATGGTTGATAGATAGTGAATATCTTATAAGTGAGTGAATGACTTAATATAGCTAGATTAATGATATAAATTTCATTTTTTCTTGTAAGGTAAATGAAATTCTCTAGACTATTCACCACTTTTCCACATATTTTTTGGTATTCTCTGATTTAGGCAAGATTTATTCTATGTGATTAGCTTAGTATAAAACAAGTAGTACTTTAGTTCTCAAATAATTTTATATTTGAACTTAAATGAATATCACTAAATGCTTCAAACCCCTGGCCACTGTTTTATCTCTTTCTACTTTTAGTTCTACAGTGGTATGACAGACAGAGAAAGGCTTCATCTAGAGTGAGTAGTTTACATATTTACCTGGCTGCCAGAAATTGCGATCATGGAATTGTTTTTAACCCTGAGCAAAATTTGCAAATTGAAAATGTCATTGTAAATATGCAAATATTATGGAAATGCTCTTACTGATTAGGATAATTCTAAGAAACCTAATTATGTTCCTGGCCTACCCATCTGTGGGAGCAGTCAATCAGCAAACTGGTTATCGTATTTAGATTAAAAGCTATTAGGAATAATACCTGTAAAAGAACCAAGAACTCAAGAAATGCTAAATGCTAATGTTAAATGAACCAGTGAAATATAATAAATTTTTTCTTGATTTAAAATCACATCATTTGCATGCAGATTATAAATAAATAAACAATTAACCACACTTTTACCAGAGTCCTGTGGCTGCATTTTTAGATACACCACATGTAAATGAATTGGAAATAGCACATTAAAAATATTAGTGGAAACTGAAAGGTGCCATTCTGCATTTAGTCTGTACTTGAAATATTAAGGTTTACTAAAATCCACTTTTATTATTGAAATACAGAAACTAAGAATGAAATCTCAATATGTATTGTTTATCATAAGAGTTCATATCCAGAACTCATTTTGACTTTTGGGGGGAAAAAAAACACTGAGAAATATGCCCTCGTGTTTATAGATTTATATTTGCTGCAGGTGTGTGGTACTGGTTCTTCTCATCTTGCTTTCCCTTTTCTCTCTTTTCTTTAAATATTTTGTTCTCTCAGCATTATATGATTTTTCCTTTGTAGAATAAGATTTTATATGAATAGAATGATCTAATGTGACCATCAATGAAAGAAACTGGATGGAAGACAGAATGTGCTATTCCTAAAATAGTAATTGCTTGCCATTGGTATAAATGTATCATCAATGTATTTGTTTTATTTTTGAAAAGGAATTGCAGCAGTATCTAGCTAACCTGGCTGAACAATGCAGTGCTGATAATAACAGCGTGGAGCTTCCAGTTGTAATAATTCTTGATAATCTTCATCATGTGGGCTCTCTGAGTGATATCTTCAATGGTTTCCTTAATTGTAAATACAACAAATGGTATGCTTTTCAAATATTTTGAATAATCAAATATAAAAAAATAGTGTTTAAATTTGCTTTTTTTGTACTTTTATATATATTTTTGCCTTTAAAATTCATTTTACTTTTTAATATTTATTCATTTTTTAAATTGACAAAATTGTATATATTTACTATGTACTACATAATGTTTTAAAGCAAATATACACTGTAGAATGATTAAATCTAGCTAATTAACATATTTAGTACCTCATATAATTATTATTTTTATACTTACAGTGGATGCCATTAATTTGAGAAACCCTCATTAATATAATACCATATTTCCAAAGAATCCATGTGCATTTCTTAAAATATCTATTTATTCATTCAACAACTATGTCCCAGGCACTTTTATGGAAACATACTTCCTTGATAATGCTGGCATCTGAATGTCTGGGAGACAATTATCAAAGATGGAATAGTTTGAATTCAAAAAATTAAGAACCATATGGAGCCGTTAGAGCTCTGGTTTCATTCTCAGCTCATATCAAAGTTTAAAGTCAACATTTCTATATAGATAAATTTAATACATTTATATATAGTCCCATCCATTAATGGGTTTATTTCAAATATATACAATAAAATAAAAGGTTAACACTGGGTTTTAAAAAATCTGAAAACCCACTTAGCGTAGCATGGCCTCTAAAGAAAGGACGGATAAGAACATCAACATAAATGATATTAATTTTAATGTGACAAATATCCTAATTATCTCTGATTTAGAGATAAAAAAGTTATACATCAGCATAAAATAAAGATTAAAAGAAGAATAAAAATCCTCTCATGTTATTAATAATCTTTAACATAACTATAAAATATGTAAAAAGTAATGAATTTCATTATAAGCATAAGAGTTATAAGATGTTAGAATGGGACAAGACCATTGTGATTATTCTGTCTAAACTCTTTATTCTTTACTCTAACGTGGGCTCAGAGACAGAAAATACCTGCCTCAGTGGCAGAGCTGAAATTAGAACCCCAAGTGTTCATTTCCAGTCCAATGATTTTTGTCATTCTCCAGTTTAACATTACAAAATTACCCTTTTATAGACTAGTGTTAAAATGGAATAATCTATATTTATCTTAGTAGTGTATAAGACAATTTTAATGGACTAATTGTTTTTATCTGCAGTATATCTAAATTTTGTATTTATGTTTCCTAGTCCATATATTATTGGAACAATGAATCAGGGAGTTTCTTCATCACCAAATCTAGAGCTGCATCACAATTTCAGGTAAAGATAAGTTGAAGCTTATGGGTGTGTGTGTTCTTTCAGTCTGTTTTTAGTGGTGGTTTTTCTATTTGTATGTTGACAAATCCTGCCAGTGGTGACCTGTGGTGTGAAAATAATTCTCACTTTTTCTGAAACTCTTTCTCAAGCAAACATTTTGTGATCCTCAATCTGTAATCAGAAGTGTTTCTTTAAAGAAAAGGAAATTTTTTTTTTCTGCTCACCATGTCCCCGGCTAAAGTAGAGCACTTTCCTTCTAAGTGTGAGAAATGTGAAGAGAGTTCCTATTTCAGGATTTGTGATTTTCCTACAGAAAAGTGTTGAGCATGTAGACACCCACTCACTTCTGACGCACATGAGCTCCTTTTTAGCTCAAAAAGTGGAGTTAGCTACATTATAATTTCTACTGTTAATAGACTTCCTAACTCCTTTGATCATTAAAATGTGGACACCAATTGAAATAGGAACATTATTACTTTATGTTGGAAAAACATTGTGGACCTAAAATTTAATTTCCATAAAAATTTCTTAATTATTATTTTTTATAGGTGGGTATTATGTGCAAATCACACAGAACCAGTGAAAGGCTTTTTGGGCAGATACCTTCGAAGAAAACTGATAGAGATAGAAATTGAAAGGAACATACGCAATAATGACCTAGTCAAAATAATAGATTGGATTCCTAAGACATGGCATCATCTCAACAGTTTTTTGGAAACCCACAGTTCTTCTGACGTTACGATTGGTGAGTTCCAAAATTACAATATGCCATTTTCCAGGAACTAAGAGTACTTGGTAAAGATGGCCAGATTGGATGGTGGAAAATAACAAGCATAGCTACACTTTTTTCAAGTGCATAAAGATTTAAGTTTACTTTTTTTCTCTTCTGAAAGTTTGCTTGCTTCTTAGCTTTATATCTCCAATTAGATACATTTTATCTGACAATTATGGTTTACTAAAATGTTACTGAGATCAAATAAGTTCAATATGGACAATATCCAAAAGTCAGATAGCCATTGGAAATAAATAGTATCTGTTTAAGGTACTTTTAATGCTAAAAACAAATTTTAGCTAATAGCTCATATCAAGTATAGTTGTGAGAGATTTTAGTTAGAGATAACTTACATGTCTTATAGATAATTTAGGTGTTTTATATTTTTCATGAAGACAAAACTGTTTGAATTATTTCTTTTTAGTTGGCATAAATGCATACTTCTGTATTCTTTCTTAAATTGCACGTACAGAATCCCTTTACCATTGTTATAGATCATAAAAATTTACTTAACAACAGACACAGTGGAGATTAGAAAGAAGAATTCTACACTGGGATCAGAATACCGATGCTAAGGCCCAGTTCTACAAATAATGACATATTTTATGTTTGGCAGTTCATTTCAGCACAGCTTTGTTGTTGTAAAATACAGGTTGACTGGATTATGACCTTTATGATTTCTGCTAACTCTAAAATATTGTGCTTTAGATAAATATTTTATTACAAAAGAAAGGAGAAGCCAGAAGATTGGATCTTCAGTAAACTTACATTAATAATAATCAAACTGGCCAAGATTATAATTCTCTAAGAATCTTGGAACAAAATACTAAATCCTCCAAAATAATGTCTAACTATGTGTCTAGATTGTTAAATATAATGCTTCTGAAAAATGTTTTCTTATTTGTTTTTTCTCAGGTCCCCGACTTTTCCTTCCTTGCCCCATGGATGTAGAAGGTTCTAGAGTGTGGTTCATGGATCTCTGGAACTATTCGTTGGTACCTTATATTCTGGAGGCAGTAAGAGAAGGTCTTCAGGTATAGTATTCAATTTTCATTACTATATTAAAAAACAAAGCAAAAAAATCATTCTTTTAAAAGTAAAAAACATTCATTTCAGCCCTTCTCTTTATTTTTAATTTAAAGGTGAAAATATATCACTAATAAGAAAACCCTTTTTCTTCAAAAAAAAAGTATCATTCCTTTTCCATCAGTCTTGCTATCTCCTTAAATTGGATTTGAAATTTCATGAAATTGTGGAATTAGAAAACTCTTTATGATGTGTGTAACATAATCACCCACATTATTGTAGAAGAATCCTATTTCCTTTTCAATAACTCAGCCAAGGTTTAGGCAGTTTTTTGCTTAGGCATCTAGTTTCTGGTTTTCACAACTGCTAAGAGAATTAAGATATGTTTTCCACATTCTGTCATCTACAATACTGTGTTGTATTTATTTTACTATCTAAAAAAATTGTCATCTACTTTTTGTTCTTTCACTCTCTTTTACTATCATGTTCTCTTCATCCAATAGAATGGAATGGTGGTATTTAGAGTTTCGACAGAACATGATGAATATTATGAGGATGCTCTGAATCTTCAGAGATAAAGCTAATATCCTAAAGAGTGCTATTGACTCCATATTTACATAACCCAATTTCATGTTTGTAAAGATATGAGCCAATTTAGCCCTACCAAGTAGCTCCAACAAAATAAAAAATTATACCAATGGTTTTTATTTTTCAATTATAACATATCATGTTTTAGGATTCTTCTAAAACTATCATGCTGCTTAGGATAAAATTTGGTCTCTTCAATTTTGATCATTTATACCAAAAAATAATTTTATAAAAATTCATTTGCAATATTTTAGAAATTATAATTTTAAAGTTAATATTTAAATGAATTATTCTCCAGATATAGTTTTGGTATTAATAAACTATAACCTAAGTCTTTATAAATGAAATTCTCCTTATTTCATGATTTCTTGCTGATATATAGAAAGAAAAGGAAGGTATCTAAAAACCCCAAAATGATAATACTAAAAAATGCTTAGCTTCCTTAGATCTTATTTTTTAAAGGTGCATGGGTTCTTTTTTTCCATATTTAAATCAATATTATTTATACAACACTATTCTGAGAAATATAATTCTATAAAGCTTCCATTTGGGTTGAAATATAATAACTTAAGTAATAACAGTTTCTCAAACTAAAACTGAGAGATACTTCAAAATTATTTTTAAAAAGAGATAAAAATGTCTCAAGTTCCTTGCTGTGGTTCAGGATGTTTAGTGGTAGGTTAGTGTGAAAGGTGAGTAAAGAGTGGTGTAGGGGGGCATGGGGAAGGGGTGAATCCAGTACATGGGAGGGGAAAAAAATGACAACCTTAGGTGGATAGACAGTTCTCATTGCTATTGAAGACTGTGCTGGACCAGAAAAGTCCATCAGCAGAAAATATTTTTGGGGTGATTCATACATGCCTTCTGGAGGAACAGAAAGCAACAGAATCATATATGCCACAAACCAACCCCTTGGATCTATTGGCAGCAAAGAACCTTGAATTGGAGGAAGAGGTGGAGAAACAAAGCCTTGCAGCAAAGATGAAACTCTGAGTCAAGAGGAATAAAAACAATTTCTTTTGAGATGAAGGCTGTTTCTTTGATGAGGAACCATATGGGGAATGCTCTCTGCCAGATGTTCTAGTTGGAAAAGATGCTAGTGTTGCAATGGATTTTGATTTTTATTCTAGTGATTCTATTTCCTGACATATCGGCAATCAAGTCATCTCATCCTGAATATTTAAATTTCTCTTCTTTCAATTCTTTTTCTATAATATCTATTTCACTTTGAAATAGAGAGTTGGACCCATTTAGATTTTCATTGTTCACTTCCAATTTTGCTGTCCTGAATAGTTCTTTAAAACCCTGGAATCAGTTGATTCTAGACTCGAATTCTTCTAACATAATTAGGCCTTCTAAGAATGACACATTTTTTCTTCAATTAGTTTAAGTTGTACAGCAAGCTATATTTTACATCTTATTTCTAACTGAGGGAAAACTTCTGCTTCAAAATGAGAGAGGTATGAAAGAAAAAATTCTAATGATAGCCACCTCTATCTTTATCTCCCAAGGAAATGCACAGACATCAGTACCTAGACTCTGTCCCTTATTTTAAGCAAGGCTGAAAATCTTCTTATAACTTCTCTAAAGGAAGTTCAAAAGAAAATTTCAAAGCAGTCCATAAAGTTTTCATGATGTCAGTGTCCACCATTTTGATTTTGTCTCACTGAACCAAAACAAACCATGAGGAATACTCATCTACCAACAAACCAAAGTTTGTCATCTGGTGATCAGGATTGTTCTTGGTAGAGCAAGTTAAGGGGAGAGGGGAATTACATTAAGGAACTAGTGTGGCCATGTTACTGTCCCCTTCTCTTACTTTTAGCTTTTCTTTCTGTGCTGCTTCTGGCCTTCTACTTTTTGCAGGGTCCCATTAACCTCTTTCTCTTCAGTGTTTCTTTTCTAGTTTAGTTTCAGCTTTCCTTCCAGCTTTAACATGTTTAATGTCTCTTGGATTCATCTTCTTTCCTCTAATGCACTTGCCAGTACTTTCACTAGGCTAGATGATCTCTTTCTTACTGGGTGGGCTCTTTGTCTCCATACAAGTTCTTGCTAAGTTGATGCATGATTTTTCCCATTTCTTCTCTTCTTTTATTAGTAGCCTTATACATAACCAGCTAAAAAGAGTTTTTACAGGAAGCAAGGGGATATATAAGAGGTAGTTGATTAGAGGAAAATGGTTATCAGACAAAGTATCCTTACTCTCAAAGAAAGTTTGAGTGCAAGTGTATTAGGCAGAGATAAATAAGTTTCTTTTCTTTTATTCATCATCTTTTCAAAGTGTACTTTAGTAGAGAACTTTTTATTGTCAAGCATGATTTTTTTCAGTCTTCCATAACTGGAGCTTTTAATTTCAACCTTGAGTTTGCTCTTGGATTGTGAAATTATTTATAACGATAAATGTGGGCAGTTATTTCTGCATGTATTTATGGCAAACCTTCCTTATATTCTCCCCAAATGCTGATTCCAGATGTTCAGCTTTATCTTGTGTAGTCTTGAAGTTAAAATGAGCTATTTAAACAGATACATGTTCAAAGTCTGGCAAATTGTGCACATATACTTAATTCCCTTGAAAGTCCTATAAGAACTCAATGTACAAAATAAAATTTAATTAATCGTTACCTTTTTTACTGAATAAAAATGCCTATTATATGTGCTAATTATGTGATCAACTTTTAGATGTATGGAAAACGCACGCCGTGGGAAGATCCCTCAAAGTGGGTGCTTGACACATACCCATGGAACTCAGCATCTCTGCCTCAGGAGAGCCCAGCATTACTGCAGTTGCGACCAGAAGATGTTGGGTATGAGGGTTGCACATCCACGAAGGAAGCCACAACCTCAAAGCACATTCCACAGACTGACACGGAAGGGGATCCCCTGGTAAGAAACTGATGTTTGATTCTTCATATAAAATCTTGACTATAGTGTGAGGTCATTAGTATTTAGTCATTTGTATCAAAGACATTAGTTATCTGAGGCAATATTTGGGACAATTTTAACTATTACTTTTGGCCTGCTTTTGTTGAATGAAGTTCTTAAAATGAATACCCAACTTGTGTGCTTAAAAAAAAAATCAAGAAATACTGAAACCAGGCTGAACTCTTTAACCATACATTTCCCTTATTATGCATTAAATTGTGTAAATAAATAAATAAATAATTGTAAATATCATGACTGTTTAGTAGGTAATCAAATGGAAACTAAGTTTTGTTCTTAAATAGGAAAACAAAAAGAGTATGATATGATGTATACTTGGAGAACTAAAGAATATTTACATATCTTAACTAGCCTGACTAAAGTTAAAATTACTCTTTTGTTGCTTACAGTAGAGAAAGATAAACTGACTTGGAAATCAAAGGGAAGTTATTCTTTATTTCTTAAAATACTAGAATAATTTTAATAAACATCTATAAAACTTCAAAGTATGAATATTCTGAAAATATTAAATGCATGGTATTACTAGAAAAAAAGACTATTTTAATTTATTTTTATATATTACTTTCTATATACTGGTATTAAATACTATGTGTTTGTTAGGTCACCATTCTATGACTAAAGAGATTATTAAACTTGTACAACAAATACAAAAAAAATGATACTGAATTAAAAGCCATTTTGTTACTTCAAACAAATGAACTCAAAAAGGAAATGATTAAAAATCATAATCTATGACTATACCCAAGGACATAAAATGACTTGATATTTTATGGAATGCTCTTGCATCAACAACCTTGAAACATACACATCATCATCTCAGCTGATCATTCTAACATTTTAGGAGTTACGTGTGGGAAATCTGATAAACTTCCAAGATCCTCTCCCCAGCAAAATGTACACACACAAGAAAATTTCCCTGCTATTTTAAGATTTCCATAAAGTCACAGAAGTATACACATAGATCTACCTAGAGTCCAGGGATTCCCTATTTAATATTTCTGATTGAGGTTATAAATTCTATAAGGGCCCAGACATATATTTATAACATGGTACCTGGCCCTTTAAATGATATTTATACATGGTTAGAAATCAACTGTGGTGGTAAAATTGGTTTGAATCCAGCATAATTGTGAGCATACACTAAATAATTGCTGATAGATTGGTTAAAATTTAATAAAGCTAAGCTTTAGAATTCAAATATAGATTATTTAATCTGAATTTTTTATAAATTCTAGTCCTACTACTACAATTTTGGTACACTATTTCTGTTTCAGATAAAGAGAGATATTTATGGGGTTTGTTTTCAGTGTTAGTCTGAAGAGCATGCAACTCTCCCATTTCCCACAGTCCAGGTCAGCTAACCTCATTAAGCACTCTTTTCCTTAGTTCTTTTTCCCCCCAGCATATTATGGGGGTATAAATGTTAAGGTTACATATATTGCCCGTGCCTCCCATGCCCCCCCTTAGTCAGAGCTTCAAGCATGCCCATTCCCTTTTTCCCTAGTTCTGAATACTCTTTCCTTCAAGTATGAGAAAGAGATACAGGATTTCCCATTCTGGCATGAAAATTGGGCTGGAAAATTCCTAGTTCCTACTTTTCTGCTCTACTGAACATCTTAAGAAACAAGGAGTTTTGATATCTTGCATCCTGAATGGAAAAAGATATCATTGAAAAATAATTATTTGCATCATGCATATTCTCCTAAGAAAATGGATATTCTCCATCTGCTTTTATTTCTATGTATATCTATGATTTCTGATAAAAGGCAAAATGTTTGCAGAAATCCTAGCAACAAAATCCATAATTTTGTGTCAGAAATCTGGTTTTGAATCTGAACAAGGATACAAGTTTTTGGTATATCTTGTATTGTTTTAATAATGGAATGTGTATTCATCATTAACAGTGATCTAAAGGTTAATAAGTATGTACTTAGTGGTAAGAACTGGTGATCAGGAAGTAAATAAGATATCATTTCTTATCTCAAGAAGGCCACAGCCTAGTAGTGGAGAGATACGTCTACCTATATAAGCTACAGTAAAATAATAATAGAGGTAAATGCTAGGTAAAGTTGTGGGTCTACTGAAGAAGTGATTATAAGAAGCTTCACAAAGGAGATGCTTGAGCTCTTGAAGGATGAATCGCAGCTCATCATATGGTTGGAGGGAGAATATATAAAATTAAGGAAACAGCATGTGAAATATTATCGAGCAGTATAATAAAAATGATGCATTTGGGGAACTATTACAAATTAGTGGGAGGAATGAAAACTACAGAAGTATACAATTGTAAGATCATGCTGAGCCTTATTTATCTTTATAGTAAATTAAAACTTTGTCACATAGAGAATGGAGAGCCACCAGAGCTTTTTGAGGTGTGGCTTACCTAGTTAGATTTGCAATTTCTAAAGATCACTTTCATAACAGAGTAGAGGACAGACTGAAGGAGAGAGGATGTAAGCTGGGAGACTGGCAGACCTGTAAGTGTCAGAGATGATACCAAGGTGTTAAAAATGATAGACATTATATTTATGATTATGGGTGTCTTAGTCCATTTAGTGTTGCTATAACAGGGTACCTGAGGCTGGATAATTTATAAAGAAAAGAGGTTCATTTTGCTCATGATTCTGGTGGCTGGAAAGTCCAGGATTGTGCAGCTGCATTAGGTGAGGACCTCATGCTGCTTCAACTCATGATGGAAAGCAGAAGAGGAGCAGGAGTATGCAAAGAGATCACATGGTAAGAGAGGAAGCCAGGCTCTTTTTAACAACCTGCTCTTGTGAGGGAACTAATCTGTTCTTACTAGAGTGAGAACTCACTCCCCACCACTGGAAGAGCATTACCTAATCATGAGGAATCTACCCCTATAATCCAAATACCTTCTAGTAGGCCCCATCTCCCAACACTGCCACGGTGAAGATCAAATTTCAACATGAATTTTGGCAGGGGAAAACTATATCCAAGTCATAGCAATGGGAATGGGGATGAAATAGGGAAGAAGAGAAGGGAGAAATACTTTTGTAGAGGTTGATGATCTATCAGAATGATGATTGAATCATATATAACCTTACATCCCTCTGTAATCTCATTTGATTTGAATTCACAAAGTACCCCTTAGGAAGCAAAGTAAATCCTGTTGCATATATTTATTATGAATCTGAGATGTGGAACTTATTGTAATAGAACATATTTACTATATGGCACCATGTTCAAAACTTAAGACTTTAATAATACTATTATTATACAATAAAACTTTTACAACATTCAGCATTCAAGTATTTTCAAACATTTGTGACTGAGATACAATCATGTCTTTTATTTTTTTTATGTTATTTATTTTTTTTGAGACAGGGTCTCACTTTGTTGCCCAGGCTAGAGTGAGTGCCGTGGCGTCAGCCTGGCTCACAGCAACCTCAATCTCCGGGGCTCAGCGATCCTACTGCCTCACCCTCCCGGGACTACAGGCATGCACCACCATGCCTGGCTAATTTTTTGTATATATATTTTTAGTTGGTCAATTAATTTATTTCTATTTTTGGTAGAGACAGGGTCTCGCTCAGGCTGGTTTCGAACTCCTGACCTTGAGCGATCCGCCCGCCTCGGCCTCCCAAAGCGCTAGGATTACAGGCGTGAGCCACCACACCCGGCCAATCATGTCTTTTAAAACAAACATCATTAACTGTTTCTACTCTTTGTAAATCAGTAGGATGCTCAAAACACACAGTTCTGTTATATAAATCAGCTCCACCCAAATAATTGAACATATAGCCAGCTACTAATGGGGATGGATTATTGACAAAAGAAAGGAGGGAGGGAATATGAATGTACATGAAAGTGAGGGTGTGTTGGGAGAGAGGGAGAGAGAAGAAACAGAGAAGGGAGAGAAAGAAACTATTGATGGAGACATTTGGGTTTTTGACTTACTGGGTTTACTTACTGAGTTTACTTACTGGGTTGAGAGGTTATCACCAACTATTTTTATTTTATATCCTAATGTATCTGTATATTCACAGAGTTAGACTGAAAATTAGGTTAAAAATATTATGCTCAAGACTATTAAAATAACTTTAAAGTATACTATATGTGTAGCCTGTCAGGAAACATTCCTGCTGAAGTTGATGATTTCTAGTTTATCATTTATTTTATAAGCATTGATTGAACACTCATTTTACACTGAGCACACAAACATGATAGCATAACATATAACCAGGCAATCCTCTTTTAGATTTCTCCTTTCTATTACTCTAAGTTGGAAAATAAAAAATCAACTTTGATTACTTCATAAAATAATAAAATAAAATTAGTATGCATTAGGCAATATAAAAATTATTACAACTTATAGAAAACCTTGATGAGAAAAACAAGTCCACTACCCTCATGATGATAATGCATCAATTTTTCTGTGCTTTCTAAAATCATTAAACCGTTTATCCACAATTTGCTTTCAATCAATCTTTTTTTTTCCAACTTCGATCTCTAACAGTGGAACTCTAGATCTATCAAAATCCAAGCAATTTGCTGCTTTTTATTTTGTAATACACAGAAATTCTAGCTGCCTTTCCCACCAGGTGCTTTCACACATATGTCCCTCTGAATAGAACAAACATTACCATTCTCCTATAAGCCTGGGAAACTTGAGACAGCCGCTATTGTTCCAGAAGGTGGTTTTTGTTTTCAGTGATAGATCAATCATATTTTAGCCAGAAATTCAACAACAAAACTTGACAGCGATTCTTTCCTTCTCCCTCTTCAAATGCTCATGGTCCGCTTCATTCAGTCACCTCCTCTCGAGGTCAGCTCCTAAGCAGCAGATGGTGTGCTTGTGTGCAGCAGCTGGCTTCATTCCACTCCATCCCCTCCTTCTCCCGAGGGACCGCGTGCGTGTGCCTGCGTGTGCGCCTGTGTGTGTATGAACATTCACGACTTTCAGTTGCCATTCAATGCTTTCTGCCTCTCCCAGCCAAAAAGCTGGGAAGCTTGGCGTACTCTCCAGCAATGAACCCAGATGTCCAGCTGTGATACAGTTTCCTTTCCAGTGTCCCTGCTGGAGCAGTATTCATTCACAACCCCAAATAAAAGAGTTATCTGCAAGCCCTGTTTTGTCCTTATGGTTCAGTGTTACAGTCATATTTGGGGGCAAGGGTGGAGGAGCCAGAGGCAATGAGTGAAAAATCTAAAATTATTTTCCCGTTTCACTAGGATGGGATGAGATGGTTCTTCAGCGTGGCTCAGGTCCTTGTTTTTTATGGGGCTGGCTTGCTCAATGCATCATTGCCTACATCGATGTCTCTGTTTTCTTTCTTCAGATGAATATGCTAATGAAACTCCAAGAAGCAGCCAATTTGGGCACACAAAGCTGCGACAGCGAAAGCACCAGCCACCGTGAAGACATTTTGGATTCATCTCTTGAATCTACCCTCTAAAGGGTGTAAAAAAGTTGGGGGGAAAGACTATGCTTTTACAAAATGTTTGAAAAGAAAGGTATTTTCACTAAACCACTGCCAGTATAAAAGCACCCTGTCAAGGGCTCTGACCCAGAGTCGTGGTCTCCAAGGAGGCAGCAGAATTAAGTCTGAACCGCCAAGATGCTAAATCGAAATGGAAGCTTAACTTTATTTTATTTCTAAGCATTTTTATATTCACGGAGTGATAGAAAGCTCCATTGCGCAACTGGAAAGGACCCCAATGACAGGGCAACTGAATAGATTGCACATGGGTTAGCCAAACTGGACTTTCTTTTTTTTCCTCTTTCAAAGTTTACAATGCAGACCTTTTTTTGTCCCTTCCTTTTGTTTCCTCTGCGGGGCTGTTTGTTCTCCCTTAGGTAGGGTCCATTCTTCTAACTCGTCCAACCTCCTTTGTGCCACATGGTGCTGGGCACAGGGCTCCAGTAGTGTTTGTGTTGTGCGCTCACCCCATTCCAAAATGAATCCGAGAGGCCAGTCCTCCATAAGCACAAATGGAATTGTGCAACCACCAGAAAAACACTACTGTGGCAAACTGGAGAAGTGCCAATTTAATTCTGACTGCCATGTTCTCATGATGTGCTCCACCAACTTTTTAGTATATGAGTCACAGGTTTTATAAGATTGTTTTTATCACAGTGGTCTTTTTAAACCACCTGCCCACTCCCTTAACAAGAGTTTTATACCAATTATTAGTCAACACTGACAAAAGGCTTTTTTAGGGCTTTATTTGTTTGAGCCTTTTCAGTGAAAGAAGGAACATTTCCTATGGTGCTGTCTCACTGCCTTAAAACAGATTTCTACAACAGTTGAACAGTTGGTTTAAATCCTAAACCATTGCTAATTTCCACTGTCTTTTCATTTACAGCCAAGCAACACCAGTTAACAGTAGCCTCATCTCTATATATCTTTCTCTCTCTCTCTTTTTTTTTTTCCTGAAGAAATGGATAGGAGAAAGATCAGTATTTTTACCTTGTGAATAGATTGCTTTGCCTATCCTCCAAAATATTTCAGTAACCCAGAGACCCTCTTTGACCGTCACTTAAAAGCTGAGACATGTGGCGAAATTCTATCCAGTTCGAAGTGAGTTTCAGAAGGCGGGAGATTTTGAATTTTTATCCAGCAGAGCTGGAAGCACTAGATGCAGCATGAGCACAACTATTCGGCTTTCCTTCCCTATTCTTTTGTTTTTTTTTAAATTCATTTTGACGCATGTTGTTTTGATTGCTATTGTTGTACATGAGAAATTCAGCATTAAAGAACACTGAAGCAGTAAAGTCACTGTGGAAGAGGAAGCGTTTATACTGTAAAAGGTTAGATTTGCACAGTCTACTGGGTAGGTATTGTAAATAATAATTTTTAAAACTTGCACAAGTCAAAACAAACACAAACAAAATTGTATTTTATCCTGTTGGTGTTAAGAGGTGTTTCACTTGCTGAGATTTCCTGTACGTTGCAAACAAATACAGAATGCAAACCCTCAAAGCTGTTATTATCTGGTGTGTTTGTCCTGTATTTACAGTTGTTATGACTATGCAGGAGCTATCAGTGCTAGAGTGAGCATGCTTCAAAACTGTACATGAAGCCAGTATATTTTTGGATAAGTAAAACTGTCTGAAAGTACATCTGTCCTGGCAGGCTTTAAAGAGCGTGCATGAAAACTGATCAGAGTCATTGGAGAAGTTACCACCACACACAGAGGACAGGTTTTAAGTTTATAAAACCCAAGGGCTAGGCCATGGTGTAGACTTGTTCTATGCATGTGAAAATGTGTTACTTTTAGGACGTGTAATCGGTGCTACTCTCTGTGACCACTCATGGGTCAGTTGCTATAAAATAACAACAACAACAACAACAACAACACAAGACATCTGTGCAGTTTTCAGAGTGTCGCTAAGTGTATAGGTCCTTACACGGTGCTATTGCCCTAAGGGAAATCCGAACTGAATTTATGCACATAGAATCGTCACCCTGACTTTGAAGCCTCAAACATGGATCAAATCTGTTGTGAAACATCAATATATGTAGCTGGATGAGTGACTAGTTGCCCTTGTATAATATGTGATCTAAGAAAATTGCTAATCTTTCCCTGCCATTTTGAGAAACGCAGTCCAAACATGAGCATAAACAGAATTTCCTGCAATACATCCCAGTAGGTCCACCTAGTTTACAACTTAAACTAGTTTGTGAAACATTTGTCTGTATACATTTTATATTTTGTACATTTTTGATGTAACATATCATGTAAATAGGCAGAAACAGTGAAATAAATCATCTGAAAAGTTTTTGTAGTCTTTGTAAAGCCCCAAACAATAAGTACTTGGTGTCAATGGACTTAACTGGATGATGTATTTTCTATTGGTTTATTGTTCCTCTAGCTTGTAAACCAGCTTGCATATATTTTTTTGCAAATGTGCACCCTGTATCTGTCTAAATTATTACTTTGCCATTAAAGTGGAATTATTTATTGACAACAAAGTGTGGTGTCTGTGTATGGAAAAAATTGAATAATAATGCACCAAGAAGTGTCAAGCTTTAAAATGTTTCTTGTACTATTAATATACCATCAATAGGGATGTATGGTAATTTATATTTTATATACATCATAGAAAGGGCCTGAAAGCTTTTAAGTAAACAAAGGCAATAGGTTTATCTTTCAAAATGAAAGTTATTTATTCAGTGGACATTTTTAGAAAACCCTGAATAGTCTTCCTAAATGCCTAATGATAAATAAGAATTAACATAAAATAAAATGTTGATATACACTGAGTTAGATCAATTCATTAAATGCTTCTTTGTTTTTATTTCATTAAATTTTCTTTTGACCTTTTAGCTCTAAAAATTAAAGCAAAATAATTCTTTGCGTGGTAGTTTAAAAAAAAACAGAGAAGATTACAAAAAGTAAAAGGAACTCCTTTTAAAATTATAATTTCTTTCAAAGTATCATGGGTTTCTCTTGAACCTCAATAATTGGAATGCATATATGGATGGTATAAGTAGAGTTTTAATTCTAAAAGCAGGAAAGCTTTTGATATGGAATAGTTGTGGAGCAAAAAAAGAGAAGTATTAGTTAAAATGGGCCAATCATCCATAGTGAATTATAATCAGCACATTTGTTCCTTCACTTAGTTTGGGAGATACAGGAAATTTCCACAATCCATTTTATTCAAATAAATATTGAATTAATCCAAAACTTAAATACAATTGTGCTAAATGCAATATCAGGCTGCATAAGAATTAGTCCCAATGCTGTCATTCTTCTCTGCGTGACCTTGGCCAATTTACTCAAACTCTATGTGCTTCATTTTCCTCACCCATAAAGTGATGATAATAATAGTATCTACCTCTCACAGATTACTGTGAAGATCAAATGGGTTATTACATGCAAATGTCTTGAATAGTGCCTAGTCCTCCAGACATTATAGCTGCTGTAACCACCATTATTATATAACAATAATAACTATGATATATTTATTATTCTATTTTCATTCTTGAGAATAATTATGTAGAGAAATTTAACTTATTTTTAAATAGTTTTTTAAGGAATATATCTTTTAACTCATTTTCCTCATTTATAAAGTGGGGATAGCAATAGTACTACCTCACAAGGCTGCTGAGAAGATTGAGTTTAGATCTGGAAAGCATTTAGAACAATACCTACCATTCAGGAAATTATCAGTAAGTATTAGCTGCTATATTAATCCTGCCATTAAAATAAATGAATAATATTAAAAGTATAAAATATTCTCAGGATTCAATTTATTCATCTGTATAATGGGATAATTATAGTATTTACTCATAATATCATTTTGAAGAGTGAATACTTTAAGATACATAGATCACTCAAAAGTGTATGCCACACCTTAAATGTTGTATGTGTTATTTATTATTATTTTTATTAAAGTTTTTTATGTACCTATTATGTGCCAGCACACTTTCTTAGGAATCAGAGAAATTGAGACACAGGCCATGGTCCCAAAGGACTTAATAATCAGTAGAATACAATCTCTCTCCCCTTCACTTCTTACTTTGATAGACACCTACATTCTCTATTACAAGGATGGCCAGTGAAAAGCTGAATAGTTCACTGAACAGGTGCTACAGGATATGATTTCAGATGCTAATAGAATCAATGATACCAGTGAATAATGTTTGAATTTGGAGAAATCCAAGCCCCTTTATTTCAGGCTTTGGACTTTCACTTTAAAAAATAACATTATTTTTATAAAAACTAGACCATCTTAAAAAATGTCTAGTTCTGTCTTTGATTAGTAAAGATGTTTAAAAAGAAGATTCAATAATGCCTTTGTTTTGGTTTTTTAGGAGGGGCACCAATTAGTAGATAAAATATTCCATTGCTAAATTCAATATTTTTAATTCAGTGAAAATGTTTTGGATAAGTAATCATTAGAAGACCTCTTCTCCACATGAAGTATACATTATCTCACAGCTATCCAAGCATTAACCAGTAAGAAAACATATTGATATTAAACATAGTACATTCTAAATTTGAATCTTGTTAGGGGAAAATTAAAGTTCTCAAGTTGTTTTCCATGAAATTGTAAAAAAATATATATGTTAAATACAGTTTTCTTTATTATTGGAATTTTTAACACTTGACCTTAATATTCCAGGATGACATGGTAAAGTCAAAGTGAATATTTTTTTACACTGATTGCATATGAAAATGATAATAGTTTCCATATACTGAGTTATATTAACTATAATTTTTTATTTATCTGATTCTTTATACTATTTTTACTTTTAAAATCAACTTTATTGAGCTACAATTTATACCCAATAAATATTTTAAGCTCAATGGGTTTTGACAAACATCATGTGACAATTATTACCCCATTCAAGATAGAGAATATTTCTATTCCTATCCATTCTAGTTAACCCCTTATGCCTTTGAGCCCATGGAAATACTTGTTTGCTTTCCATCACTATAATTTTGCCTATTCTCAAATTTCATATAAATGAAATTATTCAGTGTGTTCTCTCATGTAAGGTTTCTTTCACTCAAAATGTTTTAGGGATTCATGTTGCATGTATCAGTAAATATTTTCCTTTCATTACTCAGAAGAATTTGAGTATATAGGATTTTTTTTTTCATCTGCCAGTTGGTGAACATTGAGGTTATCTCCACATTTTGGTGATTATGAATATAAAGCTACTGTAAACATACATGTACAGGTTTTGTGAGGACATATGTTTTTAATTCTCTTGACCTCAAAATAAGATTGCTAGGTCACAATGTAAATGTATGTTTAACATTATATAACACAGCCAAACTATTTTCCGAAGTCATGGTATTATTTTACGTTCCCACCAACAACGTGTGAGAGTTCCAGTTCTCATCTGAACCAACATTTTCTGAACTGTAGTCTTTTCAGTTTTAGCAATTATAATGGATATGGAGTGGTATCATTATGTGGTTTAAATTTGTATTTCCCTTACTACTAATGCTGGTAAACATATTTTAATATTCTCCTTGGTCATTTGAATATTTTGTCCCAGTCTATGACTTGCCCTTTCATATTCTTAACTATTTCTTTTGAAGAACAGTAGTTTTACTTTTTTCCTTGGCTTTCATTTCTTTTTTTCTCATTTTTTAAAATTAACAAATAATAACTACATTCATAAGGGAACATGGTGATGTTTTGATGCATATAATGTAAGGTGATCAGATCAGGGTAATTAGCATATCCATCACCTCAAACATGTAGCATTTCTTTTTGTTGGAAACACTCAATATCCTCCTACCTATTTGAAACTATGTAATTTATTACTGTTAACTATAGTCATCCTACAGTGGTATAGAACACTAGAACTTATTCCTTTTATGTAGCTATAATTTTATATCCTTTAATAATTCTCTCTCTACTTCTCCCTTCCCAGTCTCTGGTATCCACTATCCTACTTTTTACTTCTATAAGATCAGCTTTTTTTAGCTTCCATATGATTAATATGCAGTATATAACTTTCTGTGCCTGGCTCATTTAACTTAATGTCTCCAGTTCCACTCATTTTGCATTGAATGACAGAATTTCATTCTTTTTTATGGCTTAATAGTTTTTCATGCTATATAAATATCACATTTTCTTTATCCATTCATTAGGCAAGCCAGGTGTTGGACACCTGTATTGATTCTACTTCTTGGCTATTGTGAATAGTACTACAATGAACAAGGGGTGCAGATGGTTCTCCAATATAATGATTTCCTTTCCTTTTGATAAATTCCCAGTAATGGGATTGCTAGATCATATAGTAGTTCTATTTGTAGCTTTTTGAGGAACCTGCATACTGTTTATCTATAGTGGCTATACCAGTTTGCATTCTCACCAACAGTGTATAAGAGTTTCCTTTTCTCTACATCCTTGCCAGCATTTGTAATTTTTTGTCTTTTTGATCACAGCCATCCTAATTGATGCGAAATGATACCACATTGTGGTTTTGATTTCTATTTCCTTGAGGATTAGTGATGTTGGGCGTTTTTCATGTATTTCATGTTGGCCATTTGTGTGTTGTCTTTTGAAAAATGTCTGTTCAAATCATTTGCCCATTTTTTGATCAGAATTTGTTTTCTGTTGAGTTATTTCAGCTCTCGGGATATCAACCCTCTGTCAGATGAGTAGTTTGCAAATATTTTTCCCATTCTGTAGGTTCTCTTTTCACTCTGTTGATTGTTTCCTTTGCTGTGCAGAAGCTTTTTAGTTTGATGATTCCATTTGTTTTTGCTTTTGTTGTCTGTGCTACATTTTTTTTATTATGGGTACATAATAGTTGTTGTTGTCTGTGCTTTTGAAGTCTTATACTTTTCACCATTTTAATATGACTACTAGAAAATTTAAAATTAAATACATTGCTGTATTTGTAGCTTGCTTGATGTTTCTATTTGCATTAGTGTAGCCATAGAAAGACTGATCTTAACAAAATGTAAATTTGACCATCTCTCTCATTTCTTTTGTATTTTGCTTTTCTAAAATAAGACTCAGATGCCCAAAGACTACAATTCCTTGCTTAAACTGGGTCTTGCTTATCCTTCAGCTTCCTTTTTTCACCATGTTCATCACCTCCATTTTGGTTCCATTCTCTATAGCTGTAGTCCTCAACCCCTGGGCCATGGACCTATACCAGTCCATGGCCTATCAAGAACCTGGAAGCACAGCAGGAGGTGAGTGGCTGGGGAGTGAAGCTGCATTTGTATTTATAGCCTCTCCCCATCACTTGCATCACCGCATAAGTTATTAGTTTCTCATAGGAGCATGAACTCTAAACTGTGCATGCAAGGGATCTAGGTTGTGTGTTCCTTATGAGAATCTAATACTGCACAATAAATGTAATGCACTTGAATCATCCTGAAACTATTCTCCGCCTCCCAACTCCATGAAAAATTTTCTTCTAGGAAACTGGTCCCTGGTGCCAAAAAGATTGGAATCTGCTGCTGCTCTATGGCATTGGCCTAATTATAGAACCTAGAAGTAATTGTTGAAACAATAACAACAATGTATCTATGAACATGTGTCAAAGTTTTATTATAATCTTGCTTCATGGGGAAAACCTCTTGGAGGCCAATTTACAGGTTACTTTTCTAGTAGAGATATTTATAGAAAAGATAAGTTAGAAAAAATAGAAAAGAATATTAAATGATACCCAGAATTTTGACTGTTAGGTAAATGAGTAAGTGATTGGTTCCCCAGGACAAATATTAATGTCATAAATAGTTAAGCAATTATTGAAAATTGCTAAATGTATTATCAGAATTCTAATTTATTCAAAGACGAGAATACAGATTACACCAAGCAATAAATAACATTTTGTCCCAGACCATGTTGGCACAATATTTCTTTTACAGCATTGTGCTTTCTCTTAACCCAAGGCCTTTACATATTTTCAAATGACATTTTCTTAGACAAATTTTCATCCCTCAGAATAGGTCAAAAATCCATGTTATTTACTTTTTTAGAAGGATGTGTGTGTGTGTTGCAATTTCAGGGTCCAGTATATAGTGTATTCTCAATAAATATGTATTGATTAAAAATATTTTGAACATGGAGACAGCAACTAAACTTTAGCATATGTTAAACAAATGCATTAAATTTGGTAAGAACCACTCTTACAGGTGTGAAGCTTCCTGAGATGCCAGATTAGTAGTTAGAATGCTGATTGGTGATCAGAGAAGAGCAGATAACCAGAGGAGGACTAGTATTATTTGGTAAAGACAGTGTACTGCCTCATGCTTGGGATATTTTTTCCTCTTTAGATGTAATGTGCTCCATACTTTCTATCAAGTTTTTTTCCCCTGCTTTTCAAGTCTTTTGAAGATGCGTTAGTTATATATAGTGCAATTTAAATGTGTGGGGGTTTTTTTGGGAACAAAGAAAATTCACCAAGCAGTTGGAAATGTAATGCTAGAGCCTAGAAGACAGGTGGCGGCTGGAAAGATCAAAATAGGAATCCTTAGCATAGAAACTAGAAGTGAAGATGTGAATTTTGCTTTGGGATGATTCCCCACAAGAGAGAGCTTGACCAAGTACAGAAGACTGAGAATAGAACTTGAGGGATATGATGGAGATCTTTATAGTTCATTTAAATTTTATTATCAATTTTCCTAATATATTTATGCACATTTAATGCAACATTTATAAAGAAATGTAACATAAGGGGGAAAACATTGAATTAAGAGTTAGAAAACCTTTATCCTAGTCTTGTTTTGTCATGTCTCCTCCAAGAATCACCTAATGCATTATTTGTGTTCTTGTAGATTTTACACCCCGAGATGGTTACAGATAATGAAATTCAGTGTAGCTGGATTGGTTCTATACATTGTTTATGATACAAATAATGTGTAACTATAAGATATTCCTAGGGAATAGTAGAAAGTCTAGCTATCTCTAGTCATAGCCCATCCAAGAACATTTGAGTACAGTTGTGTTACATCTAGCTTGGTCCTGATTTGATCTGCTGAGGAGATGCAGCTGAGTATAAGCTGGTTTTATATGGTGGTGTTCAAAATGTAGAAGCTGGACAAAACTCTTCACAGACACCTTGAATGTGGTGGAGTGGTCGTTTGCCTAACATTGGCAACTCTTTGAGGGTGAGCTGCCTAGTTCCTGGGCAAATGACTTTCCCAGTAAGCTATTTGCATTCCCTGGTTCAACCTGTCTTTGGGTGGCTGCAGCATGTGGGACTTGTGTGGGAGGATGCATATCTTCATCCCTTTACTCGTGGAGCTAGAGACTCACATGGTGATGGAGCAATGCTGCCCAGAGCCCAGTTTTGGTTGAACTTCTGAGGCTGAAAGACTGCACTATTAAGAGCAAGAGTCTGGCTAATGGTGGTTGGAGATAAATCTTCCCGTTTGGCCACTATGTAGAAGCTAGAGGAAAGTCTTTTCCAACATTAAGTGGTTTTTCAAGGGAAGGAAATTCACCTTGACTATATTCACTTATGAGGCTTTAGAGCAGCCTTTCAGTAGAGCTATATATGCAATTTTAAATTTTCTAGTAGCCACAGGTGAAACATTAGAATAATGTATTATCACAACATATCAAAAATATTAGCATTTTAACATATGATCAGCTAAAATACTTTTATATAAGATCTTTGACATATTTTGCATTTTGGCTCATTTTCTTTTTTCAGTACTGAGTCTTCAAAATCCCATGTGGATTTTATGTTCATAGCATATCTCAATTCATATATTAAATTTTCATCAGAACAACTTGATCTGTATTTAGAATCTTAAAAATTTTACAGTTTAAAAGTAGATTGATATGTCTAAGTTGTTCCAAACATACTTAAAATAAACTAAGTATCAGTTTTAAATTTAAACTGTAGGTAATTACCACCAAATAAAGCTAAAATCTAAGTTCCTAAATTGCTATAGCCAATAAGTGCTAATTAGCCACATGTGCCTGGTGGTGGCTACTAAATAGCAGAGCTCAAAGCCACACCTGGTAAACAGCTTCCTCAGAGCACATGTGCAGCCTCTTCCAGGTGCAAAGGCCAACTTCGGGCTTTGGATTCAAGCTTTTTCAAGTTACTTGATTCAGAGACCTATACCTTCACACCCAGTTTTCCCTCACACCCAATGCTGGCTTACAATAGTTCATTGTAACTATTTCAGTGACTTTGTTTACCCTTGTTTGTTCTCAAGCTTTGGTAAAGCTCACCCTTGTCTGTCTTTTCTAACATTTCTCCTTCAACCAATGGGTGAAAAAGCATGGACTCCTTAACAAACGTGCCACCCCTTCTCTAGATCTCTAGAACAGTTCAAATCATATATATATGATATATATATGATATATGATATATATATAAAATTAACTACATATATAAGAATTCTATATATATACATATATATGTACAAACACACACATATATACACACACACACACATATATATATATATATATATTTTTTTTTTTTTCTTTTACTCTGTAATCCCAGAACAAATGTTTCCTACTGTCTTAGTCTATTTGGGCTGCTACAACAAAATATAAATCAGGTGGGTTATAAGCAACATAAATTTATTTCTTACAGTTCTGGAGGCTGGGAAGTCCAACATCCAAGGTGCCAGCAGATTCAGTGTCTGGTGAGGGCGTGCGTCCTCATAGATGGCTGTCTTCCAGCTGCGTCCTCACATGACTGAAGGGGTGAGGGAGCTCAATGGGATCTCTGTTATAAGGGCACTAATTCCATTCATGTGCATTCTGCCCTCATGACCTAATAACCAGCAAAGGTCCCACTTACTAATACCCTTACACTGTGAGCTTAGAATTTCAACATATGCATTTTGTGGGGACACAAAAAGTGGTCCATAACACCTACTCTTTCTACATTTGGATTAAAAAAATGATCCTCTCAAATTATTTTTTGCGTGATAGGAAATGATCCTTTTCTCTAGAATAAAAAAAAGAATAGCATAAAACTTAACCACCCAAAGACATCTGAAATAGATGAATGACTCCCAGAATAAGACCAGAATGTCACTGCAGAACTATCAATAATGTTACCATATATAAACATAATCAGAGAATGTTTTAAGAGATCGGAGATAGCAAAATTAGAGAGAAAAATCTATAAATATACTAAACATGGACTTGTAGATTAAATATGACAGAGAAGAAACAGATGAAAGTAGTACTTTTGCTGACCTGGAAAAAATATTCCTCAGGGCTAACCACTGCCTTTCTCCCTAAAAACAACATTCTAATTGCTAATCTGACTTCCCCAAAGCCCCAAAGCCTATAAAGGCACTTTGAAATGCAATGCTTTTACTTATATATTAAAGTTCTTTTTCTTATATATTAAAATTTAGTGGTTATTTCTATTCATGATTATAAATACCATATTTCCTTAACTATATGTGTTTTCTTAATATCTCCTACTAGAAATTTCATTCATCTGTAGAAGCCACAGGGCAGACTGTAGAGAACATGCTGTAAGTAGTCCCTCTGTGAGTACAACATACTAATTAGCCTTTTTTTCTATGGTGAGCCCTTTAGCTGTTTGCTTTTTTTCAGCATTAACTGAAAGTTTTATTAAGTAGCCTGAGAAAAAGATGTCTGTTATATCAGGAGTGCACTGGGAAATTTGAAATTATTAATATGCCAAATACACAACTGCATTAGGATTTAAGTAAAATAAATTAATTATTGTATCAAATAAAATTATAATTGGTACTAACATTATGTTAATTGTTGACCTGAAAAGAAAATATCTATATACCATTAGCATAGAACAACAGTGGAGGAAAGTTTTTGGGTAACCAGCTGGTGTACTGACTACATGAGATTGGACTCCCGCATAACTCCTGCAGGACACCATGGATTTGCAGTCTGCTCTGGAAATTTCCTTCTCACAGAATGAACTGCAAAAGAGATGCAAGACCTCAAGAGAACTAGAAAATAGATCATGTGCAAACAGATGAAAACATTTCTCCAGCCAAGCAAATATTGATACTGCTAGAATCAGAGCTGTAGTTGCTGCATGACCATTAATTTCAAAGAAAGGTCAAGTTGCAGATCTCAACAATATCAGGAAGACAAGAATGAAATAAGAGTTTAAAAATAATCACAAAAAATGCTGTGAGCAATTCTATATCATTACTTTTTTTATTTTTGAGAAATCAACCCGTGTTAATTTGAAAACAAATAAGAATACTATGGTCAAATAATTGTAACTTCTAGCATGTCATAATGTATTAATAGTACCATAAGACATACATCTACAAAGTAGTGTAACTGATTTTTAGAAGGTACAGAAAAATATCTATTAAATAGCTTTCTATCATTCTTCATACAGAGCATGAGATGTAAACTGAAGGAAAAGTATCTGAAATCCCAGAGTAAATACTACTGTGCAATCAGAGGCTAACAGGTTAGTTAAATGCATACTTTATTTAATATGTATGGGAAATTAATAGGAAAATTCCAATCAAAAATAGGAATAGTTATATTTTCACATAACCTTTGACATTTCCAAACAGACTTTAATAATTATCTGTGGCCTCTAAAGACAAAATATTTGCTTAATTTATTAAATATGCATTATTTTATAATCCCATTGAATAAATACATGGTTGATTGTTCAACACATAATAAGTGCTAATGAAAGGAAAATATTTTGGCCTTGGGCCACAGGGAATAGAAATTTCACCAGGAAAGAGCCACAGAAAAATTCTCTGTCCATCTCTACCCTCAAAGTAAGGGGCTTATACAAATGACAGGGTCTGGGATTCTGGAAAGGAGGTATGAAGGTGAGGGGCCCAGCTCTTGACCATGTTACGTTGCATTTTGTAAAAATCTCATGTAAAGACTATTAGCCAGACTATTCCCCCAGATTTCCTCCAGGGCTCTAGCCTACTCTTAAAAAGCCTGATCCTTATTTCAATCTCCCCAGAGCAAGAGGAATGACTTATGTGAATGGTAAGACATCCAGCTGGTCACATGTGTCTGCCACCGAGGACAGAATGGTCCCCTAAATCTGCTTCAGCTCTGCTCCAGCCTACCAGCTTCTATGCAGTAAGCATCTGGGCAGGTTTCTGCCAGTAGGAGAAGACGGAGAGATTTCCATTCCTCAGCTTCTCCACCTGCAACTGAGTGGGTTCAACTGTTTTTTGTCTTCAAGTTGGAGTGTGTGTGTGTGTGTGTGTGTGTGTGTGTGTGTGTGTGTGTATGGTGGTGGGTGAGGGGGTGAGTTAGGACATCTCAGTAGCATCAATAGAGCCCATACATAACCACTTCCTAATTATAACAGAAAGATTAAAAAAGAGAAGGAGATAGGAAGCTACTTGAAGCTTGCTAGCCATCATATCTTTTTGGCCATCTTTGTTTTTAGGATTCTCTTCATATCACAGTGACTTGAACATAATAGATGTTCAACAAAATGATGTTGAATATGTAAAGAGAGTCTTGTGAGGGCTTCAAGATAAAGTACTTATTGATTAATTGTTTTGCTACTTAAGAACCACTTTGGCCAAAGAATATTACTATTGGGGCCAGGAAATGAGAATAAATTTATTCCCAGAGTCACTAAGAATAATCTTTCAAAATTTGCTTACCAAAAGGGAAACAGTATCTTACAAAATTTCTGTATTACATTCGCTATATGTCATTCAAGTTGGGAACCTTTGAGAATGCAAATACTTGCTCTCTATTTTAAAGATTCCTCCTCAGTCAAGAATAAATGAAGCAGACTTGTGAAGGCATATAATATTAGCTACAAAGAAACAATTATCCTCAAATCATTTTTAGGAAAAATGTATAGGGAAATTTCCTTTTTCTTGATTTATCTAAATTACTTCAAATTACCAATTGCAGAAAACATCCACAAAGCTAATAAACTGTCTCTATTAGTGCTCTTATTCATTCCATTGTCTTATGTTTTCACCCATCATCACTTTGTGAATAATTTTATTTGCATTTCAATCAAAACTTATTCATTTAACTAAAGAAATCCAATCAAAATTTATTTATTTTAATACTGCCTTTAAGTGATGACCATTGGAAGCACATGGTGGGGTTGGTTACATTAGAAGGTGGAAAAATGCTCAGAAACTCTCTCACTTCACCTTAATTATACCAGAGATTGTAAACTCATGCTTCATTGACCCATGTGTGCTAATTTTCCTACTAAAGATTTTTGAATAATTTTAATTGCTTGCTGCATTAGTTTTCTATTGCTGAGTAACAGATTGCCATATTCTTACCAACCTAAAAGAACACACATTTATTAGCTCACAGTTCTGTAAGTCATTAGTCAGGGTGGGCTGCAGTGGGTGCTCTGATCCGTGTCTCACAGGATCGAAATAAAAGTGTGGGCTGGGGGCAGCTCTTATTTGAAAGCACCCAGGAAGAATTCACCTCCACACTTATTCAGGTTGTTGGCAGAATTTAGTACATTCATCTGTGGTATCCTTCTGCTTTTCCCTTCTGATGCCATGGGATTAGATTAAGTTCAACTAGATAATCACCCTTTTGCCACAGTCCTGGGAGTAATATGTCACCATATTAACAGATTCCACTGACATTTAAAGGGGAGGCGATTATACAAGGAAGAGCGCCATTGTTGAGTCATTCTTAGGCTTAAACATCAGGGTATTTCATATCCACATCCAGAAATCCCATTTTTCTTAAAAGCCAGAATATCTGTTAACATTACATTCCATAGTTACGACAACTGGCTAGACCTGATAAGCAACTGTCCCTTTCTGAGTAGATTCTCTGAGTTTACCATCCCCTGTTAACACACAACCACCCAGTTTCACTCTGTACACATTTAAGTTTTCAGCGACAGCCTTAAACAATAAACAACACTGCAACACCACTTTTCTGACAGAGCACATATTCATACCTCTTCAAACCTAAATTTAGCCAAGAAACTAATCAGCTCAATGATATCTGCACTTTGAAGATAATGAGACAATCTCAAGCTAAGCACCGATGTTCCTTTTGCCTCTCAAGACAGATTCGTGTAATAACATTTCAATAAACTTAGTAATTCTGAGCATGTACTGCCTTTTGGTCTAATAAGTGAATAATATGGCACAAATTAAATGCTACCACTGAGTTAGCCCATGCAAAAGACACAAATGTACTCTCAGTGGACAAATGTCTTCCCATGTAATCATGCCAGCAGCAGAAAATGGATTCTGTCACAAAAAAATAAATTATCCAAGAGTCTGGCCATGTTCATACAGCTTGGCACTGAATTTCATTTTTCTTGTTCTTCAGCTGAGAGCCTAAATAAACACTTAGAAAGCAGTCTGAAAGATCACATTGTTCGTCAAAGTTGGATTCCGCAGCCTCAGAATTCGGATGTATGAAACCGTGGCAGTTGGGAGGCCTGCTGCTTTCTTATGTGCCAATTTCCTTGATCACACACGCATTCGGTGCGGTTTTCCAGTTTCAGGAGGCATAAAGGTGCAGAGAGAGGCGGAGCAAAGCCTGCAGGCTGCATTTTTTTTTTTGGGAGACTGTGAGAGGAGAAGCTGGGCTTCATAAGAATCGAAGCAATGGAATTAGATAAAAGTTGTTGTGGGCTGGATTGTAGGAACCCTACATTTGGAAATTAACCTATAGTGAAAACAGCACAGTTTCATCCAGAGCAGCAGAAGAATACAATGGTTAGAAAGCACAGCCTTCGGAGCCAGACTGTGGGGGTTCAAATCCCTCTTGCTATCGTTTGGATGGGTATGCCCCTCCCAAATCCATGTTGAGACTTAATCTCCAATGCAATGGTATTAGGAGAGGGGTGGGTCTTTAGGAGCTGAATAAGTCATGAGACTTGTAATTCCTTATGATGGAATTAGTGGATTTATAAATTTGGCTGGAGGAAACTAGCGTTCCCTCCCTGTTGCCCTTCTGCCATGTGAAGCCTCGGCCCCTTCCGAGGACACAGCAACAAGGTGCCATCTAGGAAGCAGAGACCAGACCCTTGCCAGACACCAAACCTGCCGGTGCCTTGATCTTCAACTTTCCAGCTCCATAACTATGAGAAATAAATTTCTATTGTTTATAGATTAACCAGTTCAGGGTATTTTGTTGTAGCAGCACAAATGGCCAAGATGCCACCTCTGCCACTTACTAGCTGTATGACCTGGGGGAAGTAAGTTACTTTAATAGTCACTTAAAGTCAGTCTTAAATAAATTTTGATTGAATTTCTTTAGTTAAATGAGTACGTTTTGATCGAAATGCAAATAAATTTATTCACAAAGTGATGATGGGTGAAAACAGCTTAATATTGTCATATAAAATAGAAATTATAATAAATTTTAATATATTCATGATAGTTAGAACAGTGACTGATACAGAGTTGCCATCCAATAAATACTGGCCATCGATATTACTGTAGCAATCCAGGTGAGGGCTGATATTGAGGTTTAAAGACAAATACATAATGAATCCTAAATAAAAGGTGTTGAAAGATAGAAAACACTATCTTTATCCTTTATGGCAGGCATTTAGAGTCTTCTGTTGCAAGCAAGAGGCAGGCACACTGGCTAATCGTATTTTATTTTAAACTTATTTTTCTTCTCTCTGATTCAGGTCTAATGCTTAGCCAAGGCTTACTGACTTATGGGTCTTCATCTCTCTGAGTCTGCTCTCTCTACTAATTTATTCCCTTGCTCAGTGTTTCATAGTCAAATTTCCTGAAAGAAAGGAAGCGAGTGATTTTCCCAGTCACCATCAAATGTGGATCTCACAGCCTGGGCACTTTTTTCTGCCAAGCCACTTCTCAAATTCCTGTCTCACCTGTGGATGGCTGCCTTTGTGACAGATGACAATTGCTGGCTGGTTAGCTGTGTCCAGAGTGGCAAAGAACATCCTCCCTTCTCTCTTACTGCTAAGAAATGTTGTAGATTAGTAGTTTATTTTGCTATCTCCACCACTCTTGAGGTCATTGGTGCCTTAAGCTGTTGTGACTGAGAATCTGTGAGTGAAAAAGCAGAGGGGACAACAGTATTACTGCCAAAGGTTTCAACAAGAGTGGTGGGGAAATGGCTTATATATTCCTTCAGGGCCCCAGGCCCAAGGAAGACTCTAGTGAAGCACAGGTGGTGAGTGGGGTAGGAGAGAGGGAGAAAGTGGGTCATGGAATGGCAGAGAGAGTGGAAAGGTTTCTTTTGTCAGAATAATAAGAGGCTCTGGGGCATTTCTTGGCAATTTTAGAGACTAGAAGACAGGGAATTTCGTAAGAATTCTTGTCAACTGTACACTCAGGTTCTCTTTTTTGTTCTTTGAGAAATTAGGTGAAGATTGGAAACATCACTTGAACTGTGCTTCTAAAACCACCATTTACAAATTAATAAAGGGTGCAAGGTGAGAACTGTGGTAAGGGCCTA